CACATTGTAATAGTAGTTTCTGCTTGTATTGATATGTCCTTCTGAGGATGGTCTCTCAGACCAAAACATGTCAAAGATGAAAGATTAAAATGGAGAGAAAGAAAAACATTTATCAATCACACTGGATGGAGTCTATGAGAACAAAAAATAATGGGCAAACTTTCAGTTCCTCCACATAACTTCTTGAGTGACTCAGCCATAATGTCCCATGGACACAAAATGTGTCCTGTGCAGAAGCAATTAGGCCTCAGTGCTCCCTTCATGTGGCACAATGTTGTTCAGCGTCAGAATGCATTCTCTGCTCTCCTGTGATCTAGGAACTGAAAGAGAACTGGCAATAACAATTTCTCCACAGATTGCCAGGAATGTCTTGCCCATCCACCACTTTGTCTGGACCTTGGGTCCAACGATCCCCACACCCATGGGTCACCCCAGAAGCAGGAAGACACTTCTCACATAATGATCAGGCAACAACCAAAGGGTGCTGGTGGGTGCAAACACTGAGTCCTTCTTTCTCAACTGCTGGAATCAGACATGTGGAGTATGTCTCAGCTGGTCTGGCAATTATATAGAAAAACAGAGGGTCTCTCTATTAGTCCTTGCTGTTCTGGACACCTCTGTCCAAGTGATAAACATGAGCGTAACATTCCTTCAGATTTTATTTGAAGAACAGCCTATGCAGGATGACAATGCTGTCCAGTGTGACTCAATTATATATTTATATTAAATGTCCTTACATGTTTCAGTCAAGTTATGACCACCTTCAGAAGGCACAATATGCTGAGGAAACTATTATCCTTTCGCTGTGTTGAGGCACAATACACAGCAAAAGGAGAAGCAGCTCATCAACAGTTTCTTAACCAATTAGAGAAAAGGGGAAAACAACAGAGCATGGACCCCAAATCTCCCATCAACATAAGAGGCATGAGGACATGACCCTTAGTGGCTTAAGATTTTAAATTTTAATAATTTGTAACTCAACTATATTTTACTTAAATTTTCATATAAAACTTTGACTCCATTTGATGTACTATGACTTATGTAATAGTAGATTCTTCGACGTGTTGTGCCTTCTGAAGATGACCGAAACATGTAAGGCTATTTAATGTAAAGATATAATTAAGTCACACTGGACAGAGTTGTCATTAATCATTCTACAATATTTAACTAGTGTGACAGACCGGAATGAATAAAATTATGCCCATGTATGATTCATATCAAGTCCATGCTTTAAGGAGAGACCAGTGGATTCAGGGTTCAACTAGTACTATTAAAATCCAGGGCATTCAAAAAACTCACCTCCACACTGACACTGAGCACCTGTTTGATGCCAAAGTCTTCAGTTGCTACCACCATAATCACAGACCTTCCCAGTTGATTGTGTGACCTCACAAGGCCTGTTGCTTCCACTGTCAAGAACTGGTTGGTATCTGCCAGTGCCTTACTCACAGTTTCATTGCCAGCAGAACTGTGCCCCACTGGCAAAAGTCTTCCTCCTAAACTGTACACAACTTTCTTGGCAAAACCATCTCGGTTTGTTTTCAATTGCACTTCTGAGTTTGGAGCCAAGACAAGGACTGGAGACTGCTGAGTCAGAGGATAGGGTGGGCGTATCAGCAGCAGCTCCTCAAACACTTCGATCTCCAAGGAGTCACGAAAGTGCGGCACATCCACCCTGCCACCCATCTCTGGAGGGAAATATACGTCCATTTGAAGAAAGGTGCGACCAGGAGACACAGCAGTAAACCGCATTGACACCATATCTTCCTCTGCAATAACAAGGCCAAAATCTTCAAATACATGCCGCACCACACCAACCTCCCTTGTTGTCACACTCCAAGAAAATTTTAGGGATGGCTCCATGGAGCCAATGATTATTGGAGATAACATATTAGGAATGCCTTGTGCCCATACCGGCATAGTGGTACCAGTCTTCAATCTTGTTAAAGGTGTATGAATCTTAATTCCTTGCAACTGAATCACATTCACATCAATCGAATCTTGGGAATATACAACCCTCTGTCCAGTGGCCTTGTTCATACCCACAGCTTTACCAGTAATCACTGAAGCACCCAGTTTATCTCCTGTCACAACTCCTGAAGCACTTACACTCACTACACCAGCAGAGGCAATACTGTATTCAACATACGCATCTGGCTGAGGCCCACCACGACTCGTGATCTGAAATTTGGACCCCACAATCAATGTCATGTTGCGTGGGAACAGCCGCAAAGGTGGAAACACTTGAATAAAAACACGCTGACTCTGGATCTCCCTCTTTCCTCTACCACTTACAAACTTCAAACCTGTTTCGCCAAGTTCCAGTCCTGTCACTGTATACCGTATCTCCCCCAAGGCCAACGGCACCTTTCTGTCTTGCTGCTGCAATTTCATGCTGATGATCCCAGAGTCTGGTACAGGTCTCAAGTCCAAGAATTCTGTGGCTGGAATAGGAAGTAGGTTGTCCACGGCATCATACAGGCGAACTATAGCAGAAACACTCTGTCCTCGCTCTACTCTCTCAGGAACTTCCACACTGATGCTGCCAACACCAAGAACTTGGATCTCAGCAATGGCAGGTTTGGACACCAGACACAGATCAACAAGAGCAAGCTTCAGCAAGCCATCAAGTTTTGGAATCACTTCCAGAACTCTTGTATTTTCCAAATAGTTAACATCTGCTATTTCTTCAGAGCTGAGCACAAATTCATAGTAGCCTGAACCCTGGCTCACCTGAAGATTCACAGTGTTCTGAGGATGATTGAAAACTGATGTGCGATTTGGGGTTATGATGGTGTCATTCACAAGTATCAGACTCAAAGCAGCAGCAATTTCTGGTGTAAAAACATGACCCCTGTCGCTGATAATCCTGAAAGGTGGATCTTCAGGTACAATGTCCATGAGAGACAGCATGTGTGTCTGATATGCCACAATTGCAACTGTGATCTCCAAGACCCCAGTTCTTGCTTTTGGTTTCAGCACTTGATAATATCTGTGTGGCACAGTAATATCTTTCTCCTGCAAATCCTCTGCAATTATCGTCCCTTTCTCCTGTATTGTTCCGAGCAAGGTGTCAGACAGCTTCCAATCAAAGTACAGACTTGTTACATTATCGAACACATGGCCATGTTCATCCTTCACTATCACGAGCAGCTCCACCTGCTTGTAGTTCTGAATCACAATTTTCTCTGAATTCAGATTCAAGGGGCAGGAAGAGCTGTCAGGCACCTTGAGTGCAGAGGTCAAACTGACATAACGTGGCTCAGCACATCGAACCTTGAGGGTGGCCATGGACATCGATCTTTTGCTATGCCCTATTGATGGCTTATTTGTGACATGCAATGTCACGTCCACCTCACCTAGCTTTCTGCACAGAACTCTGTATATATAAACATCAGGGTAGTCAGCAGTCCTTTCGTTTAACTCTGTTATTTCAATAACCTCTTCGCCTCCCTCGATATTTATTTGATGGATGTGTTCGGAGGATTGGATAACCCATGGACGTGGACCTCCCAAAAACATTACTTCTCTTGAGGTTCCAATTGCCAAAACAGTTTCTCCTGATGGAGGATATGTGACTGTGAGTGGTCTGTAAGCACCAATGACAGTGCTGTCTGTCATGGTGTGTTCCCTGAAACTGTAGGATACAGACACTTTTGAAGTTCCCACAGCATGGCCAACAACTGCAACTGTGGTGCACGCGATGCCAACAGGTGTAGTTTTTAAGGATGAGTTCCGAAAATTATCATTCCAGGTTTTGACTGTGAGAGGAAGGTCACTGCAGTGAGTGAAAGGAATCCTGGTATTAGCAGGGTGTGGCCCATCAGGCCGATCTGCAAACATAGCCACATGCAGATGTATCAGGGATCCGATTTCAGCTTCTAGCATATACTCCACTATCTGCAGGTGGCTAGCTGGTAAGACATAAACACTGGCCACTGCTCGATTGTGATGGTTGCGAGTCATCGCAGCAGAAATCTCTGTATGACCCGGTGCTTGTGTTTTCACAATGCCAGTCTGTGTCACCACAGCAATTGATGTGTTGTAGCTGCTCCAAACGAAGCTCCCATCACCACCAGAAGCATTTAAAGACACTTCATGTCTGTAAAATAAAATGATACAGGTCACTATAACAGACATTACTAAATTATCTCTTCCCCAACCATTCAAACTGGCCACTGGATGCAAAAAGCCAGGGTGGAAAGAGGTTCTTGCACAACACTGCTACCTATCATATAGATTACATGCAATCATATCCCTGAAGTCTATACTGTAGGACTGAACTCAACAGAGTAAGGTCAAATAGAAATTTGTTGTGATGTTAATGAATACTTGTTCCTACAGCACCAGGCAATTTAGAGCTCGCATGAAAATACCTTTACATACTTAGGCTGTATGATAGGATCCCAAGGCAATGTGACTAGAGATGGGTGAACAGAAACTGGATTGTAGATCAACATGGCAGCAACTGTAGAGATCCTTGGAGTTGGATTCAGAATCCCAAATGAATTTCTTACTCCTTCCAAAGTGGCATTCACCTGTGCTGTGCCTACTTTCTCTGGCCAGCCATAATGGTGCGTGTTGTTGTCTGTGCTGTACTCAACATGAAAGTACTCCTTTGGGATTGAGGCTGAGACCTGGACTCCATCCCCAATGTGGAACTTGTGGTCATCACTGGAATAAGAACATTTCTGTCTATGTCACTTGATCTGGCTGCTACAAAGAATGAAGTCTGATATGGTCTCAATGACAACTGCAAACTGTCAACTCACAAAGGACTGGCTTCAAAAGTCATAGGGAAACTAGGAAAATCCAAGACCATTTCCCTCTGGGATGTGAGACAATGTAGTCTAGTAGACAGAAGGCATGCCTAAGTCTCGAATGGATAAAAAAAAAATCTCAATCTTGATGTCAACATTTATATTTTAGTCTTGAATTTTGTAATAACTGCTTTTACTATGCACTTTTAGGAGTTTCAAAACATGAATTTGAGTCTCACTCTCTCTCTCACACGCACACACACACACACATATGCCTACATATTGTACACATATGTGTGTGTGTGTGTGACATGATGCCTGGAAGCCGGAATAATGGAGCCAGAGCAGATGTCCATTGTTAGGCAACGGCTCAGTAAACACATTCACGCGACAATGACTATACAAGCAACAATAGAAGACTTGTTGGGATAATTATGGAAATGGTGTTTCCTGTGGGTTCACCCCAATGCTATATACAAAACAAGAATCTCAGGCAGCTAGAATTGGAATTGAGGGAGTCTCTGGAGATGGTAGTCGAAGATGACAGAGAGGAGAAGACATAGTGCGGCATACAGTGATTTCTGCAGTGTAGTAACAAGTTGCATAAGGGTGCAATTAATCCAATCATCCAATCCAAAAACCCATCTATAAGCCCTTCACACCCCCAAATACATGACACTATACATACGTACGACTACGCTTACATGACTACCATTTTTTCGCCAATATTCACATTTTTATGCCATGAGAGTAACAGACAAGAAAATAAGAGAGAGAGAGAGAGATCTGGAAGTATATTTCAAGGTCAGAAGCCACATGCTACCATGAGGCTGCCAGAAATACCCAGTTAGGAAATAAAAGTAATAATACTGAGATTTACATTGTAAGGTTCTGTTCTATGCATGTGCCCATCCCAGTAAAATAGCAAATCATGTCAACAAAGAGGTACTGGCATGAAAGGGAATGTGTCACAAGTACTGGACGCTGCCAATATGATTCATGCTTTAGGATTACGGTGAAGAAGATACAGAAGATACAAATCAAAAAGAAAACACAATGTTGCCTGAGGCAAACATCCAAAGCAAATCATGCCAATTCTATATGAATATCATCATTTGCACAAATTCATACACAGAACAGAAGGTCAGCTTAGTGGCCCATGATTAAATTCAAGGGGTGCCAGAAGTTAAAGGGCAATGTAAGGTGGTGTGCAAAATTTACTTGGAGGAACAGCTTTGTTTTACAGCAAAGAAATTTTGCTATGCAACAATTTGCTGTCACACTTCAAGGAAATGATGACTAAATGAAACTGTGTTTTGGTATGCCATCCAATTATATCACCAATGACATAGGGGCAAAAAGTTGTCATTGTAAAAATTTCAAGCGATGAAAAGATGTAACTGTAATTATGACACAGCTGATAGCACACAACTGTCATCATATGTGACACTTAATTAACTATGCTTAACGCACGCCTGCTTATAGGACTAATAATCACGTACTGAACTAAGAGATGGGGGATTGGTTACAATTTCTTAGAACAAGAGACCAGAGCAATGCTTCTTCTAGATGTATTTAAAAGTCATTTAACACTGGCAAATCATAAGATGACAGGGTTGTAACCTTCCTTACCTGTCATATATTTCCACCACAATTTCATAGTGTTCATCAATCATAAGAGCCCAATTCCGGTGGGGCAGGATAGCTAAGGTGAGGTAGTGTGGGTCACAGACAGTGAGTGTGGCACTCGGGAGACGAATTCCTGCCTCCTTCTCATCTACATTACGATCGTGCAGCAGCACCCTTGTCTTCCCTTCCATCAGTGCCATCACAACAGACGTGTGCTCATTTATCGCAGCAACAGTACTGTCCTGCAGTTCTAGAAAGTACTGCTGTGAGGGCAGCACTATCTCCTCCAGACGCCCATGGTGCACCTTTGTGACAGCAAATGTAAAAATTCAGTTCAGTTCCGGGTATGGAAAGTTGCAATACAATACCTCTAGGACCCACAAAACTTCCTACTGACAGGGTACTGGGAAGTGCCTTACCACATACTTCAAATCTAGAACACATGTTCCTGTCATGGCAATTAGGAACAGAACCAAATTTACCTTCTCACCTGTAATGATTTGAAGAATGAAGTTCATCTAAATAACATTACAAATTCAGTTATCACTGCACAGAAAGCATACAACACCTCCAGTGCAAACACTGCTTAATGCTATTTAGTCTAGAATCACATGAAACACAAAACTACACCATCTAGACAAAACGTGGAGTTTTCTGAATGTAAAAGCACATGGGTGTATATGGTTACCACTGTGCTTTGCAGGATTAAAAACAGAAATCCCAGACCTTACAAGACAAAGCATTGCAGTATAGTAAACCCTCACTAATCTGGTTACGGTTGATCCAGACGTCAGATAATCCTGATCATAATAGCAAAACAAAAAATGCTGTTCACAGGTTAGTACATACTTTAAAAGATGCATGACATTTAAGAAGGCAGATGAATCACTTGTCTGTTCAAACAAAACTTGACAGTTTCTGCAAATCTGCATTGTTTCATTCAAAAAGAAGTAAAACTTCAGAGCCTTCTACTGGCAAATAAATGTATTGTCTTTTTATAGTGTTTCAGTAAAGGCTCTACAAGACATTTTTTTATTTATTTTAATTAGCACTATTTATATCTTTAAATTTTCCATTTATTTGTGTCTTAAGTTTTGTTTTTATCTTTCAGGGCTATTTTTTTACTTCATTAGTCAGGATTATCACTTAATTCAGATGACCTTCCTCCCCAGTTAATCAGGGTTATTGGGGGCTTCTTGTAATATAATTTTAGGGTTCTATTTTTAACAAGCATTCTGAATTTAAAAAAATCTTATCAAAATTCATTCTGAGACAGTTGCGGATGTGTGAATACATAGACACATCTATGCAGGGCCTTTATACAACTTTACTCATAAGGAATGCCTCAAACTTCTCAGTTCATAAACTATGTTCTTCCAAACACAGAACTTACTTGCAGAATACGATACTGCACTGAATCTCCTTTTAGCAGATAGATGTCAGCTGGATCGATAATGAGGTTGGCTACCACCATGAGCTGCATATCAATGGCAGGGACATGCTGGTACTCGGCATGGGGCAGTCGGACTGATACCTGAAACAGTGAATGTTAAAATCATGGTCTTTTAAAATGTGATGGGAAGTCCTCACAACCTATACTTTTAAGGTCCCTGTTAGTAACATGCTGCTGTCTATACCTGCACCTTCCAAGTTATCTATTCTCTTTAGGCTTTCTGACCAAAAGTTTGCATGCATTTATCAATCTCTGACATGCATAATGCATACCCTCCTTGTCACATTCTCCTTGATCACTCTAACAATATCTGGTGAGAAGTACAAATTGTGAAGCTCCTCATTATGTAATTTACCCAATCTTCCTGTTACTTTCTTTCTTTCAGGTCCAAATATTCTCCTCAGCACCCAATGTTCTTCCCCTAGGGACAGACACCATGTTTCATATACAAACTAAGCTCTCTGATTTTGTCTCAGCAAATAATCATCTCATTTGCTCCCTCAAGAAACCTCCTGAACATGACAACAGGTCTACACGGCTATGCAGGTCAATGCATGCTCGACAGTTCTAGCCCCAGGGCTGCTGGGTCGATGCTTGTTCAGTAGCCCTGGTCTTTTCCCCACCCCCAACAGTTTTCTTTTACCTCCTCTGGCCCGCTCTATGCTACCTGCTCACCTGGTCTTCCTACCTGATCTCTACTGACCCTACCCTTCTCCTCTTGATTTCCCATGTGACCCACTCTCCCTCCCTCCCTTCTTATATAGCTGGGTGTTTTCAACTGGTGGCTCAGTCTGCTAGCCACCTGCTCATGCTGGTTCCTCACGCAATAATTTTTCTACCCTGAAGATGGAGGTGATACATTCCCTGAAATTTCAGCTCACAAAAGATCTACATGGTGCCACATACCAGAAGACAGCATTCTTTATATATATATATATTTTAGTTGCCGAGCAGGGTGAGTCAGAGCCCCTCAGTGCTGTAACCTCATATAGACCTGCTGTACCAGTCAGAGATGATAGACAAATACAGAACCTCAATACAATGGTAATTAGCAGGGGAAAACTGAAGTGCTAATAGAAAACACTGCCACAGTGCAATTCTGTCCATCACAAATCCAAGATGGATTCCCTGATAATGAATCTGGGTCCATACAGTGAGAAACTTATGAGTCACTGCCTGAGCTATAACACTACCTGTATATAAAAAATGTCAACAATACCATGAGTGGGGGGGGGGGCACTACTGACCTTGGCAGCACCTGTCTTCATTCCTTCCAACAGGACAATGTGACCATGCTTCCCAATGTCATCAAACACTTTTACTGTGGGTGGGGTCTCATATGTGGAATCCCTAAATGTAATGAGTTGGAGAACATTACAGTCACTGTTGGTGCTGCTCTCTTGATGGGCATTCCAGTTACTAAGACTCCACTGAAACTCCACTCCTTCAAGGGTTGAGAACTCATTGCCTGAAATCAAACACAACTGAATAATGAACGAACTAATGGCCTCCACAAAAGTGTTGTTCTTTAGAGGCTAACAGTCTCTCATCTACATGAGAAATTCCCCACCTTCCACAGAACCATGAGTTACATTACAGCATTAAGAAGATCCTGCCTCCGTTCTCCATCAAAAGTCAAATTTACTGCATCCACACCATCCCACCTAAGCCTTGGTCTCTTCCCTTCAAGTTTCCATATGCATACATTTTTAACAGGCGAAGATTATAGACAATAAAAGCCTGGAGATGGCTTAAATTAACCAAGCTTATTTCCATCATTGTCTCAACTTGTGGTGCATTTTTGTACCAGAAATGAACATTAAAAGCCACTACCATAGGCCAAGAGCCACACTTTCCTGGTCAAAGACATAAAATTCAAAATGTTCCAAATGAGGCAGATACACTCTGCTATGCTCCCCTACAGCACCTCAATCCTAAACAACACACCGATTACTGGAACATTAAGAAGCTCTGCACTTCACCCACACACTGTATTTACGCATTTAAAATAATTCTCAGAAAAAAAAACAGTGATTATTTCCCTGAACAAATTAACCAGTTTGTCTTTGTAATAGACATAGTGCATATTCTGTGAAGTAGGAACTAAATTGTTAAATGTTATTTAGAAGAATGTTGTGCTTCAAAGAATCACTGAAGTTGGTATCTATGGTTTCCACAGTACCTTGATCATCATAAGCTCTGACTTCAAAAGCTTCTGGTGCTTCTTCCATATACAATTCCCTTGTGGTTGTAACAAGATTAAGGGAACTGATGACATCAACAATCACATCACATCTCAAAATAAGTCCAGAACGTTTATCTTCTGCAAACACAATTGCTGTGTTCCGTTTCCTTTCTTTTGAAATAGCAGAGACAATAACACTACTTGAACAATCACTACCAAAGTCCTCATTCTCAGGTGGTATTAGCCGAATCAGGTCAATACGGGAAGTGCTCCTGAAAAGAGGGGATACACATATTTGAAAAACTGTAAAACATGACTTGAAAGGGAGGGCATGTACGATACATGGAAGATACATTCAAATTTTAGATGGAACAGGTGAAGGGAGAAAACAGATGGGAAACTTAATAAGGATGTAACCTGCTTCAACCTGTTTAGTGCATGTCTTATTCTTCGACCCTGAAAATGGAGGCAACATATTCCTAACAAACGCTGTTGACATTCGATGAACTACATGGTGTTACATCCCAAATGACAGAACTCTTAATAACCACTGTTGTGAGAACTCGAAATCCTACAAACTATACTGTTCCAGAATGCTGTCTTCTGGGATGTAGCGCTGTGTAGATCTTGTGTGAACCGATGTTTCCGTGAAAAGTATCGCCTCCATCTTCAGGTTACAAAAATCTGCGAGCGAGGAACCAGCGTGAGCAGGTGGCTGCAGACTGCACACTGGTTCCTAGCTTGCGGATTTTTCTACCCTGAAGATAAAGGCAATACGTTCCTCCGAAAGGCCGGTTAACACAATACCTACACGGCGCTACATCCCAGAAGACGGCATTCTTCATAGTCACCGCTGTGAAAACCTCAAATCTTATGAATTATTCCAATCCGCAAGCTAGCTGAAGAAAAGTTGTGACCATAGCTAAAATGGCAAACACGGCATCAGCATCACTTTCAGTCGTTGAAGAAACTCCTGTTACTAACACATACATTCAATACCTAAATACATCAAATAACGAATTAATTTATCACATATAACCTTGCAACCATCGGCCACTCACCATTTGTAACATCCTGTGTCAGACACCTCCAAAGTAAACTTCGTACAGAACTCTTTGAATAACGGTAGAAGGACTCTAGGAACGTTTAATTTTGAAATCTGTGCATGTACTGTAAAAATGACCAAAAGGACAGTAATTATTCCAGCAACTTTCCAACTACCCGCCATACTATCATTTCACAGTCGGACCGACCGGTCGGACCCAGCAAAACGGACTACTTAGAACCTCGGAAACCGACCCATGCCATGATGTATGTAAAGTATAACAATCTTGATTCCAAATCCGTCTGTAAATTGATTACCAATAGATATATATATATCATGCGTTATGAACTTATATGTAAATTTCAGGCTGAATCACGAAAAGTTTATATTTCATAAATGTTACGGATGTAACAAGACTGCCAACACAATACCAAACCGATACCAAACTGTCCTCTTCGTCCAAGGATTACAACACACTGGTTGCATGTTCCTGTACACATAGTGCAGTAATTTGGGTGATACGATAATAGGAAATAGAGTTTACAACTGAGTTTCAGAATTCTGGAATACTAAAAATGTTTAAATGTAATATTACTGACATTCATACTATATGAAATGGCATGTTGGCGACAATAACGCAAATCAGGCTTTTCATGCCATGTGGTAAGGGACATTAGGGATGATACTCAGTCTGCTATATGCGAATATTATGCACCCTGTGAGCAGCAACTTTCATTAATTATACATGTAACAAAGACTACTGCCCAAATTTTATTAAATTTAGAAGTTTAATAATACACATTACGTACCCGCCAATATACGAGTAACCTTGGACATTCCAAGCCAGACGGTACATTTAATTCCCGCTCTAGGCTTGCTAGACATGAGTACGGATTACACGGGCAAACAAGCACGGATCACGTTGTGAGGTTGCTTTAACTCGTAACCAAAGTAGTACCTGCCTGACAAATTTCGATAGAGCGTGAACGACGTATCGAACGTATCGAATATGGGTTGAGCATGAGAAGCTAATAGCAATAGTGTGCGTAGTGCACGAGTGGCAGGAAGAGAAAGGCCGGTTGTACATTGAAAATAATGTATTTACACTTACTTTTCTTAATACTTATAAAATTCCATTTAACCAAATCGTCAGAAATTCTACGACCGCGCGGTGTTTCAATTTCAAGTAATGTATTTTAAAAATAATATTTTACACAATATTTTGAGCGTTGTGTGTTCGTGACGTGTGTGTAGTAGTTACATGTTTGAATTACTGGAATTCGTACGCTCCTATTAACATTTATTTCACAGATGTGATTTGCCAAATCCGTCACATTTAAATTATGGAACGTAATATTTTGTTCGTGAAATAATTGATTGCTATTCTGCAAAAATTTTTTCCGAAAATTGACACAGCCCTCCATGAGAAGGATAATTACATGTTTCGTTAAGTAATGAATGAAAATGACCAATTGTCTGCCTGAATGCATGATAGAATAAATTAATAATGCTTGATGGCAATACCTGGACTGTTTAGGTAAACCAGAGGTCATTAATGTCTTGGTCGCATACATTTATTTCATATGGTTTCAACAATTATGAACAAGCAATTACGAACCGCGTCTCCCCTGTCGTAAATAATTCTTTGATACAGTGTACGGAGAACTATGTGAGGGTTGCCCTTATTCCCTCTGTTATTAAAAAATAAGCCAATTTGTCCCATGTACCTTGAGATTTTAAGATGAAAATCTCCTCTAAAGGTGTCTGCTGTTCCTCATCCAAAAAAGAAACAAATTGTAAATGTTATAAAATGAATGTATCAGATTGGAAGAAAGTTATATTTTTTATAATTTAAATCTGTTGAATCTCTAATAATTGAACCTTCTTATAAAGAGCAACTTTGTTTTACATTGAAATATACATTCTCTAAGTCTTGAACCAGAATGCATATCAGGTGTCAGTGAACTAGTGGCTGTGTCATCACTGTAATGAACTTTATTTTTCAGTGTGAGGGCTATGTTAGAAAAAAAATAGGGAAAACACTTCAGAGTTAATAAATCAAATAATAAAAAATGGCAAAGCTCTCCCTGTAACAGGGTGTTAAGACTCCCACATTTTCTAAACAATTAACTCACAGATGGTGGTGAGTTTGTCAGCCTTATGCACTGGATGCCCTTTACCTCCAGGAAGATTTGTGGTACTCATTCCATATAGAGACTCAGTCAACCCCAGGGCCATAGTATGGCTGGAAGCTGCATTAACCATTTTGTATTTGTAATGGAGGGGCAATGTATTTTCTGAGAGTTAGGAATATGATTTTTAAACATCCATATCATTTAGATGAACCTCAGACTTCAAAGTTTTAGGTGTTCTTGTATGTATATATTTTTGTGCAGCTGTTAAGTCCAGGCCACACCATGAAAATATCAGCATGTCATCTGCTGCAGTCATTATCCTCTACCTGGGTTTGCATGTCATCAAGAATCAGTTGCCATTGTAAACTTAAAATGTCACACCCTGATTGGATCAAAACTGGGCCAGATGGCCTTGCAGGCTCCTAATGTTTGTCTGCACTTGCATACCACTATTTTTCATTCTTGGTTTCAAGCTTTAATTTCCTTCACTTACCAGAAGCATCACTGTATTCCCCGGACAAGGACTTCACATGTTTCGACGGAAGCCAGACCATACCATTTTCCCATGTGAATGATGATTACTGTGACTGCCAAGATGGAAGTGATGAGCCTGGCACGCCAGCCTGTCCAAATGGCACATTCCACTGCACAAATGCTGGCCACCGACCACTCAACATTCCATCCTCGCGGGTTAATGATGGAATTTGCGGTAGGAACATCAAAACAATGTGAAGTGAGAATATGTCATTGAGGGTGATACATAAACATGAAATTCATGATGAATGCATGTGGAGCAGAGAACCTTTGTCTTATCTTGTAAAAACTGAAATATATATGCATATAACTTCAGTTTATCAGTGCTTAGTGTGGATGTAGAAGTGAACGTACAATAATTTGCAGCCAGTATTCTGATCTTTAAATTAATTAGTCTTCAATTAATTTCAGAGAAACTATTCATTTTTGACAAGTCATTGAATTCTGAGTACAGAGATACTGATACAGTTTTTTCTTTTGCTTACTAATAATGTGGTACAGTAGGATAAGCACAGGATTCTGCTTATGATTTGATTTTGTTTTTGTTTGATGAGTGTCACTTCTGAATCAACATGATCAAGAGATCACTGTGTAGAGGGAAAGATGGAATGTCATGTAGTTAGAATGGGTGAAAATGGGAGATCAAAGGTAGTATGGTGAAGAAGGCATATCTGAGATATAGGATTGTTTCAGTCACCACAGTTGAGAAGTGTGCAAACATTTTCAGATTGCTGTGATGCATCTGATGAATACGTGAGTCAGGCCACGTGTGTAAACAACTGTAATGAGCTGGGCAGAGCTGCAAGAGTGGAAGCCCAGAAACTCGCCAAACTCCTCAAGCTCGGTAGTGAGATGAGGGTTCAACTGAGTAAGAGAGGAAAGGAGTTGAAACAGGAGAAGAAGGTGAGTGGCAGTGCTCACAGCATGATACACATTCTGCCTGAGTCTAACTTCTGTGTTATTACTGGGGGTTAATCATTATTATCCAGGAATATTAATTTTAAGTGTTCTGGCACTGTGCAGTTAGTGGCAGTGTTGCAAACATTTCAGAAGTACTTGTTGCCTTCATCTTCATGGTTGAAGTGAGTAGGGTGGATGAATATTTGTGTACATGTAGTTTCTTTTTCTAACAGACCCACTGTGGGGAGAGGCTGGTGCCTGTACACCATACGTATACACAAAAATCCATCTTATTCTCTTCAGTCATTAAGATGGAGGCAACACTGGCAACACAGCTCACATCCACGCAGTTGAAAGACCCAAGATCAGAATCAGCATCAGTTTAATTTTACTTACTCTTAATGGAAAATAATAATAATAAAGAATATGAAATTGCATTAATGTGAAAGTTGCAAAGTGGGGAGGTGCATGTACTTTCTTGCGCTGACCTAGACAATTGAATTGTACGAACATCACCTGCTGCACCATTATGCCGGCCATTAAGCGACTGTCTGAGAACTCTTGTTCTGGTGTGCTGTTTTCCAGGAAAGACTGGAACAGCTGCAGAAGGATAGGGCTGAGGCTGATGGTGTGAAGAAGGAGAAGGAGGCACTAAAGATAGCAGCAGAAGAACTGGAGAATGTGGCTCTGGAGAAATACCGTAAGATTGAGGAAGAAATAAAGCAGAAGCAACAAGAAGAAGAGAAGACAGCAAATGAACAAGAGGCCTTTGAGCACTTCCATAGACTAGATGCAAACCAGGATGGAAAGTGAGTGTAAGGTTTGGTGGGCATGTTTTCATAACTTGTACTCTTCACCAAATATAATTAGAATGACCAAGTCAAGGAGGATTAGATGGGCAGGGCATATAGCATGCATGGGGCGAAGAGGAATGCATGTAGAATTTTGATAGGAAGGACAGAAGGAAAGGGACCACTAGTAAGACCTAGATATATGCCAGAGGATAAAATAAGAATGGATGTTAGAGATATATGATGGGGTGGTATGGCCTGAATTCATCTGGCTCAGAATAGGAACCTCTGGAGTGCTCTTGTGAACACGGTGAAGAACCTTCTGGTTCCATAAAAAGTTAGGAAATTCTTGAGTAGCTGACTGCCTGGTGACTTTTGAAGGAATAAGTTCCATGAAGTTGGTCTTTACTGTTCCTTGTTCTGGGATAGAGAAGTCAGCCTGAACACACTCCATGTTGAGATGAATGTGTGGAACATGACCTCTAAAGTGCCTATATGCCATCGTGGGCATTTTATGGTCTATAGGTTTATATGCCATGGAAAGATTCCCTGTTTCTATACTTTTCAGTTCCATACTGCTGATAATACAAAAATGGCAGCAGCGTGAAGTCAGACGGCCCAAGAACTAATGCCATTTAATTTCTTTCAGTTGTGTTGCATTATCAAAATGGTTCATGTATGCAGCCCTCTTAGTCAAGAATTTCCATTATTAATACCATTACTCCCAAGTTTAAATATGACTGCCACTCCTGCTGTATTGGGAGATTTAGAATTTCCCATTTCTGGATAATAAGCTGTTACCTCTGAGTTAAAATCCAGCCACCTGTCCTGTAGTGTAAAAGGTAAAAAGGGTAAAGTTGTCCCTGTACTTAACTAATTAAGCACTATGCCATGAAGTCATATGGGGGAATGGATGTATAGATCCATATTAGTTTTGTGAAGGTCATAATTTTCCTTGCAAAATGTACAATAACATTGTGGCTGCTGTGCTTTGTATTTGTTACCGATAAATAATGAGCTGGAGAAATACAGTACACAGAAATAGATCAGAGATTTATAAAATTACTGATGTACAACTTCTGGTGGTGTCTGTAGATGTGAGGGTGACTGGACTGGATACATCTGACTTAGGACATGGATCAGCACCAGGCTCCTGTGAACACAGATCTGAGCTGTCAGGTTCCATAAAAAGATGGGAATATCTTGAGTGGCTAGCAACTGTCAGCTTGTCAGGGAGGACTGAGCTCCATGGAGTTTGACAGATAGATAGCCTGTTTAAGGAAATGAAAGTAGGCATTAAGTTTTGACCAGAATTTCGTTTCTAGCACATGAATGTACATTTATGTACTTGCAGGCCTGGTATGTTTGATGTGTTGCAGAATTGAAATGTCTGAGCTCCAGACTCAACAAACCTTTGACCAGAACAAAGATGGAGCCGTGTCTGAAGATGAGGCAAAGTTCTTCTTTGATTCACATGATGAACTGAACTGGGAGGACTTTCTGGCATCTGGCTGGCCACGAATGAAGCCGTTCCTTATGCTGGACAAGGGGCTCTTCAAACCTCCAACTAGTGAGCCACCCCAGGACTCTACTGCAGATTCTTGGCCAGAGACTGATGCCACAACGCAGGTAAAAATATCTCTCTAGTTCTACATTAGAACTAGAAAACTTGACAAACAGGGATGTTCCTGTCATGTAGCAGGAATACCTTTTCATATTATATGGGGTTACATACATGGTGGACATGTCACCTGTTACCTTTACTGGATTCTGATGAGACATGTATCTCGTTAAATGTGCAATGAACTGTATGAGGTAGAAATTTTTTATGGCACACATCATTTTGTGCAGTGAGCCATTTCATAAACAGAAATGCCTCTTGAAGACTAAAAATAACACACATGAAAAGAAAAAAAAAGGAAAAGCAGTGATGGACTTCATCTGCCATTGTCACAATAAACAGTGGTGGTGACATCTGACTGGCCAAATGATTTAGTTCATGTCAACTAAGACTAAGAAGAAGACAAGTACTGTGACCATTTACCATTCCTTCACTCCTAGGAGGAGCACACAGCATCCAGAGTGCTGCTGGCAGACAGTATTTTCAGCTTCATTTCCTGCTTTGTGTTTCTTCTAGAGTTTCCTCTTTGACTTCTCTTCTGTGTTCTCCTTAGTCTCCCTCTACTTCTGTTCTCTTGTGAACTCTGGCCCAGTATGTCCATTTCTACAAATTCTTTCCTCTTCCTGAGCATGTGTCCAACACATTTCTATTTTCTTTCAACTTCCACTATAATTTTTTCTTCTTCTCTTTTTGTGCAGACCTCTTGATCATTTCTGTCTTCAACACTGATCTTAGTGAAATATCTTCTTCGTTTCAACAGGACACTGAACCCATGCATATGCCTAGCTGCTAGGCTGTGGAGGGCATTTTCTGATATCAGAATTTAATTTTGTTGAACATATTTGGAACCAGCAGTTGTGATAATCAAGGATCATGCTGAAGCAATTAAAGAGAAATAATACTTCACTAATTATATACTTAAGAGCAACAGACATAACAAAGACATTTTGAGAATTTGAGGTTCTCACAGCAATGAATATTAAGATTACTTTCTTCTGGAATGTGATGGCATGTAGTGTGTGAGATTGTACCTATCTACAATACCACACAGTGTCACATCCCAGAAGAGCACAATCCTAAGTTCTGAGAAGACTGCATTCCTTCATGGGATCTTGTGATGCTAACTGAATATGAGTTTAGGTTAGTAACATTTTCTTATTTCCAGGAATCTGCAGCAGAATTCTCTGCTACAGGAGACAGAGCAGAGGATGATCAAGATGGTGACCTAAATGAGGAGGTATATATAGAAACTACTGAGGAAAACTTCACTGTTTTCATTTAGTTACATGGTGGGCATAGTAGTGTGGATGCTTCAGGAATGACTTTGACCCTGAAGATGGAGGTAGCATGTTCCTCTGAAACATCAGTATCCAGCCACAAGCCTGCAGATTATCACAGCCCAAAAGACCACAATTTGAACNCAAAACCATCAATTATTATGGGCGTTATAACATACGTGTGCAGCTGGACGAAACATACACGTCGAACCCCCCCAGACGATTTAAATCCCTGACGAAACATACACGACGAACCACGGCAACGGGTTAAGTCCTCCTGCAAGTTCTGGTTTTGTCAGTCAAGATACATATTTGGACCCTTTTTAGGGAAACAGTAAAATAATACTGCCCTGAAAAAGTGTTCCATATTTCAAAATTACAGAACTGTCTTTAAGTAACATCCTATGACAAGATTTTGGATGCCAAAATTTTGTATGCATTTCTTGTTTCATCCATGGATGTTGTCTACTTAAGACACTGCAGTTACCTTGAGGTAACTGCCCCAATAATATTAGTACTAAGCATTAAGCATGTGATTGGCTGTACTAGACATATTGCAGGGGTTTTCTGTTCCCTGTAGGAAGAAGAGGAGGAGGAGGAGGAGGATGAGGAGGGGGGAGAGGAGGAAGTTGGACCAGAGGAAGAGGAACGCGAAAAAACTGAGAAGCCTAAATATGATGAGCAGACCCAGCTGTTAACTGATGGTTGGTACATTGCTTTGTACAGAATAGCCAGACAGAATGCCCTCAATTTTGAAGCATCAAAATGCAGTTACATTTGAAAGTAAATAATTAGAAAATATCCACTGTATTTAGATACCACTGTTCTTGGGCACTCTCACTGTGGAACTAATGCCATCTCTTGCAGTTACAAGACCTGACATCTGTAACAGTCAAGCCCCCATTTAAAGTTTCTTTGGGAGTCAATAAATGTGAACACTAAACTGAGGAAAACTGTAAATAATGAAAATTGACACAAATTATGGGCTTGGGATCACTGAAATTGAATCTTAAATGGGGGTTGCACTATATTTCTTTCAGAGGCTTCCAAAGCACGCTCTGACTTTGAAGAAGCAGACCGTGCTCTAAGAGATGTACAGCGAGAAATACATCAGATTGAGGAGTCACTAGAGAAAGATTATGGAGTTGATGAAGAATTTGCTCCTCTGGATGGAGAGTGCTTTGAATACACAGATTTTGAATACACATACAAATTATGTCCATTTGATCAGGTAAGAATTTTTTATGTATGCTGCAGTAACAGCAGTAGTTGTGCAACAGTACAGAGAAACAGGATGGTACTTGTTGACATCTTAGTACCAAGAGAATTGCAGAGGGGGTCCCCACTATATAGGTGAAGAGCTGGGACGGCTTAGAACAGTGACTAGGCTATGGGCTGGACAGCCAAGAAACTAGGGCTTGATTCCTGGCAGGATAAGAATACAGGAATATGCAGTGAGAAATCTGAAAAAGAGCAATTCCTATATGTAAAGATAAAAAATTAACCCAAAAAAGTAACATACATTACAAGCTCTCATGGAGTTTGCAGCTGCTAGAAAGGTGGAGAGATGAGTTCACTGTTGGCTTTCTCCCCCACAAGCAGTGTTGAGAGCTGTGGGCATGGCCTGCAGGTGTGCCTGCTTAGCATTCTTCATTCACTTGTTATGCAAAATATGTAATGGTCAGAGCAGCACATCTCAACCACACTTTGCTTGTTTCAAGTCACAGTCATGCTCCTCCAATAAAGTCATGCAACGATTATGTATCAGTGACACTGGTACTCACCGCTTTCATGCGAGAGCACTCAGGATCCTACTTTACCTTGACTGCCACATGGCAGCCCAACTCCTGCAACTTTTTTATTGGTAGGGGGCTCACTGTGTGAGGCCAGTAACTTCTCCACACTATCTGCATCTCCTCCTATGATCTGTGCTTCAGTGGTGACATGGATGACTTCTCCAATGATAATAGCCAAGATGGTGTTGTATGCATGGGCATAGCCACCAGATGTCAGTCATGCAAGCCCTGAAGACTTAATTTCATCTTATGTACTGTCATCATTATGCCAACATTTTTCCATCGGTCCTGCATGCTGTCTATGATAAGGAATGCCCCGAAAAGACAAATACAGAATCTATGCCGAGTTGCACCCTAGTAGAAGGAGAGAAACCTCATCCAGCATCATACAGTATGTATCTGGCCAGTTGGTCTCCTTGATGATTTGTCCTTGCTGTCACACCATAACCCATAAGCTGCATGAGACACATGATGGTTCAAGGAAAGTTACCTTACGGACTGGGAATTCAATGCTGAGAAGGTGGTCAGACACATCATTTATCAGTGGAGTCTTGGGTTCAACACTAATTTCCACACACCATTTGTTAACTGTGGGAAAATGAAAACTAAATCGGCCCATGGGTAGATATTGTGTCACTTAGCCCTTGTGTTTGCTACACCACACAGTGGGTAAACAGCCGTGTGTAGCATGAGGCACTTCTGGATGGTAAACTGAAAGGAACTTCAATTAAAGTCTCTGGAAGCAGTGTCCTTCAGCAGGACAGTTATTCGATCCTCAGTGGCTTTGATCCTTGAGGCATTTTTCAGGACTCTAATGTTCAGTGGAAATATACATAAAAGCATTTGCTTCCAGAATTCCACATTAAAGACTAAATTTGCTGGAAATAACCCCCCTTTCACAGAACTCACTGTACTTATAGGTAAAGCCACGAAATGTTGAGTCCCTCCAGTACCTGCTTTAGAAAGGACATGGAAAATACTTCATTTTGACTACAGGCGAATTATGTCGGTATGCACTGTGACCATGAGAAAGTCAGTTCACATGCAATGTATGCTTTCACAGATCCATACCTGTATCAAATGTTAACAGGTGACACAAAGACCAAAATCAGGTGGAGCTGATACTCGACTAGGATCTTGGAATAACTGGGTTGGTCCTGAGGAAAATAAGTACCTGGAGATGTTGTACGACAAGGGGCAGTCATGTTGGAATGGACCACAGCGATCCACCAGGGTAAGCTGTGCCACACGGCATGAAAATGCAGCTTTCTTGTTCCCTACCACAGACCTAATGGAGAACACACAAAAATATTATGAAGCTTACTTATTACTCTTGCTAATCAATATGCATAGTACCCATGGCTGTTAAAGCAATGCACAAATATTGCGGTAGTCTTAGGATGGAATTTAAAATTTCTTTTACTTATGCAAGTATATTTTAATTTCTTAACTAGCGTTATTCTTTAAAGTTTCAGCCACTAGACACTGTGATACTGACAAGGGAAGTAGCCATATCCTGGACAAAGAATGGGTACTCTTGCATGTTAAAAATACAATAATTTTAATTCCTTGTTTGTTGCAGGTAAAGATGAGATGTGGCATAGAAAATGTACTGACATCTGTGAGTGAACCAAATAGGTGTGAATATGTGTTTGAATTTGTGACTCCATCGATCTGCCAGTCTGTGGAAGGCACAGAAACTCAGGGGCATGATGAGCTGTAGGACATAATGAAAGCTGTGAAAAATTGAGAGGAAAATCAAATCCGATGCAAGGAGAAAGAGCATAAAAATAAAACACAGTGAATGGAAGGCAGCCTAAGGCGCAACTGTGATTGGGGGGTAGGGGGGATATCACCAAGTTATGATTTATGTAAATGAATATGTTCCCTTTTAAGGGACTGTACATTCCAGTTGCTGAAAGAATAAAGTAAAGTAAAAGTACTGTAGTTTATTTGAGGTACTTAAAGAGAAAAGATATGTACCATAAATATCAATACATCAAACACGTACTCATTCCTCTTCCAGCAGTTGCACAACATGGTAACGGCATGCACAGGATAGATACATCGAGAGGCTGCTTCCAAATGGTGCAAACCACTGAATCCTAAAAAGTTACAGGAACATGGGCCTTCCAAACAATGTGGGATGCCCTCCTTATGATGCAAGCATGTCAGTTTAACAATATTTCCATTTTGAACTGGGCTGTATGTACAGAGGTAGGGGTTTAAACTGCCAACTCCCTAAAATGAAGAGTTCTTCTGAAGTATAATGGGCCAACAACATGTTTCATATGTGGAGCTTCATAATAAAATGTAATTTTTGTTTTTAAATGCCCCTGAAATAGAGTCATACATATAACAGAGCCAACAGTGAAGTACATGCACTCTGTAAAAACAGTGTCTTTAACAGCTACAAGCTGCTCCATGTTATGGAAGAGAATCCATGTATGATTCGAGGTTTTCATGACAGTGAAGATTCATACTGTATTCTTGAACCCTGAAGATGGAGGAAATATGTTCCTCTGAAACAGTGGTACATATCTAAGAGAATACAATGCCTCACAACCAGAAAACAACATGAGATCACAAGCATTTTGGTCATGAATATTCCTCCTTTGACCTGCCAATCAATTATGGAGTACAGTATATGGATATCTTTCTTTCAGTAGCCACTTCACATATTAAACTGAAATTCCCACTGCTGCAATTGGAGACAGAACAGTAAACTCTCAGTCATTCAGTATATCGGAAATTGGGTGTGCCGTTTACACGAGAAAAACTGTTAATGGCATCTGTGAGGAAGGATGGCTGCAGCTGGCATAACTACCACATGGCATGTGGGCATACATGAATCACAGCTTTGTTTCCAAAATAGTTTTATGAGAACAGCAGATTTTATTTGAAATTCTGGGTGCTTGACTGGATAACCGAGAGTTTACCATAGTTATATTAATGGTTACATAATTATCTGTGACTAAGGATAAATCGGAAAGAGGCCTAACCTCATTGTGCTGCAAATTCTTTGAAAAATTAATAAATTGCTCGGCTGGCCCAAAAAAAAAAACCCTGTGTATTATCTTTAAAACCATTACTGTACATATCTTGAGGCTGCTAACACACTCCACCTATTCTCACCAAAATTCTTTTAAGATATATTTCATTATTATCTTCCTATCTATGCCTAGGTTTCCCAAACAGTCTATTCCTTTAAGTTTATGGACCAAAATTCTGTTTACACACATCATTTCTCCCACACATGTTGCAAGTATCACCCATCTTCACTTACCATAACGATATTACATGAAGAGTACAAATTATGAAGTTCCTCCTGTTAATTCTGTACTCTCTAAGAAGAGTGTGACCATGTTAAAGTTCAAAGCTGCTGAAAAGGCTCTTCTGCTACAGAACTGTTGTACAGCCTGAATTGAATCCCAGACCCCAGCTTAATACAATGTGCATTATTATTCTTTGAGAATTTGTTGCTGATGCAGTCATCAAAGAACTGTTTATTTACACCCATAAACATTAGTGTCAATAGAACTCCTGGTAAGTATGCCACTTTGAAGAGGCAGACAGTATGATATTTTCATGTAAATAAAGTCGAATATTAGCATGTTACATCATGTGCCTAAGGCAAAATTATCCCCATGCTTATTAAGCAACAAGCCACGATGACATGGGGAAATGGAGGTATAGCTCCACCATTCTTAACCTTGGCAGTGGATGGAGGTGAGTGTTCTGCTTCATGCTTCTGCTATTTTACCCCTGAGGAAACAGCTCCTGGTACCCATCATACAAGGCTTGGTGGGCTCTGGTCTGGAAATTGTGGAGAAGAGAAAATCTCTTGTCCATATCAGGAATCGAGCCCTGGTTTATTGGTCATCCAGCCTGTAGCCTAGTCACTATACCAACTAAGCTATCCCAGATCCCTCACATACATAGAGCTAACTCAGTGACAGATATTTACTAAGTAACTGATAGCAAAACATGAATTTAGTTCTGTAGGCATTTTATAAATTGTCTGCTTCATGAGTATGTCATGGGTTACATGTCTGTGTGAACAAGGCTCATGGTGTTGGTACAGTTCCTCGATAAAACATAATTCAGATGACCAAAGGTAGCATTACAGTGGAACCCCGTTAAATGTTCACTTCAATGATTCCAAATCAAAATAACTTCAATGTTATATTTCCTCCAAGTAAGACGTTTCTCAATTCAGTGTTCAAATCCACTGGTCCCACCAAAGAAATCTTAGGTGGGGGGGGGTCTCACTGTGCGCACAATGGTAGTTTGAAAACAGCCTTCAGCCATGAACATTCAACACTGAAACACCCCTGTCCTTAGACAATGAAGAGATCTCCCCCTTCTCAACTCTAACAGCATTTAATAAAAGTTAGGAAATTTAAGCATAGGTAACCATTCTGGGGCATTCACTCCATTCTGTTTAATTATCTCAAATACCATAAGACTGGGTATAAACTGTACATTTCATTGCTTTACAAGTTCCATTCAAAATATTCCCATTTCAGTGAACATTTAGGGAGTTACAATTGAGAAGCATCCAAAAAGGCATGTAGGTCATCACATAGGGTGCATCATTTTTGTCCAATTCTAACCTAAATGGGAACATATTTTGGTATACATACCCAGTACCAAATTCCATGAAAATATGCGCATTGGTTTTTGAGCTATTACAAGTGGAAGGACAGACAAGCATGGTGAAGTTAATTGGCTTATTTTTGCAACCTTTCATTATGAATGCCCCAAAAATGATACCTACTGACATCCACATACTCTCCACCAGCACTCACAATGAGATCAACTGTTAAAAACTGCTCACCAAACAACTGATATATCAATTACAGTATACATAAAAACACTGCAGAAACTGCCTTGACTGTACTGTCACTTGGCTTCTAAATAAATGTGGTCTGGCCCAGATATTTACACAATTCTTTGAACCTGATGGCATTTCAGTGAACCAGGGCTAAACCGTGGCTGCAGAATGAAGTCACATGGATCAACTTCCACATATCCCCAAGCCACTGTGCTTCCCCCTTCAGCACACTCCTTTGTATGCCTCTCCAGTCACCTAGCCACATGAATGTTGATATGATCTTTCCTGGCTACAAGTACTTTGAGCTGGTTGACATAGGTCACAGTGGGGCAAGAGAGGGGTAATTCTAAGTTACATCATCCCCACCATCAATGGGACTTCCTTCCACAGCCTCAATATATGTGCTCAAGAGAAACTTCACATTTCTTCAGTACTGGTGGCACCATAAGGCTAGCCACACAGCAGCGTTAGGCAGGAACATAAAGTGCAGACATCACGTGCAAGGTCACTTGGTAAGACTGAGAGAGAGACAACACTGGACATACAGTTCCACATAATATATCACCATGAACCTGCTGATGACAGCTAAAAGACAAATATGTTACAAAGTCAGTTCTAAAGTATGTTTCTCTTAGGACAAACATGCTATTAAAATATTCTAGTCACCGTGATTCTGTTGACATGAAAATAGACTTTACAGCAAATGATGATGCATTAGAGTATTGTCTTTGTCCAGACTTAAGTGCGCCCCAATTTTTAAAGGTTAAACAGAAGAAAAAATTATACATCGGTTACATAAATTTACTGGATAGTTTATAAATAGAGCAAACACCTATCATTATATTATATATTTTTTACATCCTAATGTTATGAAATTTACTGCAAAATTCACATACAGAAGGTAAGATTAATCATTCAACTTAATGCAGATGTTTGTTAATGGAACTGTCACTGTTACTGAACTTACAACCTTTCTCACTGATCATGTACAGCAAAGCCCTTTTTGATAAGATAACAGTCACAGGCATATAGACCAAGTTCTAGCTCTTGATGGAATCTGAACATTCATTACCGTTGTTTACAAGCGCATGCTGCTGGTACCTTTCCTAAATCAAATGAATCCAGTCCACACCCTTTATCATTATTTCTTTCAGATCTGTTTCAATATCCACTCATCTACACCTACATCTTCCCTTCAGGTTTCCTGACAGAAACTTTGTATGTGCCCCTGCCCATTTCATCACCCTTATATTATATGGTGAAAAGCATAAATTATGTAATCAATGAAGAGTACTAGTATCTTCTGGGATGTGACACAACATACACCAGTAGAAGTCCACCGACATTTCTCCAAAAGGTTGGTGGTCTTCCCCTGGATAATCCTGTTACAAACCAGAAGAAAGTACCTTTCATTCACCCCTGAAAAACTCAAAATCATATATATAAAATTGCTTTTACCTTTATGTGAGAGAGAAAACTGCATTAAATTCCATCAGACCACACAAATGAGCTATGATGTAACACAGACTAACAGGCATATTAGCTGCAGCATGAGGTAGAGAATCACAGTACATATGATTTTCAGCCTTTACAGAAGAGGCCCTCCAGTCTGTTCCAATTCAGAATTAATTCTGAGACTATGAATATTAGATATTTTGTAGGACATCTTGGATGGGGGATCAGCTGACTGTACAGCCTCTACCTATATAAAATTAACATAAAGTTAGGAACCAAACCAGAATGACTCTTTATGATACTCCTTGAGAATAAATACAAAATATACAGCTCTGATGAGTACACACATGTAAACAGAATAGAAAACTGGATACCTAAACAAGACAGCGTGGAGAAGTCTGGGAAGAATATTCAGACAGTATTCAGTTGGAAAAGAATGAGGAAAAAATCAAAGTGAAAACAGTATGGGGGTGGTGCAACCTGTCTGCAACCCCTGTACACCAAGAGGTACAATAGCACTAAGGTAAAGGCAAAGATTAAGTTAAATACCACACACAGCCTTACCAAGTAACCCTAGAAACTACATACCGATACAGGCTCAACCAAATGAGGTTTTAACATTTCTCTGCCAACATTATGGAGGTTACATATGGAAATGGCAGGATAAGTATAGGTGATGTAAAAGGAATCAATGGCAGCCTATTTTAACCTTTCAAAGCACAGTGGTTAACTATATCTAACACCTGCTTCAACATTAAAAGCACTGTGCATTTTGCCCAAAGGGTGTGTTAATGTATTTTGTATAGTTCTCATAAAAAAACAGTGATTACTTCCATAATAAGCATTAACTGGTTAGTCTTTGTAATAATGGAGATGCTGTCTGTTTACTGTGAGGTAGGGACTGAATTTTTATATACCATTTAGATGAACATCAGCCTTCAAAGAGTTACAGTGCTTTTCCAGCACTTGCACTGAATGGCCGACAGGAATCTTTACCAGGACACATTCGGTATGACATGCTGAACGGCAGAACTTCACATTTGGTGCAAGCACTCATCAGGAGACAGGCCAATATTATGGAGATACAGGCCCCATGAGAACCCGTTCACCCTATCTCGATATCAAGATAACTGCCCCTACAGCAAACGAGTGGGTTAAGTTGATGGCCAAGTCATGTCCATCAGAAAGTTTCATTACCATTAACATAAAAGCCAATTCATCACTTTAACCCACCCTCAGTGAGTTCAGTACAGTTCACATCAACACAATCTGTAGCTCAAAGGTCAATTGTACCACTATCTTCTGGTCTATATGTCTCAGTCTACCAAGTGCCTTTTTTCTATTACTGCTCACAATGACACATTTCATGCTATGTAGTAGGCATGTGAACACAATAAGTACCTGCTCATGAACTAAACATAACCTGTTGCAAACTTCAGGTATATATATTTCACCTATATAACATCTGAAGTTTACAGTTAGTAAGGTAAAATAAAGTTGTTCCTGTGCTTAATTAACTAAACACTAATCCACAAAAACGTATGGGGAAGTGGGTGTATAGATCCCTGTAATTTTGACCTCAGCACTAGTTGAAGATAAGTCTTCTCATGCAATAAACTGTGTCAAGATGGATTGGATTTCTAATATTTCAGAAACTGTTAGTGTGTCCACCATTAGAGACTGAAGTGGTTATTCTGGATGACACTGCTACCTCCATCTTCAGAGTAGAACCTCAAAGACAGACACAGCAGGTTCCTCCAAAACAACCATACAAATCCCTGATGACAGAGATAATGAAATTTTCCAGAATGCTGGAAATCTAATCCATCTTGATGTGGTTGACTGACCAAGGAAAATTCACTATATTTCCTTTCCTACACACACTGTATGTCTGAGCATGTTAATAGTTTTATTAAAGCTCTTGAAGTCATCTACTTCAGAACAGAACTCTGCCCTGTTCAGACCAATGTTTCAGAGTCCACCACAGGATGATACACTGAAGGCAGACATGCCATCATATTCAAATATCCTCATCAGGCAATGATTTATACTACTCCTATGTAGACTATAATTTCCATTTCTGCATAAATATCAGGGCTATGACTGTAAACACCGAAGAAAAACACTTGGCTTGTCTAAATTGCTACAGCATAATAAAATCTGACAAAATATTGTAGAATTACATATTTAACAACAATGTTTAAAAATTTAAATTCCTTTTGAATGACAAGTATTGATGACTTTCTTCCTAAATGTCATTCGGAATTGAATTGTAACAACACATAGCTTTGGAATTATCAACAACAAATAATCCTTCAAAAGACTTTCACATTAGCAGCTGTTGTTCTGGGAACTTGTCCACTTCTTGGAAGCAATCGAATGAAAAAAGAAGGTTCATATGGGCCTGCATGAACACACACATTACTTGTACTGGAACTGCCACTGGAATGTATTCTAACAACTTCCGTCCATGTTAGAAAAATAGCAATACATTCTGCACCTACTAAAAAATCTGTGATGCCAGCACACAAAATCCTTTGGTGTAATTTTCATCAATGCACCTGTTGCCTGGCAGTGACGAGCGCAGCGAAACCACTGGTGTCAGTTCCACACAAATATTTTACCTCAAACTGGTGCCCACAAGCTGCTCATGATTATAAAAGACAGCATGGCTTCCGTCTGTAGCCTATTCCAGGCTTCTTTCCGCCTCTCCCACGATGCTCTTTCTGTGAACAAAAAGGAAATCATACCAAAAGCCATACTTTGCCTTTCATGTGTGAAGTCTTAGTTACAGTTCCCTGAATACCATAATATGCAGTAATAAATGTATGACACACTGTAAGTGGTCATAGTACACGAATCATTTAGTGTCAACCCTTCTGACCTAGTCTATACTACCTACATGAACCAAGTTCTGCTATAGTGTATTCAGTCACCATAATACTTATGCAGGAACCTGCACTGAGTATAAAATGTATGTTTTATTTTTCACTACAATCTTCATTTGGAACACTTTTTGCTCCAGCAACACTTTATGAGTTCCATGAACATTATGTTCAATAAGCATAAATGTGTATACTCGTAGGTTTCCACGTAAATTGTCCGTTGCATCTGTCCAGTTTTAACCAGAACTGGAATGTCCTGACAAATTTTAGTATCAAGTTTCATGAGAATCTGTTCAGCAATTCTAGAGTTGTCACACACAGACAGACATGGTGAACTCAAGTGCATTTTCATAACTTTTGTGACAAATACAACAAGAAGGTAAAGTTAACTCTGCCCCTGTGCCTAAGCATCACACCATGATGTCATATGGGTAAGATCTGGGATGTCTAGATGTTGGTACAAGATGGGTGTAAGCAGTCAACTTCACACTCTGTCTCCAGAGAGGAGGCTCATCTGGATATCATGGCAGAGATCTGAACCTCTGATCCTGGCAGGAATCAAATTAATCACATGGCACATTGCCAGGCAACTTAGTGACTGAGCTATACCAGCTCATTGGTAGTTGATATACCTGGAATGAACACATGCGTGACTAGCTTGATATGTACAGAATCGAGCAAAAGATAAGAAACAAATAATCTGTGGGGAATGCCATCTTCTTGGATGTGGCGCCATGTAAACCCTGTGTGAACTGATGTTCCCTGAAATGTCAGTTCACACAGGATTTACATGGCACCACATCCCAGAAGATGGCATTCTTCATAGTCACCACCGTGAAAACCTCAAATCTTACAAGTAATCTTCCTTAAGTGGCTGGAATGTGAAGAGTCACCAGCATCACTAAAGCCTAACCTGTGCCAGCAGAATCCGAACATATATCACACAAAATTCCTAAAAATCTAGGAACCACCTCCACAAACTAGGCACCAGAATGAGAAACAAAATACTTCAAGTGAGAAACTTGCTCTTTTCAGTAACAGTATGACAACTCAAAGATACAAAACCCAATGCACTGTTGTTAGGACAGAGGAAGAGGACTGAGCAAGGAATATGGAAAAAAATGAAAGGATTAATGGGAAAGTTTCTAGTGCCACAGCAACCTGGTGCCATGAATTTCCGCAGGCCTGCATATTAATGTTACCCTTCAATCTCAAACTTCAGCTGATCACTACAACAATAGCAGGTATCAGGAAATGTATTCCACCTGGTGGTACACATCACAAATGCTCTCTGATTGTCGTGCTCAGTTCCTGGAACATGCAGCCTGTGAAGCATGGCTTGGCGCTACCTCCTCTATAAACGACCAAAACTGTCACATCCATTTTCAAGTAAATCGCCATCTTGTAACTGTACATTCATGGTAATTATCAATACCACCCCCTTTTAAGTTATTAGGATCATATTTGCATACCATTGCTAACTCTGCAGTGATATGTATATACATAACAGTAAAGTACATCAATATACTGTCCTCTCAATACGCTTCTCCTTGCCTCTTCTCCCCTTTCCTTATGTTCTGTCCTTCCAATTTTTGCTTATAATTTCCCAATGACATAACATCCTCTTTGAGGCCAATGGCTCAAACTGGCTCACTTGGAGACACACCTCCTGTCCACCACACCCCTGGAGATGGAGACAGCAGGCTGCTCTACAACAGTTGTACCCAACCATCAAACTACAATGAACAAATTGGTCTAGCAGTTTACACTGTAGACTTGTGTCCAGGAGGTGACAGGTTCAAAGTTTGACTGTGACACCAGCAATCCTGAGGTACTCTTATGTTTGTCCCTCCAGGTAAATGCTGGAATAGTACCCAATCAGACTGCACTTGCTTCCCTACAAAACCCTTTCCAATTTATCAGTCACCCTGCCATTTGACCTATATAGTCTACATACTGACAGTGTTGCAAAATAAAATATATACACATTCCAGAAGACCTCATCTCTGTATTCACTGCTGTGAGAACCTCAAATCTCACATATACAATCTAAACTGATATCCACTGTGTGCCTCATTTGAGGTAAGGAAGCACAAACTACCTGAAGATGCATGCGAATGAAGACTGCATGTTTCTAATCAACAAGGTAGGGCATGCCACAGCTCAGGTGGTTAGTCGCTGGCTTCCCACTGTGGCGGCATGGGTTTGATCTCAGGTCGGGTCATGTGGGATTTTTAGTGGACAAAGTGGCAGTGGGACTGGTTTTCTCCAAGTACTTCAGTCTCCATGCCAATTCTCATTCCACTGACTGCTCCACGCTCATCATCATCATCTAGTACAATAGGCCAATTACTGGAGAACGTATAAAGTGGACCCCAAAAAATTAAAACAAAAAATCAACATGCTACTTCCATATCTACACACTGTTCATACATAGACAAAGACAATACTGCATCACAATCACACCTACATCTTTCCTAATCTCCCGAACCAATGTATAGAAGGCATCATCCACGCCAAGTCGTGTTTTCGCTGAGGTTTCTACAAAAGGAATCATGTATTGCTTGGCAACTTCCTGTGCCTGAGTCAATTCCACGGTTCGTGTTGGCAAGTCACACTTATTTCCCACCACTGGAACGCAAAATACAATTCCACATTACAACCAAACTAACTTTGAGCCACACATAAGAAATGTATGGCACAGAAAGAACAGAGAAAAACTACGGCACAAATAAATGAGTCATAGAAATTAAAAGCAAAAGAACATATAACAGCAACTGTGAAATATGACTCTCAACAGACATACAGCAGAATACCCACTTAATGAACAGTAAACCATCACTAAATCTGATTACAGTTTAATATGGATTCAATTTGAAAAATGTTGTTGACAGTTGAGTACATACTTTAAAAGACTCATAGCATCTACAAAGGCAGATGAATCACTTTTCTGTTCAGACAAGACTTGACAGTTTCTTCAAACCTGCGTCATTACATTCTTTTAGGGCTACCTTTTGCCTCACTAATCTAGAATATTGCTTAATCCAGTGGACCTCTCCTGCCAATTATTCCGGATTAGCAAGGGTTTAATTAATGTACTTCAATTCAGATTGTCCTTGATTCAACACTCAATTTCAATATTTGCAAGCAAATAAACTTAGTAATTTTCCAGTTTAATGTTCACATTTTAAGTGGGAGTTTCACTGCCAACTGCAAACATTTGAAAACAGAGTGTTCAAGAAGACACAGAATGGACTTAATACCTGGGCAACTGCATATGAGGAACTTGCTGATAATGGAGCTAATACATACTGCATTAATGTAGGATGTGAAATCAAAAAGGTTAACATGCACATGACAAAAAGTTCACTGGGGATTAGCTTACATACTGGATAATATGAATATAAGCTGGAACAAATAAACTGGCTGAGGATCACACCTGATGGTGAACTCCAATGTTAGCAGTGTCAAACATCTGGCTTGTATTAGGTGAAGGCGAAAGTAAAGACATAAATCTGCCTCTGGATGGGGGAGTGGAGGTATGGATCATGTACTCTTAATCTCAGCACTACTAGATAGAGGTGTGTGGTCAGCTTCAACCTGTGGCTGCTCTACCTCCAGGGAATGAGTCCCTGGTACACATTGGATTTGAGGCTTGGTGGGCTCCACAGCTAGTCTGGAAACCGTAGAGTACAGAAAAATCCCTTGCCTTTCCAGGAATCAAAAAATGACTTCTTTGTCATCCTGTAGCCTAGTCAGTACAGTGACTTGAGATATTCTGGCTGCAGAGTTATATTAGGAAAGAATTAATTAACTGAGTAATGAATTCTGTGGGTGTCAGTAAAGTGTGGCTACTCCAGTGTTATGGCAACTTATGGCAAAGTACCACAAGCATGAATGCAATCTGCCACGGCTACATTGTATGAATCTCTTATAGTGTCACATATGAAATGTACTTACAAACCATGGGAACTTCTTCAGCATCTTTAACCCTCTTAATCTGTTCGCGATACATGCTGATATCTTCAAATGATTTGGCATTGTTTACAGCAAAGACCAGCAGGAAACCTTCTCCTGTCCTCATGTACTGGTCCCTCATGGCACTGGGAATTGAACACACATACACTGCATAAATTTGTTCAGGCTCAGTACTCTGGATTATCACACCACCCAGTCCTGCAGGCAGACACCAAAAACATACCATCTCCATGTGAGATTTGATGTTCTGCAGTTCTTCCAAAACAATGGGAACAAAAAACTGTGAGACCATATGGTGCCACATTCCACAAGACTTCAGTCTCATGCATACACTGATCTCAAAAGTTATAAGCACCAACTCAAAGAAATTAGGAGCCCACCCAGCCCCCTGTCCAATGGGTACCAGGTGACTCTTTTTCTTCTGGTAAAGCAACCAGTGCATAAACCTCACCACTCAGTTCCATCTAGTGCCAATGTCAAGAATGCCTGGCTTGGTGCTTTATTAATTAAACACAGGGACAACTTCTGAGATCCTGCAGGATGGTGTAATGGTACACTCGAGAGTTGCATTCGGGAAGTGCTCAGTTCAAATCTTGGCTAGGACACTGGCTGTCCTGACTGGGGGTTTTCATGGGTTTACTCAGTACTGCCTAATGAGTGACACAGGACAATGCCTTGATCAGGTCATGACCATCTCATTCTGGACCTTTTTCTGCTCACGGTTCATTTATCATCCTACCATTTGATGCTATATTGACTAGGATACAAACAGCACCATAAAACACCCCCCACCAAAGATAACAACAGCAAACCCATGTCATTAATAAAGTGTGCCAACCTGTATTCTTCTTGTCCTGCTGTGTCCAGTATATCCAGCAAGCAGGTTTCTCCATCAATGACAACTTGCTTCCGATATGAGTCCTCTACAAAAAAGGGTTAATTTGGCATAATTTCCCCCATACACACACATTCATGAATGACAATAGCATGTTAATAACTGTGCTTACCTATTGTTGGGTCGTATTCATCAACAAAACTGAAAAACCATACAATCATCATTAGTAACTTTACACAGACAAGAAATCTTTGCCTTAAACATTTTTGTGGGTATGCCATACCCTGGATGGGTAACTTTAGCAAAGATGTATGATAATTCTGGTTTCCATCATGTGACAAAAACGTAATCTAGTAAATTTCTTATGATCCAATATTTCTGACTGATGCTAATACATCCTCAAAGATATTTTAGACATAGCTGAATTTCTGATAAAAGTTTCCTATGATTTATGAGTTAATATTCAAACAAGACTGAATCATATTAAATATAAATTAGAACATATTAAAATGTCTAGTATGAACATTTTATCAACTACCCATTTTAAAATCAATGGCTACTTGGTTCATTCCTCATATAGAAATAATTTTTTTCCAAAGCTTCTATTGTCAGTATTTTAAAGCAGACTGAACAGACAGGATGGGGAAATTAGTTGTTAAAAATCTGACCAATAACTGCTTACCAGAACAACATACAAGCCCACTCATGATCCACACACTGATTCATCTGTTTAAATCCTAAACCTTCACACGATATATTTCTGAACAAAATTAATGAACAAATCTCTTTATTGGCCATTTGAAGAATGTAGGCATTGCCTTTTATTGTATTTATTATAGTATTTTATCACATTTCCTTGTCACCTGCCACAGCCGATAAAATTTGAAATAACCTTAAAAACAACTGAAATTTTAGAACAGGCTACAAAATCCAAGTTACCATTCTTTGTCTTCAATGAAGCAATGATTATACTTACTGATTCTGTATAAGCTGAATTGTCAAGGCACTTTTTCCAACACCTCCAGCTGGAAAGAGAAAAATACAAAATTAGAACTGCAGTTGACAACTCAGTAGTGAGACTCCAAACTTGTTATGGTGTGCCATGAATAAATTTGGGTTATCGTTTGTTGGGACAAGTATAACTAGTGCCTTTGTGACTATTCCATCATTCCATCAATTCATCCACAAATAAGAATATCTAACTAATTCTAAATTGTAATCAACTGTAAACAATTGTAACTATTGTAATTTTAATCTTACTCATATATTAAATTGTTAATATTCAGAATTAACTTGACTTGTCCTATATCATATACAATGATCTACAGTGATGAAATAAATAAATCAATCAATCAATCTATATCATCAGGCCCCAGCAGCTTCCTACAGTTTAAAATCTGATGCTTGTACTGTCTGTCTGCTTGCTTGATGATAAGTCTATCATAAAACAGGGTCATCTAGAGATAATGCTGTGCACTTGCATTCAGGACATGCTCGGTTCTGACCTTGACTGGGACATCAGCTATCATGAGATCTATGGTTTTCCTCAGTCCTTCCATGTAAAAGACAGTACCTTGCTCAGACCAAGTCCTTTGCAATTCACCTACCATCCTATGACCCAATAACCCTTAACAACTGGCTGTCTACCACCAGTCCTGGACTGTACTATGTTCATCAACACCAATTTTTGGGAAACTGGATCTGAAGTCAGGGAACAAATTGCAGTTTAAATGTGGCTTAGAACAAAACACATTCTGAACTCTCACACTTGCAGGTAAGGTAAACCTACAGAAGTATGTGGAGATAGTGCAACACACTATGGAGAATTAGAAAATCCATTATCTCACTCTAACCCCGAAGTGAATAGAGAACACCCCCATACTCAGGTCATGGGTTCTACAGATTTTTACAGCCAGTACTAGGATTAGCATAGCTGTAATGCTCTAGACCTGCACACCAACAATCCTGACTGTTTCATGGATTTCCTCAGGCCCTGTAGGTAAATGCCAGTACCTCAACTTAGGCCATGAATGCTTCCTACCAAATCTGTTTCAATTCATTATTCTTCTATCCCACTAACAACTTTCCTGGGGGGAGGGGGTAAAGTGACAGGGGCATGAAGCTGACCACTCCATTTGCTGAGGTCAAGAATGGTGGAGCTACATCTCCACTCCCCCATACATCCTCATGGCACAATACAGTCACAGGGTCAACTTTAATTCTTTATCATAATCAATGTTATACAGTCTAGATACTGATATTACAAAATAATCACACTCAAATAAAAATAACAATAAGAAGATATCAGTACAAATAAGTCAATTTATTTCTTCTCATTGTGTGAGAGACATGACTGGTAAGAAACTGACAAAACAGGCACTCAGTAATTCATGACAGTGACACTAACAGTCAGTCCTCTCACCGCAGTGGCCCAGGTTCGATCCCGGATCTGGTCAAGTGGGATTTGTGGTGGACAAAGTGGCACTGGGGCAGGTTTTCTCAGAGTACTTCAGTTTCCCCTGCCAATATTCATTCCACCAACTGCTCCACAATCACCCTCACCTATCATCTGGGGCTGGTACAATAGGCCAGAAGTGGCCACAGTGCAAGGGACTTAGTCCCACCCCACTAGCAAAAAAAAAAAGAAACATTTAGCCCTGCAAAGCACAAGTGATACAAGTACCAGTGCTTTAACACTACAGAATTCTATATCAGATTTACACTCAGAGTCACTTTATGACTGGTGGTTTACTGGTAATAAGTTTGTCTTGGCACCAAGCCCCTCGAGACTCACGACCAGAGATTTCTTTTGTGCAAATGAAACCTTGCAGTCACAGCCCTTACATAACATTTTGTCGCCTTCTGTCAAGTGTATGTATCACACATATAAGGTGTGACAATTTAACATTTGGAATGACCGCAGTGTGCCACTGGGGTGTTGAGTCAGGCAAATTCATGTACCAAAGCATGTTTGAACAAGTTCCAATTTGTGTTTACATGAGCCACAGACCAAATGAGTCGTTCGTTCAGCAGAGGAAGTCGTACGTGTCTGTGGTATGCTGTTGGTGGAAGAATGAGTGAGAAGAATCTGGAGCACCAGATAAAAATCAAGTTGTGTGCGAAGATTGGCAAAAGTGCTAGTAAAATATTAGCCCTATTAACAATGGCATATGGTGAATATGCTATGAAGAAATTGAGTGTTTTTGAATGGCATAGGTGGTTCAAGGAAGGGCAAGAAGATGTGCATGATGATCCAAGAAGTAGACAGCCAAAAATGTGAAGGAGAGATACAAATGTGGAGAGAGTATGAACCTTGGTGCGCTCAGATCGAAGATTAGGTGAGACTAATAGCAGAAGAACTGAATATGAATAAGGAAACAGTGTGACAGATTATTGCAGAGAATTTTGGGATGAGAAAAATTTCCACAAATATGGTGTCTCCAATCTTGACAGATGACCAGAAACGTCAGCTTCACGTTTCATCTGACCTTTTACACAATGCAGAGATGTCTGAAGGTCATGAGGATCACTACCAGTGATGAAGTGTGGTGTTTCCAATATGACCCAGATACAAAACGCCAGAGCATGCAGGGGAAAACAGAATTTACCTTGGCTGAAAAAAGCACGCATGTCTCACTTACAGTTCAAAACCGTGCTTGTGTGCTTCTTCGATCACAAGGGGATAGTTCACTATGAATTCATGCACAAGGGCAAACGGTGAATCAAGAGTGTTATTTGGAAGTGCTGACAAGGTTATGGAAGTCTATTTGGAGGAAAAGACCCAGCTTTGGCCTGACAAGTGGATTCTCCACCATGACAATGCTCCTGCGCATGATGTGTTAAGAGTCTGCGAGTTCCTGGTTAAGAAATCCATTACAAAAATGGACCGTCCACTTTATTTACCTCACTTAGCCCCCTGAGATTTTTGGCTCTTTCCAAAATTAAAAAAAGCACTCTGAAGGGACAAAGTTCCCTCACATTCCTGGCATCCACAACAAGTGACTTTACTGCAAGGTATTCCAGAAAACGATTTTTAAGACTGTTTCTGGCAGTGACACTATCGTCTAACGAAGTGCATAGCTTCACAAGGAGAGTATTTCAAAGGTGACAGCAGCAGCTAGCGCACAGGTAAGCAAATTTTGCTCTCACAGTCACTATATACAAGTCCTCTGTCAGCATAAGCTTTGCAGAGCAGATCATGTCTATCTTACATATCTTATGCTACAATGGCAGCTCAGTCACTTGAACAGTCATAAGATTGACCACTGACAAGTTTAAGCCTCATATTTTCCATGTTTGGCTTTGCCTTGCCCTATACTGCAAACATGATCATTCTCATGATTTTGTATGATGCCTGCTTGCTGCCTGCACAACTTTGTTATATAATCGTATGCATACAGAAGGTTGAAAGCCCTGTGCAAATCATGGACCACTGCATACCTTGTAAATTTTCCAATGACTTTGTAATATAAAAGAACAGAAAGACTAATCACATATAACCTTACTATAAACAGACCTTCATTTAAACACCCCACCTTTTATATCACCTAAAAAGGTACACTCTTCTGGTCTGTAACGTCATGTAGTTCAGACAGAGATCACTCTTTCAAAGGAATATGTTCCCATTGTATGGGTCAAACAGCAATGCAAAACAAGAAACAAAGAGAAGCAGGTGGCACAAGCTACAATCCAGACTACATGGCATTACATCTTCAGAGCCACTGCTGTGGGAACCTACAATCCAGCACAACATATTAATCCTATCAAGCCTAATGTTCATATAAATATTGAATTATATTCCTACCTCACAAAATATACTGAAACTCAATTACAACAGCAAACAAACACTAGATTAGTACTGTTCAAAGAAAAAATTTCTATTCATTATGAAAAACCATTTTAATACAAATTATACACAACACACAGATGTTTAATGTATAAGTAAGTGATATGTATAATTACCACTGCTCTAAAGGGTTGAGGTCCTGGTCACCTGTCTACATTTGAGACTATATGAATGGCAGTGACTGTGGTTTGTGTCATGTGGTCCAACCCTTTCATCCCTCCTACTTACTGCAAATGTTTAAACATTACTGGACCCCACTATGATGAATTATGGGGACTGACTCACTTAGCTATTCAGCATAACTTGATCTCTTTGTAACAACTCAGCACAGCAAGTCAGAAGCCGCAACAATGTGCTGCACAACACTTAAGCAGTTATGTACTATTGCTCTAGGAAGATCCTTATACAAAGTGGCAGCCATTATTCTTTTCAGTTTTCAAATATGTATACACATTCACCTACACTGAATCACGATGCAACAATCCACATCAAACCTCATGGCTGGACTATACAATGATCATTATATTTATTTGTTGTTGTTAAGTTCATAGGACTTACTGACATTACCATTCATGTCAAGCTTGCAATTTATTTTCTTGACAGCATACTAAATCTCAATGATAGGACTGGGGATCCACAAGTTTCATGACAGAAACGCCACACAGTACATCTAAGTGTAATAGTGGGCATATCTTATAGGCATGCCTTCTTCTATCTTTAAAATCCTTCAACAGATGCAATAGTGAAAATCCACATGAACTCCTGTAACACTCTAATTGAAAAATTATAGGTACCAACAAATAAAGTAAGTGTAATCTACATTATTATAAAACACAGCTGCGGCACGTTTATCGTTTTCAAAGGTTAAGATACGAGCTCATTTAAAGTAAAACTGAAAAAAAAAAGTATCCCTTACAACTCCTATAAGTTAAATAACTGGTTGTTTGAGAGTTGATATTTCAATATACAACCCGTAAACGTGCAATTTATGAGTATTTCAGAAGAACAACTTAAATTTTAAAAAATTGAATATGCATATTTTGTAGGAAATTGCTTTCAAAACGTTGTAAATATAGACAAGTAGAAAAACTATAAATTTCTTACCTCCCACAACAACGAGTTTATATTCCGTCATTTTCATTAATGATAAAACAGCGGCTACTGTACAAAAAATAAAGCACAGCTAAAATGCTCCTGGTTCTTTTCTGGAGGGCGGGATCCTCTTCATTAGTGCAATAAGCTAAATTTACACTAATAAAGCGAATATTTTACACGCCAACACCCTCAATTTTATAGTACTGACTAGCACTGCAGCATGACCATTACACAGGCAATCTCTCTTTCCTTTGACCAATGCGCCACCTCTGCAGTGCTGCTAATCAAACAAATCAAAAATTATATATTGTATCTGTGATATAGCAACAATCCACAACAACAAAAATTGGATAAAATACAGTATTATTTTAACAAGTCTGTAAAATGAAACTCATTAAAATAGTGCTGTGTGGCTTTTCATAGGCGTTGCATCTGCAATATTCGAAATGTCGTTTACAAACGCGTTTAAGCGATTTTTAACATATGAAATGGTTACCCTGCTCCGAGGATCAGCAGTTTATATATGAAATAAATATATGAGAGTTAGGATATAGTATTTCCATTTAGTAAATGAACATAGATGAGCAATTAACATTGAATGTGATATAATAGTGTGTCTTCTCAAAAGAAATATTCTCCATTAGTGTTGAGGGCGTGGTTTCAGACTAACAATAAATAACTTTTACCCCTTTGTACGACACAGTATCGGTTAACACGATGTCATTGTTTTCTAGATGGTGGGTACGTTCGATGCTTCCACGCACTTCTTTGTGGTGTGTATGTGTGGTTCGTACGAAATGTAATGTCACATTTCAGAGGCTGAACGGTATTTCTTCCTTGTGTGTACAGTGTCAAATACCACAGAGAATATTGACAATGGCGGGAGTAAATAGAGAGACGATTCAGAAACAAATTCAGCAGGACTGGGCTAATAGAGAATATATTGAAGTTATTACTGGAAGTATAAAAAAAATTACGGATTTTCTCAATTCGTTTGGTGAGCTGCTTCTTATTATATCGAAAGTATAATTTTTTGTTTCCGCCTCTTGGTAATGTAAGTAATCAATGTGAGGTTATGAGACCTAAGGTTTTCACGGTGGTGACGTTTAAGGTGTCACGCGGTGTAGACTGGTAGGAGACTACTGACGTTTCGGAGGTATAAACACCTACCAGACTGTACGGCGCCTAGATGAATCTGTTATGGTAGCCACTGCCTTCATTTTTCGCTTGACACTGTTAAGCATGATAATTGTAAATTCAATGTGTGTATAGCACAATAAGTTGTTTTTTTTTTTGCTTTCCATAAGCCTTGTATAGCAGATGCCACAATTGAGCAGCGATCGAATGATGGCAACATTTATCATGTCTCTTTCTTTGACATTTAGTTTTATGTGTAATCCAATAAAATGTTAAAAGTTGTATATGAACTCTTGGAACGTGAAGTATTAATTTATTTGACACTAAGTTAGTGAAGCAGTCTTTGAGCTTATTACAATATTATCTGCTTTCCCACACCCATAAAATCAACAGGTGTATTTTTAGTTTTATACTTTAATCATTCCCTGAATTCTGTCTGATTTTTTAATCTTTGTAGAACTGGGAGAGCTTAATTAGTTTAGTGACTAGGCTATAGGTTGAGCTACTGAGGATCAGGCTTTGATTCCTGGCAGGAACAAGAGATTTTTCTTGTTTCCAGTGTCTATATCATGGGTGAAGCCCACCCAGTCTCCTCTCCAATAAGTACTTGAAGCTGTTTCCCTAGAGGTAGTGAAGTGGCTGATGCATGAAGCTGATCATTCACCTCCATCTAATGCCAAGGTTAAAAATGCATGGAAATTTACTTCCACTCCACCATCAATCTTCATGGTGTGGTACTTACTTACACACAGGAACAACTTTACCCCATACCTTTACATTACCTTTTTTGTAAGTGTAATTTTGATTTGATCACATTTTTAAAGATGAATTACCTATATGTGTATTATTTTGACCCACATGAACATGTAGATTGTATTCTCAGCATTTACTTTAACACATCCTCCTTTCTAGCTTATAATACAGCTTCATTGTTTTTCCTTAGTTTTGACCAAATAAATTGTTTTCAGTATAGCCAACCTGTTATAATTTGTCCTGTGTGCAGATGAGACCTCAGCTTTCATGACAGCATAACTGCCACGTAGTTATGCTACTACTGCACAGTGGATGAGCCTCATGTCCAGCCTAGTAAAGTACTCGTACATAGTTAATGTAAGAAGTGAATTTACTGATTCTTCCCTCATCAGTTAGAAGGGAGAGGGGGAAACCTAGTTGTATCTATAGGAATCACCCTCACCTATCATCTGGGGTTGGTACAATAGGCCAGAAGTGGCCGCAGTACAAGGGACTTAGTCCCACCCAACTAGCAATAAAAAAAAAGCAGCTAGCCTTGATCAGTGAGTATGAATCTTCCCCCCCCCTCCCCCAAACCTGATGGAAATGGACAGTGGTCTGTTGTAAAGCTGAACAATTGAAATCCCCAATTAGCATTTATGACTAAAGAGGTAATTTCTATTTCTTGCATAACAGACATGTCTTGTCGCTCTCGGCTTGCTGTGCTGAATGAAAAGCTGACAACATTAGAAAGGAGAGTGGAATATCTTGAAGCACGTGTGAGTATGTTATTTTGCAACTTCATTTTCTGGGCATTCAGGGTATTTTTATAATGTAAGCACACAATGCTGATAGATATGCTATAAGATAAAGGTAAAGTTGTCCGTATGTGTAACTAATTACACACCATGCCATGAAGACATAATGGAGTGGAATGGAGGTAAGCTCCATCATTGTTAATCTCAGCACTACAGGGAGGTGAGTGATCAGCTTCACGCCCCTGCCATTTTACCCCTGAGGAAACAACCTCACCCTCTCGGCCCTATACCCATTGGATAGGTGGCTAGGTGGGCCCCAGAGCCAGTCTTGATGCTGGTGGAGTAGAGAAAAACGTCATGTATCTGCCATGAATCGAATCTTAATTCCTGAGTTGTCTAACATGTGGCCTAGCTCAGAGTACAGCGTGACATTTATCATCAGTATATCACACTTCATTAGGGTATTAGGCCACGAGTTTACAACTTGAAACCTTGAAAGATCTTTGGATGGAGGGTTAAGCATGTTCTTTGGCACTTTAAAACTCTCCCGCATTTCCAAAATCTACATGTAGCAAACAAAGACTAGCAACAAAGTTTTACTATTATTTGTATCAGCCCATTTATTTTAGTAAGTAGTCATATGCCTTGAAGGTTGATGAAACAGTTTTCATAATGGTATATTTTTAAAATATGTTCACTTAAAGCATTGTTTACAGATACAGAGTACAAGAAAGAGGCCTTGGCACATATTAGATGAAAACTTCACACGCTACCTCAGTGTCCTTGTAGTTCGGCTGGTCACCCCCTCCCTATGACCCCAATTCCATCCACTACTAATCTTGTTTCCTTTTAAATTCTATACATATGTAGTGTAAAGTAAAATAACCGAATCATCAGATTCAGGTATATGAGAAAGAAAAATATTACTTTTACCTTAGTATAACTAGAGGTGCCTGTCAATAAACAGTGTAACTGTATTAAAATAGTTTCTGTGCACAAAAAGAAGCATTAAGAGACGGATTACACAACTTCAGAGATATACCAGAGTAGTCGGACACAAGTTTAAAGTTGTTTCCTGTGTGCATCTGCACTGCCACACTTGCATCATATTAGCCCAGAACTGTCTGAGCTGCTACAGTGTTTTGTGACTGAATGACAGTTAGCAACATAAGAATGGTTATGCAAGCACATATACTTTGCCCTAACATCTCTGAGGGTACATCATACCTTCAGTAGGCAGCCTGATGGAGGAAGAGTCATATGTGTTCAACAAGACCTCCACTATGCTGACTTTGGTTCTAATCAACTGTTAAAAAGTAGTGACTTTGTAATCACATGTAATGATCTGAACCTTAACTGTCAATTGATGACATACCCTCAGAGATGCTGTAGACACAGAATATGTATTATACCTACTACAAAACTTTGCTCAGAGCATCAGCTACATCAAACTATGGCAGAATTAGTTGAACCTGCCTTTGAGCTCCCCGACTGCTGGAGAAATGAAATGGACAGGTTCAGCAAGTTTGAGTCTTCCAGTTGTGCAGCATGCCTTATTCCCCATTTTCTGAAAAAAACACTTTACATAAATTGCAATAAATATTTCCTGTTATATAAGTTGGGTCTATTAGAGTGTGGTTTTGATCAAATCTCAGCTTCTATCTTTTCCACTTTCCAGTTGCATCTGCTTTAATATTTTTCTTTCTGCTGTGTAGAATGTTTTAGTGTAATTAACAAACATTACATAGAATGCACGGGGTTGTGTGGGAGAGGCAACATGGTGTATCGGAAAGTTCCCGGACTGGTATTGTTGTAACTGCATCAGTTAAAGAAGACGAGAGGGGAGGCCAAGGTCACACTTCTGCAAGCATATTGCATCAGTCTGCCATGTGACACCATGCTGTAAACGCACTGTTTTTACATAAGTGCTTTTTCGACTTCGTGTTTCATTTTGTCTGCGATGGATGGCAAAATCGAGCAACTTGTCTGTATCAAATTTTGCATGAAGCTTGGCAAATCTCCTATCGAACCCTTGAAATGCTTTGTGAGGCTTTTAGAGAACATGCTTTGAGCCAGACAGTGGGTTTTGAATGGCATTCATGTTTCAAGGCCAGTTGAATGTCTGTTGAAGATGATAAACGTTCAAGGTGACCAAGCAGCAGAATGTCAGAAAATGTTGAAAATATTGAAGAACTCATCTGCGTTATCATCACCAAACAATCCATGAGCTCACAGACACCGCTGTGATCAGTTATGGAGTTTGCCAGGTGATCTTAACAGAAAATATGAGCATGTGCCACATAGCCGCAAATTTTGTTCCCTAACTCTTTGACAAAGATCACAAGCAGCAGCGTGTAAACATGTGTCTTGAGCTACTAAGAGATGTGGCTAACAAGGGCCCAACTCTAGGATCATAACGGGTGATGAAAGTTGGATTTACAGTTATGATCCAGAAACAAAGCAACAGTCATTGCAATGGAAGAGCCCACACTCACCAAGAGCAAAAAAGGCATGGCATGGCAAGTCCATAGTTCAACAAAGAGCATGTTTTTTTTTGTTTTTTTTGTTTTTTTGTTTTTTTTTTTGACATGAAGGGGATTGTTCACTGTGAATTTGTTCCTCCTAACACTAGTGAACTCTGACTTTTACTGTGACTTTTGAGACACTTGAGAGAAAATGTGCATCGAAAAGGACTGGAACTTTGGTGCAAATACAACTGGCTTCTTCATCATGACAACGCGCCCACCAACATCCCTGAAAAAAAAACACGACTTTGTGACTAACAACAACATGATTATTGTTCCCCATCCTCCCTACTTATTGGACTTAGCCCCCTGTGATTTCACTTTGTTTCCCAAATTGAGAATGAAACTGGAGGTATGACGTTTTGAAGCGGTGTCTGACATCCAAAGGGAATTGCAAGTGGTACTTTACACCATTAAGGAAAATGACTCCCACAGTGCTTCTGAAAGATGGAAAAAAACGATGGGATTGCTGTAAATGTTCCCAATGCAACTATTTTGAAGGTGATGGCAGCCAAAATTGAGCAAGTTAAGCCAGCATTTCTTTTTTGACCTAGTCTGGGAATTTTCTGATAGAACCTCATATGCAAGTGCATATTATTGGATAATGTGACTGTCCTCTGCTTTCAGGTCACAAAAGGGGAGACACTGACATAGGATGAACAAGAACGGCATTCTGTTGGAACTATATATTTATGATGATCCGTGTTTATTACAAAATGTATTTGTTTTGCAAGTACAAGATCCCTGACGTTGAAAATTTGCATTAATGTGATTTCATATGGCTGTTTTAATTTACTTCTTTTTTATGGAGATTCAGAGTAATGAAACTGTCTAAAAAGTTATGATTCCTAAACAACTGAAATGGACAGAATCACATTACATATTTTTCAATGAAAACTTAAGGTAACTAAACCAGAAAAGTAATGTCAAGTTACATGACCATCGTAAGGAATGCAATTATAACATGTCAGGGGATACCTGTATCTCTGAATGTTCACTGATGTTCAGAAATACAAACAGTTTTAAAGTAAAATAAATATAGTCATGTCAAACAGTTGTGCTCTTCACTTGGACACACAATAGACTACAGCAAAAGGCAATAATAACGAGAATTTATAACACCATGCGAAATTAATATTATACTGAACACTCAGTTCACATAACCTAAAACTATATGAATTTTTACCCCCCCCCAAAAAAAAGGAATACTGGCAGTTATCTCACTGTAAATTGTGAAACTGCAGACATTTATAAGGGATTTAAGTTATTCTGCAATATCTGAAGTACTTGTATGTGTGTGTGTGAATCATACTGTTGAATTTGAACTCCAGATGCAAGAATTTGCATGAGTTTAATTTAATGACACTGACTGTTCATGAATATCATGAATATGATAATGGAATCACCACTTACATGGTACTAGCCATCAAATAAACAATGGTCCCTGTACAGTCTAGCACTGAAATGCAGTTCTACTTAGGACCGAGCCCAAGTATTTTTCTGCCTTGTGGTCTTCCTCCACTGGAGTGCAGTCCTATTAAAACCTTTATATGAATGTTTAGTGCTAAAACACAAGAACTGCCACAACTGACATAAGCTTAACATTTCACTGTTATAAGCAAGTTTGTACACTCCTGCAGATACTTAGTGATTGGCACAATCTAAAAAGAAAACTATTGAAAATTTATATATTGAAGAAAACGAATGCAATGAAAGCTAACAAATGAGTCATTCAGCAGTTGTATTCGGGCATGACAGTATAAATCACTTGATAATGCCCATCACTACACCTGGGATAGGGAAAGAATGAACAATGGTGGTGGGGGCTTTAAGTCTGCTGCCTGCTTTTCCATTCTATGTACTCTGCACACCATCCCCCTGTCAGCAGCTCACGTTCACTTCCCTGCCTTAAGGAGGAGCTGTTTACTTAATTATTATTCATTGCTGTAATTGGTACTGTCATTGACTTCCATAAAATACACAATTTTGGTAGTAAATATAATTAGCTGATGTTTATAAAATGAAATTGCATGATTTGCCAGTTGAATTTCATAACAGATCCAAGTGGTCCAGCAACAAACAGAGAACCCAGAGACAGTGAGTCTACAGGCAGAATGAAATCTAGAATAGAAATGACAACTAGTGGAACTTAGGAAAGGCATGCGGAGGAGAGTTACCTGCTAAGCAGATGAATGGGGGAGAATGTGTTCATTCCTTCCCTCCCCCAACTTTAGACACAGTACCACCAAACACTAGAACTACAGCTGTTCCCACAAGAAATGATATGGCATGCACAACATGTGTCCTCTATGTCAGAGAAACCAAAGGTTGGTAAAAGGTGGGGTGGGGGTGTAACTGTACCTGTTTCATCCTGAGACACATTATATACTGCATTAGCAGTGCCAAACATATCTTCATGTACACCCAGAAATGAGAGAAAAGCACTCATTATGGTGGAAGTTCTGAAAAAGCAACCTTCTCAAAACTGAGTATATTTAACATAATTAAATTGGTGATGCACAGAAGAATTCGCTGAAACAAACTCATCATTATAGGCCATACTTGCTACATCAGGCTTCTAGTTTAACTGTATCCTGTATGTTAAAACTTGTTGCTTGAATAGAAACTCTTAAACAAGCAGTTTTGTCTTCATACAATGCACTGTCATATACAGTAAATAAAACAGTTTATGCATACACTGGTGCAGAGTAAAACCAGAATTCATTACTTGTGAGAATTACTGCTGGACTGTCAACAGTCAGGCTTGCCCTTTGCTGGTCCAGGGGCAACGACACCTGCCTCTCCAGATTCCAGCTGTTTCAGCAGCCTGAACAGTGCAGCTGCCTCACGAATTCGACTGAACTCGATGCAGAAGGCCTGAACTTCAATAAACAGCTCCTGTAAAACAATCATGTACTACATGTGGAACTCTTGTATTCGTGTAACTGAAAAAAAATGACATATATACAAGTTAAAAATGTACTTTGCCCACAATCTGTCACACTTCACCTCCCACTCTGACACAAGATGCTTCAGGTAACACCATGTAGCCATGGAAAATAATGTGATGTTACATCTATGTAGTTTGTACAGGCTGACCTAAAAGTCATACCATGCAGGAATTCTAATTAATATATATGGAAGATCATGATAGCTGTTCATAATATATATTCAGTGTGTTAGCTGTCAGTTTTGTTACATTTATATTTAATGAACTCTTAGTACATGAATGTGCCTCAAAGCATTTACAGTGGTTTTAGGGCCTTCCATTCTTAATCTCTGTTCCAGATGTTTGACTTTCTTTGACCATTGTATGTACACAACTGATTTTGGAAGCCCTTACAAGAAAAAGTGAAGAACCACAATGTCTAATGGTATACGAGGGGGTACCCAAAAGAAACCGAACTTATTTTTTTTTTAAACTTATTTATTCAAATTTTAAGCACAAACCTTCAATCCCCTTCAAAGTAGTCTCCACTTACACTAATACACTTGTCTAGTCTTTTATTCCATTTTTCAAAACATTGTCTAAATTCATCTTTTGAGATGCTTGACAGCGCCTCCGTCGTTTTTTCCTTTCATGTCTCTTTTCATTCGAGGAAACAAAAAAAAAGTCACATGGGGCAAGGTCAGGTGAGTATGGAGGATGAGGAACAGGGGTCATACCATTTTTGGTCAAGAACTGTCGTACAGACAGGGCTGTGTGAGCAGGGGCATTGTCATTTAAAAACCAGTCACCCGACTGCCACAAATCTGGCCGCTGAGTTCCAAGTCACTCCCGACAGCTCCACAATTTCTTCAATGGTCCGTCGTCGATCTTCCTTGATGATTTCACGAATTTTTTCAACATTTTCATGTGTTCGGGCCGTGGAAGGACAACCAGAACGAGGTTTGTCATCAATTGACATTTCACCATTTTTGAAATGGGAAAACCACTCAAACACTTGAGTTTTCCCCATAGCATCGTCCTTGTACGCCGTTTTTAACATTTCAAGAGTTTCTGTTCCACTTTTCCCGAGCAAAAAGGCAGAATTTCACCGCCGCACGCTGTTCACGAAAATCAGCCATTGCAAAAACGACGATCACACAAAAGAGTTGTCACTATAAACTCTGCTGAAACTAGTCCTTACCTTCTGAAGCAATGGTAGTCGGCTTATCAACTCAGGAATGTTAGCTCTATGCGCTCATAGCGGCAAAACGCGGTACTACAAAAGCTCTGCCCACAAAAAAATTAGTTCGGTTTCTTTTGGGTACCTCATCATACAAATTCCTATGGGAAGTGACTTTTGTACTGTCTTGTACAGTGAAATTTCACTACTATGTACTGTGAACCATGACCTTTTCTACTTAATAGTGAAATAGCTATCTGAAGACATGAAATAAAATAACTGATTTACATGTTTCACAAAGTGACTTTATTGAATTAACCTCATTCAGAATTTTTACTTTCTCATCCAATGTGAACATTTTACAGTCCTCTTCATTTATTTCCACATTTCTGTCTTACAAATAACACAAGTCTCACAGGCAGTAATACACATCAATAAGCACCCAATTGCCAACATGAATGTTGTGGTAACCCCATCTCTATGATCTAGTTCCAAGCTAACAAAGAGCATTCAGACCACAGTATTCTGTATACCAAAGCGAATGCTACGCTTCACAGTTCAGTTCATTTGTGTAGTGGGGTGAGACCAAGTGCTTGGTACTGCAACGGCAGCAGGTTCCACTATCATCATCCTGTGATGACAGAAGAGTATGAAATGCTGGTGGAACAATAATTGGCACAAGAAAACCATTCATACAAAAATCTACCTCAGTGCCACTTTTCCACAGCAAATTCCACATGGTTTCCCTGGGACTGAACCTGGACCTCCACTGTGAAAAGCGTGCAGCTAACCACCTGTGGTATCGCATAGCCTTATGCTGTGCAGTTAGTGTTAATAAAGCACATAATGCATAGTTCATAATTAAATAATTACTTTTAATTTGTTCTGCAAACACACTGAAATCGAAAAATGGATTCTAAACATCTTGAACTTCATAATGAAATCTGTCATACAATACCTAAACGATTTTTACAAAATGGGCAAGGAGTCTGGGGATTAAAATTATGTACATAATATGAAGTAATTTGGGGGACTTGGTTAAGGCAATACACTACAAGCCGGAAGGTCATGGGATAGAATCCCGATGAGGTCATCAGATTTTTAAATTGACCTAATCTTTCTAGTTGCACTATGGCTCTGGGATTGACTCAGGCTCTAACAGTAAAGGGCGGCTGGTACATAAGGCTGACAACCTTACCGCCATCTATGAGTCAAATATCTGGAAGATGTGGGAGCTTTGACCTCTCATGCCCCTATGGGCCTTCATGGCTTGCTACAGGGACAGCTTTGCCTTTTTTTTATATGAAGTAAGTAATTATATTTCTCTGCACTCTGTGGAATGAGAATATCCTGTTTGCCTTGCTAAATTAAATTAACTATGAGAAGGGTAATTATAAATTCTGACCTGCACATTTATAATCTTGTTACGGATTAATGACTGGAGAAAAACGCAAACCAGACGGACCAATCGATTCTGCATGTAACGATCCTTGATGGTTTCACAGGTTGAAATGCAGTTAGAAATATACAGGTGTACAAATTCAGTAGGAAGATCAACTGTTGTTGTGAGCCTGAAACAATATGTACACAATTATAAACAGGAGGTATGGATTTAGACACACAATTTAAAATCTCCACAGAGGATGCTTCCTAGAGAACTGGCATGCAGAATGCGGTGAGGCTGTCAGCCTTGTGCGCCAGCCACTCTTTACCCCCATGAAGATTCCTGGTACTCATTTCTGTTGGAGGCTGAGTTAACCCCAGGGCCATAATGTGGCTGGAAGGATTAGGTCAATTAAAAAAAATCCAGTAACCTCATTGGGAATTGAACCTGTAACCATCTGGCTTGTAGCATAGTGCCTCAACCAACAACACTACAGCATGCCCCAAAGGTAAAGCTATCCCTGTAACAGGCCATGGAGGCCCCACACGGTTGTGGGACGTTGAGGCTTAGTTCTTTCATGTAAGTTACTGTTAATACTGCAAAAAGGGCAGTCAGGTGTATTCCAGGTTAAGTAGAAACGAAGTTTCATAAGCCTAAATATATACAAATTTTGTACTTCCTGTAGAATGTAGACTTTTTAGTGTACTGCTCTTATATAACCTGGACATAACACTATTATTTTTGTAACATACCTTACACCAAGTGTATGCTGATTTGCAGGATGAGTAAACATAATGATAATGAGACTGGTGAACCAGCAAACAAGCTTGCTAATATAGAAATATAAACTAAAAGCACTGAACTACATGCGTTGATCCCAAGACTGTTTTTTTTAATTCATTCGTTCATTTTATTTTTCTTTGAGTAATCCATAACAGTGATCATCACCTAGGATATAGAAGATGTCCACATACAATAAAATAAGATACACTATGCCTGCAACAGATGTATTGTTCTGTCATAAACACACACAGCTAAATCAGATGAGAAAGTTCTACTGCAGTCTTTACCTGTTGACCACTTCCATGGAATGCAGTGACATCTCCATGTTCACAAGCACACTGAAGTACTCTGTAATTTGGCTGGACTGCATCAGTTTCAGCAGCACCTCGATGGCAATCAGAGGATTGCTTTCAACCAGGTCTGGAAGCTGCAACCAGTGATTTATTTATTACACTAAAATTATGTGAAGCATTATATGAAATTTGAGGTTCCTGCAGTGGTAACTATTAAGAATATGGTCTTCTTGCATGTAATACCACATAGTTTGACAGATGAATATCAGCTGTTCAGAAGAACATGAGGCCTCCTCCAACTGGGTAGAAGAAGACTGTGAAAATGGAAACAGAAGGTTCCTTCAGAATGTTGATACCTGTTCTACCAATATACACAATATTAGATCCCTGAAGACAGTAATCTTCGTAGTCCTCACCGTTAAGAAACTTCGCATACTAATGGCTATATATATGTTGATGTCTCATCATCAGAATGCAAGACAATATCATAACATACAGCTGATATACATGTGAAAAATCTGGCAAACCTCAAATATTTCAGAATGACAGCTGACAAATCAGATTTGCATTCATGGAGAAATAACAGCAGATTATATTTGGAAAATGCTTTCTACCATTCAGTCCAGAATCTTTGTCTTCCCATCTAGTGTCTAAAAATATAAAGATTACAATACACAAAATGACAGCTTTACCTGCTGTTTTGCATAGGCATGAAACTTGCTCTCACATTCAAAGAAGAATGCATACTGAAAGTGTCTGAGAACAATAGAAGGTAAAGCTGTCCCTATGCTTAAGCAATTAAGCACTACACCACGAAGGTGTATGGGGGAGTGGATGTATGAATCTACATTTTCTTGACCTCGACACTAGCTGGAGGTAACGGTCAGCTTCACGCCCCTGCCGCTTTACCACCAGGGAAAAACACCCTGGTACCCATTGGATAGGAGTCTGGGTGGGCCCCAGAGGCTTGGACCTAAGAGAGAGTAAGCAGTAAGAGGCTTGAGAAAATTACATACTGCAGAGCTTTGTAACTTGTATTAGTCACCAAGCTTTGCTAGGATGATCAAATCAAAAAGAACGAAATGCACAGCATGTAGCACATGGGGAGAAGAAAATGCACGAGATTTGGCTCAAAAAACCTCAATGGAAGAGCCCATTTAGGAGACCTGAGCATAGATGAGAAGAGAATATCAGAATGCATTCTAAGCTAATAGGATAGGAATGTGTGGGCTGTCTTCATCTTACTCAAGACAGGGTCCATTTGTGGGCTCTTATGAACATGGTAATGAACTTCCAGGTTCCATAAATGACAGACAGTTTCTTCACAAAGTGAGTGACTGAAGAAAGACAGTTCCTCGGCATTATTTTAGATAAGCTCGACTGTCTTTTCAGTTATTTAACAATGCTGAATCAATATTTGATCTATGAGGTATGTGCATGTTTTTTTAATGCCTCCAGTTTGCCCCTCCTGCCTTCCGCATGCAAGGTGACAGCACTCACATTCCACTCTGTCTACGAAATATATAAATCAGTGCAGTCATCTGACCACAGAGTGCATCACTCTTGTTTCTAACCTTGCTTGGAGTGAGGCCAATGTGATACACTAGTTTGGGGTCATTTTCCAGTTCAGCCAATAAATGCTGCTGCTGCTGAAGTGTGAGGGCACCCTTGAAAGCACGTGCCATAAGTCTTTTGGCCTCAACCCCTTCACAGTTAGATACACACATTGTCACATCATATGCTGCCTTGTGTTCTGACGGTTCTGTCGGATTCAACCAAACCAACTGAAAAAAAGCAACCGGCCATTAGTTGTAACTAAAAACATTTTAACTCCCAAACACATATTTTGTTTAAGCAAAAATCTGTCACTCTATTCAGATCAAACCAAGAATCCCTTGCATTATCAGAATAGTGGTCTACTACAGATCATCTGAACAGGTATGCAAAACAAAGAGAAGCCTGTACCTCATCCTCACAGCTGTGTATGGGGGGTACAAGACGCACGAACTCTGGCTTGTAACACTGTTCTGTGATTGGCTTCTGCCCAACCAGCAATGCTTCAGCTGTTTTCTTTGCAACACTCTGCTCTGGAAATAAACTGAAAAACAAAACAAAAAATCTTGCTTGTACATTACTGCCAATGAAAAAGAAATTTCAGGAAACAACCTGCTCTTTCACCCTTTCCTATTCTTTTTATTTCTAACCTCATTCATACTAAATTAATTTGTGAGAAAAAGAAAAAAGTGTATGGTATATTCTGGCAGAACTTATTCACGCAGGAGGCAAAATATTCCGTTCTAAGATCCACAATCTAATTATTTCTATTTGGCATAAGGAAAAATTGCCTGATCCATGGAAGGAGTCTATTATTGCACCAGTTCACAAGAAGGGTGATAAAACTGACTGTAGTAATTATCAGGGGATATCACTGCTATCAACTTCATACAAAATGTTATCCAGTATTCTTCTCTCAAGGTTATTATTATTATTTTCTTGATTGTGGAGCAATTGGTAGAATGAAGATTGGCAGGGGAAACCAAAGTACTCAGAGAAAACCTGCCCCAGTGCCACTTTGTCCACCACAAATCCAACTTGACCAGACCCGGGATCGAACCCGGGCTGCCACGGTGGGAAACCAGCGACTAACTGCTTGAGCTATGACGCGGCCATCTCTCAAGGTTAAGCCCATATACAGATTATATTATTGGGGATCGTCAGTGTGGGTTTCAATGTAACAGATCAACTACAGATCAGATCTTTTGCATTCGTCAGATATTGGAGAAAAAATGGGAGTACGATGAGACAGTATATGAGCTATTCACAGACTTCAAGAAAGCCTATGATTCAGTTAGGAAGGAAGTATTGTACAATATTCTGATAGAGTTTGGGATACCCATGAAACTAGTTAGGTTGATTAAAATGTATTTAAACGAAACGTATAGTAATTTCCGTGTAGGTAAACATGTGTCTGATAAATTTCCTATCCAGAATGGTCTAAAACAAGGGGATGCTTTATGCCCACCCCTTTTCAACTTTGCTTTAGAATATGCCATTAGGAAGTTCCAGGAAAACCAGGTGGTACTGAAATTAAATGGGACACATCAGCTGTTGGCCTATGCTGATGATGTGAATCTACTGGGTGATAATGTAGATACCATAAAGAAAACCACACAGACTTTAATTGATGCAAATAAAGAGGTTGATCTAGAAGTAAACACAGAGAAAACTAAGTATATGTTGCTGTCTCGTCACCAAAATGCAGGGCAAAATCGTGACATAAAGATAGGAAACAGATGTTTTGAAAATGTGGCACAATTCAGATATTTGGGAACAACGATAACAGATCGAAACATGATTCAGGAGGAAATTAAGAGGAGATTGAACTCAGGTAATGCTTGTTACCATTCAGTCCAGAACCTTTAGTCTTCTCGTCTGCTGTCCAAGAACACAAAAATTAGAATATACAAAACTATAATTTTGCCTGTATCTGTATGGGTGTGAAACTTGGTCTCTGACATTAAGGGAGGAACATAGACTGTGGGTGTTGAGAATATTTGGACCAAAGAGAGATGAAGTGACAGGAGGTTGGAGAAAACTGCACAATGAGGAGCTTCGTAACTTGCACTCTTCTCCAAGTATAATTAGAATGATCAAGTCAAGGAGGATGAGGTGGCTAGGGCATGTAGCATGAATGGGGGAGACAAGGAATGCATGTAGGATATTAGTGGGAAAGCCAGAAGGAAAGAGCCTGCTGGGAAGACCAAGGTGTAGGTGGGTGGACAATATTTAAAATGGATCTTAGAGAGATAGGATGGGATGGTATGGATTGGATTGATATGGCTGAGGATAGAGAAGGGTGGAGGGCTCAGAGGAACATGGTAATGAACCTTCGGGTTCCATAAAATGATGGGAAATTCTTGAGTAGCTGCAGAATTGGCAGCTCCTCCTGAAGGGCCAGCTCCATAAGTAAGTAAGTAAGTAAGTAAGTGTATGGTATATGGAAAGTCTAATTCTCCTGCCATCTGCTGTTCATATAGGCAGACTACTAGAAGACAAAGAATGTAAGGAACAAAGACATAACACTGACAATGTGATGATAATATTCGCAGTAAATTCATAAAGTTGGTGGCAGTAGGCTACCAAGAGTGGACCTGTATGATAAAATTATGATTTCAGAAGCCTTCAAAGGATAACAAGAGGTTGAATGCTTCCACAGACCAACAAAAATTCTAGATCAGTAATCACACAACTTACAGATATACTTTGGGGCAAACTGACATCTGACATCCGAAATCTGTCAGACAAGAAGACCTCAAAGGTTTGCACTGTCACCATATACATACAAAACTGTCATGCAGAAACTTTAAGTGAGTGGGATCTACTAAGTTCACAATTACTGTTACTGGACATTAACGTAACAGCTGTCCATTGAAAGGTTCCATTTATTTGCAAAAATGTCAGGATTCTACACAGAATGATGTTGGTGTCTTGCCGAGGTTAAAATCATGAAGGTGCAATGGATAACATGACACGTGCCTGTTTTATAGGGTACAAATCCAGTCAAGTTTCCTTGTAGATCTCAAGTTATCTCACCTCTGTACCTTTTCTGATAATTTTAACTGCTGTTCCTGCACCCTTCATCTTTCATACAGTGGTGCATATGTACATAGTTCACTCACATGCATTTGTACTTACTCGGACATCTATGTAATGACACTCCATTCATAAAAAGCTTTTACAGATTTTTAAAGCTACATACACAAGCTTAATAACCACAACATATAGACCTAAAACACTGGGAGGAATATGGTTAAAGCAAGAAGGAGCTGAGTTAGAATTAAAAGTTTTGGAAAAGAAACTCAAATTCAAAATTTGGTAACAAGTTAGGAGAGAAATCATTACAATGATTTGACCATACAAAAAGAATTTCCAGAACAGGGATAGTGAGAAGGACACTTCAATTAAATTAAATTAAAGAAGAGATACAAAAGACAACCCAGAACAAGCTTCATGCAAATACTGGAAGACATCATGAAGAAAAAGAGGAGCAGACAAGACTGTGGGAAAAAAATGAGAGTGGAGGCTTTTCATTCATTGACATGTACAAAATGGGGACTTACTCTGTCCAGTGAACGGAAATGTCAAAGAAGTTTCCATAAGGAATGGTAGTGCCTGTCTGCCCCATTTTGCTCCCATTAATTATACTGTATAGAGAGCTTCACTAACCTTACTGAACCAAATCTTGTTTCATTGTCTGATAGAATGACAGGAATAGCAGACCGACTAGTGTGGGGCAACTCAGACTGTCTCTCCGCCAGTGCCAGCTGAATGCTTGTGATGTCAACACCGTGAAATGTTCCCAGGTCACTGTTCAAAATCTGACTGGGGGTTTTCTTCAGAAGCTGAAATTGCATGCAGAACAACAGATTTCCATTAGGGATATCAAGTGCTTTTTGATAAATTAACCACATTACCATTAGTCAAAAGTTTCCCTGGTGCATATACATTATGCCGTACATTGTGTAAAGGGAGCATGGGGGCAAAGCTCCACATATACTACACTTTGGGTATAGAAGGAGATGAGCGGTGAGACAGCCAATTCCTCTAATGATGTGAGTACAAGCCACAAGCTTCTCAAAATTTGGCATTTACCATCAATGCATGGCACCAACACCAAGTCAGGCTGTTCAGACATCTCTTTAACTCGTCATGTGCAAATACAGGTCAAATGTCAGGACATACAAATTCTATTCTACTGCGCACCAACAGCATGTGTTACCAATGGTCCTGACTGGCCCTACTACAGCAAGATAGTGAATGACAGCACTGCATTGTAACTACTCCTGATGCTAACTCATCACCATTTCTCAGTCACAACTGTATGACTTCCCCAGCTGATCCTGCATCACAAAATATTTGTTTCCATTTCATGATATGCAACATTCACCTCTTTTGTTGGGTTGGTGATAAGCTGTGCTAGGAAGTTCTTTTCTACTGTGGAGAGACGAGGGAGTTGACCGGCATATTGAAGCTTGCGGGTTGAACCTCTGCTAGTTTCTTCAGGAGGATGCTATAATGAAAATGAACCGCTTTCATTATAAACTGGCAGAGGAAAAAATTAAAAAATGCACACAATTTGCGGAATTCAAAGAATGTGAATTTTAAAAAATATGTCCAGAATACTATAATACACATGTCTGAGGGGATGCTCAAAATGAGTGAAGGTGAGAATGTAATTACTTTTACCTTGCACCTTTGTGTGAGGAAACATTTAAAATTACACAGCCAATGACATCTGAGACTTTCAAATCAGTGAAGATTTACAGCATGGTCTTCTTGAATATGACTGTGTAGTCTGGCAGGTGGATATCAATGTTTCAAGAACCTGCATTATCCATCTTCTACCCTGAAATCTGAGGCAGTATGTTCCTCTGTAACACAGATACTCACCTACAAACAAGACCCATATACTTACATCTGAGGCAGCTAGAATTTGTTTTTCTTGACTGAGTTACCCAGTCTGCTTCTGAATCTTTCAGCAAGTAATAACAACACAAATAGAGCAGAAATGAAACATTGACAGGAAGAAGATAGAGACTGAAAGTTATGTAGAAAATCAACAGATATTCCCATCTACTAACTGTAGAATAATATTTCTGTATTTTTTAAATTTTTTGCTAGATGATGCCATGCAAAAACTTCAGGTAAGAGCACTTAATTAATCACTGTACTGTAAAATTTTATTCTCTCTTTGCAGTATACTCTTTTTATAGACATTTTGCCAGTAGGGAAGACTAGAATGTATGTTGGCCACACTGGTTTTCCTTATCCTCATCTGCCAACCAGTTTCTCCAGTGTTCCAGAAGAGGTACACTGATACATGCACGGGCCAGACAAAACAATCCATACCAGTTCTGCAGATGGGGGAGAGCTCTACATGTTTCAACAAGATGAGAAGTGTGTGCAGGGTAGGTAACATGACTCCACTGATTGAGTGTCTGTCACATGTCACGATGCTGTTCTCCTGTTGTCTTGCAATGCTGCTCTCATGGGGGCCACATGACAAGAAAATCTACTTACAAACTGTAAGCCATTTAACACTATTTTTACCGACTGTTCTAGAATTTCCATATAGGAGAACAATTTTGCCTGGAAACACTTCCAGTTTTCATTACATCAGGTATATTTCCCTCTTCTTCAATACAGATTTTTTTTAAAAATCCAAGTGGGGAGCGGAAGATGCCTGCCATGCCTCCCTTCTCCCTGCTAGTACCAACAGCCACTCTTACTGTCTATCTGTTGAATTGTGTGACAGCTTGTTTACAAATAATAAACATTTCATTTCATTTCTTATAATTAGGTTCAAATATCATACACTAGACAGTAACAATACAAACAACCTATTGGATACTTTTTGGAGAGTAGTATTCTAATGATTTATATACTACACTCAGTAAAACAAGTGAGGTAACAAAGTGTTATGATACAGACTCAGTTTTCTAAATTCTTTCACACAAATTCAAGGATCTTCAGATGTTCTAAATTCAAGTATAAATCTGTATAAATTATAAGTTTCTTGCATTCATCATAATCATGTATATTCAAAGCTGAGTTAAGATGGTGATCACATGTTCTTTATAAGAAGGATGACTCCATCTCTTTAGTATATAAAATTTCTGGGTTTGGCAGCATTAAGATAGCAGTCAATTTTGAAGTACCAGATTGTGCCCTGCCTCACCAATAAGTGAATGAACACCGTTGCAAAAGGATTCATAGCCATTGACTCTCCCCTGTACAAGTCATGAAGAAGTGTAATGGCTGCCAATCTCTGGGTCGGCTTGGGGAGAAGATCTGTTTGCTGGAGAAGCAGGATAATAGCACATCCCACTGCAAACATGAAATACAGGCAGATGTATGGATACATTTATATTATAAGATTTCATCAATTAAAAACCCTATAATTACCAAGTGATTTATCCAAGAAATATGAAGTACCAAAGGAAAATAAGTCCCATGGAAAGAAGCACTAATACTGTATGCAGAGTTAATGGGATGAGAAAAGAGAGGCTGAAGAATCTACTATTTTCGTTCTGTTCTATATATCACAATGCTGCAGAGTTATGTAAAAGTAATAACTCTCATACCTTGATATTTTAATATATAATGGCCATGCTCAGTTGATGTACTTATGCTGGACAAAATAATGTGCCAACCATTACTGTTTGCTATTCCTTGCACTTTTAAATAAGCACATATTTGTAATGGTTTACGTTGTGTTTATATCTATTTGTATGTTTTGATCTTTCAAACAAAAGTGGTATACTATGCAACACAATCGTCGGTTTCCCCTGCCAATCCTCATTCCATCAAATTCTCCATAAGCATAATCACTGGTACAGGTACAATAGGATATATGGAGGCCAACGTGCCAAGGGGACCTAATGTGGATTCCACTTCACACTATACGAACTCTAACTACTGTAATCTATTGTAAACAATTTTAAGTATTGTAACTTTACTCTCTTATTGTAATTTGCCAATGTACAGTAACTGACTTGTCCTGTATCATGTAACAAAGGTCTATACAGACGTAATAAATAAATAAATAGATATTTCACCTTTGTAATGATCCTGTTTGCTGAAGCACAAGTGTATTTGTGATGCCAGAGATTCAAGACTCTGAGCCTCAGTGCTCTCTTCATTTAATATCCTGTAAATTCAATGTTAGAATTTGATATCAGGCGCATGGCTACACATATACCCCATCACTCACTTCACTTCATTTTATTTCTAAATGTCACAAACATTCAGTATCATTCTACGAGTTTACTTCCTGAAAACCGGTTCCCTTTTCAACAATTAACAAATATAATAATATTTAGTAAAATACAAATCCAGTATTCGGAACTGATATTTAAAAATGCAGCCGACTTTTCACTCAGTATTATGTCAACATATAAAACAAATATGCGCTACGGTAGGTTAGGTTAGTTTTTCAAATACAAGTGAGCAACAATAATAATATTACCCAAGTAAAGACGTTAAGTCTTTCACTGACAAACTCATGGTACGCTCACTTTAAATTAAGCAACAGTAATTTTAAAATAATAACTGACATATTTTACAATTTGGGATTATGTATATAAATAACACATTCCAAAGGCCACTTTCCATTACTACATAAATACGTCTGAAGTTTGTAAAAGCAGGTTCAGAAAAGCTACAAGATAGTTCAGTTGTGTTTAATATACTTTGCTGTGTATTTCTTGGGCACCGTAGATCAAAGTATATTTGAGTATATTAGTAAAGAAAAGCGCACGAATGTGCATTACATAGATTGTGGGTTTTAGCCTTTGCTATAATCACACATACTAAAATCAAACTACAAGAACAGGAAACTATTTTACATATAAATATGTATAAGCTTAGAGAATTTTCTAGAAAAGTACGAGAATGCTTTAGTCACGCATAAAAATGCTTAAATTTTGTAAATAAAAATATTGTTATTCTGGACATTATACGTCGTCATATTTTTAGCGAAAACGTTTCGGAAACTGGATTCCACTTCTGGAACTTTGTGTTTTAAGTAAAAACTGGACGGTGGATAACGTCCAGAAATATGGTATTTTTAATAATATATCATCGGGACAAACTTCTAGGTCTTATTTTCAGCAGACTTGAAGCACAGAAAGAATCATTTAAGAGGTTACCTTTTAATTCAGACTTAAGTACTTTGATGTCATAATTTAGGGGTTACTGAAGGGCAATTGCTGTGTTGTGTTGACAGGAAAAGAATAAATATCGTCTATAATAAACTATAATGAAAACTTTGAGAGTAAGTTTCCGTGGTATTTTTGTTAACACCTATTTTCTATTGGCAGCACCGAACAGCTTAAACATAATATTCTGAAGGTCAGAACGGTTAGAGCAGTTGTAAAAATGGTTAAATTATTGCAGAGGTTGATATTGCAGCATCAGAAACTTTCACCGTATAAGGTAAATATGAGAAGAAAATGAAAGAAAAATGTCAAATGGTCGCTGATTATTTTTCCCTTATTTAAAGTAATTTTTTCTTCTTGAGAAAATGGAGGACGAATTTGAGGTTATATTGGTAACTGAACCGTGATTAAAACTGAAGTGTATATGTACAATCAAAGTGACAACTGTACATATTCTATTTTCTACTTTCGTTATTGAGTATTTCATTTAGTATTACATTGTGTGATGCGTTATTAGCAACTTAAATTGATTGATTGATTGATTGATTTATTTCGTCACTGTAGATCATTGTACATGATATATGACAAGTCAAGTTAATTCTGAATATTAACAATTTGATATATAAATAGATTAAAATTACAATAGTTACAATTTTTTACATTCTTATTTGTGGAGAATTTGATGGAATGAACATCTGTAACTGATTTCATTAGACAACATTTTAATGAATTTTTCTTGAGCCTTATTCATAATTATGAATAAGGCTCAAGAAAAATTCATGATGCTGCTTACTGAGATTATAATCTCAGTAAGCAAAGAACATATTGCAAGTCTTACAGAGATTTTTTTTTACTACTGATGTATTGATGAAGGCTGTGTTAACTTTTGGTAAAGTGACTGACTGGACAGTGTGGGTTTGATTACTGCTAGGGGCATTCTCTCAACCACTGTCCAGACTGGCTGCAATACCCTCCTAGCCTCGTATTCATTAGATACATGGTGAAAGTTCCCTAAAGGGAAAGTGATGAGCCCTTGGGCTTTTATACATTTCAGGAGCATCGACCCTTTGGTGGATCACTTTAAGTAAACTGGTCTTAGAGGGTCCGTGCCATAGCTCAAGCGGTTAGTCGCTGGCTTCCCACCGCGGCGGCCTGGGTTCGATCCCGGGTCTGGTTAAATGGGATTTGTGGTGGACAAAGTGGCACTGGGGCAGGTTTTCTCCAAGTACTTCGGTTTCCCCTGCCAATCTTAATTCCACCAATCACCCTCACCAATCATGGGACTGGTACAATAGGCCAGAAGTGGCCAGTACAAGGGACTTAGTTTGTGTTGATCTCTCTGTTCTCTGCCCGCTTAGGTGAGGATATAAAATACGTTCTTAAGGGGAGGACGCTGTCCTGAATGATGGCTGCAGAGGTGATGCACAGCTCAGTGTGGGCCTGAGTATTCTTCACATTTTGAAAGTTTTATTTTTGGTAGTGATCAAGGTTTCAGTCTGTGAGCAGGTACATTCACACACACAGGTCCAAGTGGGAATCATGCTCAGAGCCCTCTAAATAAGAATTCAGAATCTGACCTTGAAACCACTGATCTGATTGATACTGGTATTATGGCCTAATTCATAAATGGACTTTCACTCTATATAAATCAAACCATAAATGATATCTTGCCACTAGAAACTAGGATTATTGGTTCAGGTGCCACAGATGCCTGAATATATGTTATGTTTTTCTACAACTTCTTTATTACAACTGTCACAACACAACCAATATCAAGATCAGTGCCAGGTTTTGGCTCTGCTACATGTTTTGGCTATTAATAGCCATCATCAGGCAAATACATGTAGTAGAGCCCAAACTAGGCACTGATCTTGATATTAGTTGTGTTGTGACGGTTGTAATAAAGAGGTTGTATATTATAACACAACAGGATGCATGAAATGAAAATTATGTTTTTCTGTCTTGATCTGTCCTGCCTATGCAGAGGTCTTGTGTTCAAAGATTCATAATTTATAAATGGGAACAGGCCAAAAGACCTATTTTAAGAAAGGTGAATAAATTACAGATATTTATGTCATTTTCTGCCAGACTTCTCTGAAAACTTTTGTATAATTGCTTAATAAGCCAAGATAAAAATGTGCCTGTAATATAAATTAAGTTCAAATCAACCTGCCTTGACATAAACTGTTACCAGATTTTAATTTATTGGAAAAATATAAAGTCTGTAGTAAAATCATGCTTTGTGAATTTGGAGATTGCTTAATCCAATTAGAAATTGCAAACAGGTCTTCACTGTGAAGACTGGATGCCTGTTATTTTGTGACATTGCCCTAGGTCACTGTTACAAGGGAGATAAAAATTATACCCCCCCCCCCAAATGCATCTGTTTTATGAGAGATCAGTATTCTTCTTCGGTGTATCAGTAATAACTGACATAGAATTTTCCAGTCCTTATTATAATGTGTTTTTCATGGGTGTGAAATTTGGTCTTTCACCCTAATGGAAGAACATAGGCAGAAGATGTTTGAGAACAGGGTGCTAAAATTATCTGGTATTAAGGGAGAGGAAGATGAGGTTGGGAAAAACTGCATAATGTGGAGCTTCATAACTTCACCAGATAATATTAGGATGATGATCTAAAAGTTTGTGATGATGGTATATTGCTACAAGTATTATGTTTTTGGACATTATCCATTGTCTTGTCAATTTGTAAAAACCTGTCCTGTTTCTTTTTCAAAACACAACATTTTGGCTTATCTACTGGACCCAACTGAGTAGGTTTTACCTGAGGACGGGGACAGAATCCAGTCCCCAAAACGATGTTTTTTGAAAAAGAACAGGATGGTCTTTTAAAAAATAGACAAGACGATGGATAATGTCCAAAACCATAATACTTGAAGGAGGAAAACAGAGATGAGAAGTATATACAGGATTTTAGGCGAGAAACTTGGAATTTTTTCTCATAAACAAGCTGAAGTGTGATGCATTTAAACAGGCCCTTGCACAGCGATATGCCAGTCATGGGGGTTGTGCCAAAACTGTATCCACCCCAGCCAATGTGCCAGGACTAAGTTCAGCCGTTTACAAAGTCCCTCCTGGAGGTATGTACCACTATATATATTCATAGCAAGTCAAATGTCTGCTCTTTTTCCCATCGCACTGTTTGTGCCTCTTTTCAGATGTGAAGAGGATATGAATTCATTTTCATGTACTGTAATTTACAGTCTGTTTTTATCATCAGCATTCTGCAAGATTTCTTCTCAGTGGCTGCCAACAGCAGTGCTTTGCAGTGTGATATCCAGAGAACATAGTGCACTCTTATACACATTACTGTGAATGCTTGGTCTTCTGGGGTGTCACAATGTAGTCTGCTAAATAGTCATTTACTGTTTCAGATGAACATAGTGCCTTAATCTTCAAGGTTTAACCTTGAAGTCCATAACCACATATCACAGAACACAGCCTAACACCTCGGAAGACCACAGTCTTAATACTCAGTGCTGTGTGAGACTCTTGAATTTACACAAATTCCACAAGTCTGCATTCCTGAAATCCATTTCCAGCATGCTGAACATTAGTACACATGATGTTATGTATGTAAGACTTGGCACCTTGTACAGTGCAAGTGCAGTTTACCAGGTGGTGGTGATGACATCAGCACTTAGCAATTGGTCAGAGGAGAGGGGAAAGCCACTAGTAACTCTAGCAGAAGGGGCTCAGAATTTGCAGTAAAGATGAAGGGGTGAACACACTGAAATCAAACTTTCAGTGTTGACAGTTTTGCATGTCAAGAGTGGTCACTATATGTAGAAATAACATTCAACTTAAGAAATGAAATGAAGAATGCCATCTTCTGGGATGCAGCACCATGTAGAGCTTGTGTGAACTGACGTTTCAGAGGAACATATCACCTCCATCCCATAGGATGGCATTCTTCATAGTCACCGCCATTAAAACCTCAAATCTTACATACGAAATTGAAATTTACTCCTGTAATTAGAAACCAGACTGTGATTTAGGATTGCAACTGTATCCAAATACTCTATTACAGTACTTGCACATTGCTTTAACTGCTGTGGCTCCTGTACAATTCTCAGTTCGGTCTGTGACAGGAAACGGGAAAGTTACATCATGTGTGTGTGTGTGTGTGTGTATGTCACCAGGACCAACTTACCAAGATAAAATGAGAATAAATTCAAAACATATGACTGATACAGCCTCACTGCCTTTTTCAATTACAGTAATTAATGACACAATTCATGAACACTACCCACTGTACTGTTTGTGTCCATGTTTAATATCACATTTATTTATTCTAGATGTGGGCCCTGGTGCATCCAAAGATGGTAAATACAAGAATCCTGAATATTTTTGCTACAACCAAATGTCTTACTTTGAAGCTGAAGTTGAAATGTTAAAATACAGATTACCTCAACCATCAAACAAGCCTAAAAAAAAGTAATTTAAATAAAATGAGTTAGTTCCTGATGATATGTTTGTTCATCTTGTACTTGAAGAATTAAAATGATAGCAAGGCTGCAATAAATATATACACCCTGTACAAAAGATTATTATATGGTTTATTGTATTTATTCTAAGTTATGATCCATGTTCAGTTTCATTCACAGTGTGAAATCAAAAGGTTCAAATGCACATCGAAATGCTTTGGCAAGCTCTGTTTCCTTTTCCTTTGTAGCCTTGCAGTCACGCCAGTCTGCTCTGTCTGCCATGTCCAGAAGCTCTTCACTTGCCAGCACTTCTCTGAAACACAATGTCAACATTATCTGTCAATAGGCACTAATTAAAAGACTGCTGACTGATAATTTTGGTCCAGTACCAAACATGGTTTGAGTACTGATCAGGACACAGGATATCTCATCAGGTCTTCCTCAGTTCTTCCAGGCAAATGTTGGGATAATACTTGAAAATAAACCACACCTGTTTTCTACCTAATCCTTTCAAGATCATCACATCATTTCATTTGATTCTAAAGAGCCTCTGTAACTGACCCACTGATGATAACCTATGAATGAATGTCAGTTAACACATACCTTTTGTAAGACAAAAGTTAGAGCCTGTATGTGCTACTGTACTTTGTATTCAAAAGTTGTGAATGGTAACACAGTCATCCACATTTACCTTCCAAACTGTAGGGGGAAGTTGTTTGCGACTCTGTGGTACAACTTATCTCCTGAAGGTAACTCCACATAGAAGTATGGGGTTCGAGGAGGGGCCACTTGAGAGAGCTTTGTGTGATGAGGCAGTTCATCAAGCTGCAGCCCATCTTGTTCGGCATTTTCCTGTAAACACAATGAGATCTCGATAAACAGAAATTCTGTTTCACCTGTGTGTGCCTTCATTATTTCAAAATAAAGTATTGCTGCACCTTACTGTGAATCAAGTGCTCGGCACTCCTACTCTTACGTTATTTGATGGGTGATACTTTATGACTTATGTAGGGCATCTTACCAGGTTAGCTGATCCTGATCAGTTGTTTACTGACTTACTTGAAAAACGCGTTTCAGGCGACCAGCCATATTATGTGGGATGGGAACAGTTTGTATCTGTAGGTGTGAAGTCTTGTAGTTCCTCTCAAAGAACACTGGTACTTTATGTTGCTTTTTGAAATACTTCTTCAGTGCTGACTTGAATATGTAAGTTGTTAAGGGAAGAACATTGCAGCAATAATGCAACAGTAACTGCAGCAAACCTTGACAGTGTAAAGTTACAAAATATGAAATTGAGAAATATAATCTTTGAAAGAGTACAATTCTGAGGCCACACAACGGAATGTCATGGATAATACGGGAGGTTTCCCTCCTTCTGCCTACTGTTGATATGTCTGTATTTATAATGAGTACAACTGTGGGCTGAAAAAATTTTGACATGAATGCATCTCCACTTATTACTTGGGATATGAACATGTTTTAGCATACAGTTCTCAAAGGATACTTTTCTATTTCTTCTTCAACTGCATCTGGTAAGGTCGATAGTGACTGGTGATGACCCACTGGCAGGATGAGCACGTGGTCAGGCACCATCCCCCCCTTTGCCAGTGCCAGGTATGACTGAACAGAAAAACAAACAGGACATGACAGTGACAAGTGTGTCCAACAGCAAACTGTCTTGCTGAGCTTCCATATTTGCAGTAAAGCTACCTACCTCACTGCCAACACTAATGACAAGGTGTTTCTCGACTGTAGCACTTGCAAGACAGAACCAGCATGATTCTGAAAGTGAACAGAACCTCTAAAACTCCACATTCTTCACCATTGAACACAACACTTTTGCACATATTGAGATCAGTATATTTAGTTTCACTATTTTAATTGTTATTTTCTGAGTTTTGTACTGCGTTGTGAACTTATATGATCAGGAGTACAGGTGTACTGAGCACTGCTGTGTACTGTCGGATGAGGACAATAATGGAAGGGGGGTCAGCGAGTGAGTGTAATTACAGTGGCTGCAAGTGTTGCTGCACAGGACACAGCAAAACAGCAGCATCTTCATGTCTGTGATGATTTATCTCCGTAGAAAATCATTTTATATCATTATGCGATGTGTGGCCAGATTTCATCTCGCTAGTAGTAATACTTGGTGAGCTGGTATGTGTGGATGTCCCATTAAAACTGTGCAATGCACAGCTAATAAAATTTCCTTACTACATGTGCAGTTTATTGGGTAGGAGTGTAATTAGGAATATTAAAATAAATTTAATGCAATTAGAATATATTTTAAATACTCTAAAGTGCATTGTATTATCTATGTAGTGCTGATAGTCTCACTTTCACCAATGAATTTCTATTTGTATTCAATTTTACTCCTCTTCATAAATGTAAAACAGTTTCACTGTAGCTGGCCAATCTCGTAAAGCTGTACAAGCTGTCTCTTGCTGTCAAGGACCTGTGCTGGGAGATGGGAGCGAGGTGAATGGTCACAGTGAACACACTGTCTGTCAAGAGCATACCAACTAAAAACTATACTACCTTGATCAAACTTTGGTGGCTGTCTTTTATGCTGCTGTTTATTGTCCTTTCTTGCTTTCTTTCTTTGGTTACCTTCATCAGTAAGAGAATCCATATCATAAAAGAACTGGGAAGGTCTCACCTATAAGAAAAGTTCAGTAAAAATACAATCATTGCTTTGCAAGACCATAATAAACAGCTGCCCCTGTGATAACAGAATCTAAAAGTTCGACCCCAATAATACCAATCCCTGATAATGGAAACAATCCTGAGCCAGTTCCATCCAGCACCCATCCTCACATATTCAAGATCCATCTTAATATTATCATCCACCATGTTTAGTACATACTTGGTCGCCACAGTATGACATGTCCTTGAGCTGGAGGTGGTGCTAATGGCGTCTAGACGTGGAAGTGGTGTAAATATACAAAATGAGAGGTCAAGCAGCCAACAGGCAGTGTTCTTACAGTGTGGGAGATGGGCATAGAATTAATGACCTTTCGCAATAAAAAAAAGGCAAATACTACAAAGCTTATCATTTTAGAATAAAACTTGTACATGGAAGCTGAGTTCTGTGAACCAAACTTAACTGTGGGAATGGAAGGTAAGAGGGGAAAAAAAAATATATATATATAAATAAATAAATAAAAAGAAGTGCCAGACTTATGTTCAATCCCAGGAAATCTCAGAAATAAATTATGAAATATGGTGTTCAACCTTAAAAATAACCACTACCTTAAGACTGCAGTGTTCTGGAATGTGACGCTGTGTAATCTGGTAGATGGTTACCAGCATTTCTAAGGAAGATTCTATCTCCATATTTCCAGAAGACTACAATCTTCATATTCAGTGATGTGAGAACCTTGCATCTTAACCAATACCTGTTTCATTGAGAGGCTTGGATGGAGCATTTTGCCTGTGTATGGGCAGTCCGTCTGGTCTGTTGTCTCCTGATAGAGGTGTGTGGTGCTCATCTGGTCTATTGGTGCCAAACTGAATGCATACAGCCACTTATGCTTCAGTGTGTTGCCTACTTTAGCTAAGGCAATGAAACGTGTTGCATGCTCTGGTGTGCTCCCAGAGAAACTGTGGTTCCTGCACATAGCATAACTTTAGTTACCTAATGGAAGCCTGTAACATTCATGTCTTACAGCATGACCTCCCACATGAGGAGCACAAGTTCCATATGATACCAGTAATGAGTACAACATATCAAAATGCAACTTCTTAGTTCTGTCGAGGTTTCATTATGACTGGATGTATGACAAGGTATAATGTTATAAATTTCTATACATAACCTATATGGAGCTCTTTCAAAATAAACTCCTTCCTGGCCAGAGAAATGGTAATGAGGTTTCACCTGAGCAGCTAACCAAGACAAGAGCCATGATCCATTTGGTTCAATCTGCACCTGCAACAGATATAATGCAATTCCTGTTTTCCCTCAGAGTAAGATGGTTGGTACACAACAGACGCTATGGTAAAATGAGATGCAATTAAAATGGTCATAAATCATGGCATGAGAGGAACATCGACTTACAGAACAACCCTTATCACCAAGCATGATGTCCTTTGGCCAAGATGATGTTATCAAAATATCAACTCCTCGAAAATTAGTTTGTCCACGAAGACATGCATTTTTTACAGACTCAATATCTTTATCTGTAAAAGTGTGGTGTGACAATGTGTCTGATTCTGCCTCAATTCCACTCACATACGCCAGCTTCAATCCTGAGGAGGAAGTGAACAATCCTCGTTTACCTGTGTACAGAATATCTTTGTTACCAAGTCGTTTAAGATGCTTATAAAGAAGTACTAATGAGATACATGGATCAGTTCTAAAGGTACTGATGATGTTCTGTCTCACTTTACTAGGTTTCTGGACTTTGTCCATTGTCTAGTCTTCTGAATAAAACATAAATAATGGACCTCTTCCAGTCCTCAGATGAAAATGTGGGAAAGCACCTACTCAGTTGAGTGAGTCCATTACGAGGAATGTTCAGAATACCAGATGATGGACAAAGTCCAGAAACAGTAAAACTAGGCGCTACATAAGATTTTAAACCAGGACCTGGGAGTAGGAACAGAAGAGCTGATTCTTGGTCACCCAATTTGAAAAATATTGTCAGTGTCACACAAGAACAGCCGCAAACCTAATCCCACAGCACAGGTATGCAGAGAAAAGCAGTCACACAAAACACAATACATATCAATATGCATGCAGTGTGAGGTGGAAGAAACATGCTCCATCAGGTAACTGCCCTTACCAAGATAAGTGAGATTGGGGCAGAGTTCACAGCCACTGATATGTGGATACAGAGCCACCTGTACAGCACTGCATGGACCCAAGATGTATGTTGGAATGGGAACTGAAAAGAAACAAGGAAAATATAACAACTGTTCTCATGAGAAAGCCATTAACAGTGATTATCTTAATGACTACAGTGCATGCTATATCGTCTGTCAATGAGAAGAAGGTCCTATGGGCAGATGTAGCACATAGGGACTACACAGCACAGGGCAATTTGGGAGACGTATGGGAATACAGATGGTTTACAGATTTTGTTGAAATAAGTTGTGATAACATGAACAGGCTCAGAACAGTGTCCAATGGTGGGCATATTCTGGACAGGGTGATGAACAGTTCCTTCACACCAACTGTTCGAGGCACAGTGTGCACTATGGAGACTTCAGTTAATGGCTGCCATAAAGATAAAAGAAGTGTAAAGTTGTGCACTTACCTAAATAATATACTGTGGAGGGGTGCGGGGGATGTGGAGGCAAAGCACCCTGCATTCTTAACCTCAGAAATTGATAACAGTTAAAATGCAAAGTGACAAACAGAGGGATAACTGATATCTATAGTCTTGCAGAAATTCTTGTCAGTATGAGCAGCTGTAGCATGCCAGACTCTGCCACTGTCAAGGAGACGTATAAATACAAGGGCCAAGAGGCAGCATTAATGGAGCCCTGCATGCTATGCAAGGAAATGCAGACTTGTGTCAAAAACAAGAATACCTACAATCATGGGAACACTGTCAACAAAGAGATGAAATGGTACAGTTCCATAAAGGTCACATGCAGAAATAAGAAGCAGCTGGAACAAATATAAAAAAAAAGAGTACTAGCTGGAAGAATACAAGGTGTGACAATTTAATTCCAGGAATGGCAACAGTGTGTTGCTGGGGTGTTGAGTCAGGCAAATTCATGTACCCAAGCATGTTTGGACATGTTCCAACTTGCATTTACATGAGCCACAGACCAAATGAGTTGTTTGTTCCCAAGCAACAGAGGAAGCAGTATGTGTCTGTGGTATGCTATTGGTGGAAAAATGAGTGACAAGAATCTGGTGCAGCGGATAAAAATCAAGTTTTGTGTGAAGATTGGCAAAAGTACTAGTAAAATGTTAGCCCTATTAACAATGGCATATGGTGAATACGTTACAAAGAAATGGAGCATTTTTGAATGGCATAGCCGGTTCAAGATAGGGCAAGATGACCCAAGAAGTAGACAGCCAAAAATGTGAAGGAGAGATACAAATGTGGACAGAGTATGAACCTCTGTGTGCTCAGATTGAAGATTAGGTGTGAGACTAATAGAAGAAGAACTGAATATGAATAGGGAAACATTGCGACAGATTATTATGGATGATTTGGGAATGAGAGAAATTTTCACAAAAATGGTGCCTTGAATCTTGATAGATGACCAGAAACAACGTCGGCTACACATTTCATCTCACCTTATTCACAATGTAGAGATGTCTGATAGGGTCATTACTGGTTATGAAATGTAGTGTTTCCAATATGACCCAGAAACAAAATGCCAGAGCATGCAGTGGAAAACAGAGAAGTTACCTTCTCTGAAAAAAGCACGCATGTCTCACTTGCAGTTCAAGATCATGCTTGTGTGCTTCTTCTATCACAAGGGGATAGTTCACTATGGATTCATTACACAAGGGCAAAGGTGAATCAACAGTGTTATTTGGAAGTGCTGACAAGGTTATGGGAATATTTTCAAAGGAAAAGGCCCGAACTCTGGCCTGACAAGTGGATTCTCCACCATGACAATGCTCCTGTGCATGATGTTTTATGAGTTTGCGAGTTCCTTGTTAAGAAATCCATTACAAAAATGGATCATCCACTTCGTTCACCTCGCATAGCCCCCTGCGATTTTTGGCTCTTTCAAAATTAAAAAAATGCCCTGAAGGGACAAAAATTTGCCAACATTCTTGACATCCATCACAACGTGACTTTACTGCAAGGTATTCCAGAAAACGATTTTCAAGACTTTCTGGCAGTGATACCATCGTCTCACGAAGTGCATAGCTTCACAAGGAGAGTATTTCAAAAGTGACAGCAGCAGCTAGTGCACAGGTAAGCAAATTTTGCCTTTACAGAGCCATTTCAGGAATTAAATTGTCACACCTTGTATATTTCTCCAAAACATCAGTGTCTACTGGGGCTGCACATTCTTACATGCTCATAAGATTGTACTCTTTATAGTCACCACTGTGTGAACAGCAAATGGGCTGGGTGGGGGGGGGGGGGNGTGTGTTGAAAGAACGGAAGGTGGGGAGAGGGAAGGGGGTGGGGGGGGGGGGGGGTGGAGAAAAAGCAATGAAAGGAAGAAACAAGTATATATGTAAGATTTGAGGACGGCTTTCTTCAAACAAGTATATACTTTGCATTAGAAACTAAATTAATATCATGCTTGTATGTTTCTTAGACACAACTAAGTTATGCCACTGGTTAGTCAAACCTTTAATTCATACAGAACATAAAAAAATAAATGATCCTCTTGAATAATTATTTGTAATTGCAGACCTACAGCATATGACACAGTCAAAATGGTTTCAACATTCAAAGAATAACAATTTTCATATCATAAAATATTACCTGTTAATTTCCCATTTCTGTATGGTTCCAAACCTTCATCTGTGTCCCCAAAAAAATTGCCCACACAAAGCAGCAAGTCAAACACACCATGTCCCTTATTAATATTTTCTACTCTTGAAAAGAGTGTCTGGAATTTCCCTTCTACATCACCACACACCAAACTGGAAAACGAAAAATCAGCCGCCATTTCAAAATGGTCATGTTTTAACAAAAAAATATAAATACGAGTGACGAGTTCAATATCCAGTCCGGTATCCGGACAAAGGATCTGTGAAACCATGTAGCTATGTATGTATGTATGTAATACCACTGCACATATAAAATCCTTCAAAATAGAACAATTCATGAAAAATTCTCACTACATCGACATCTGTTATTCCGAAACAAATAACCGGACCTTCCCTAATCCAGAATAAAAAAATAGCCCTCGTTCAGTCATCATTTAGCGAAGCTCTCAGTAAACAATTTATTCTAAAATTTACGCTTCTGAGACCGAACCGTCATTCGTACATTGTTCTGAATAGCAATATATATATATATGTACTGACATTACTACAAAACCAGCATGCGTTACAACAATGCCACTCGATAATTCAGATGTTAAATTCCACAATTACAATCCCACATACTCGAACCAATGAACTATAACCTCACTTTTGAAGAAAAGAGAACATTCGGCAAGCCATTCACAAAACAATAAACTTTTAATTCTGCCACATATTATCACAGCTTTAAAACATAATCAAATTCACTTACACTTTCACTTTATTCATCACACTTAATAACTACGATAACTACTGATACAAAGCATCTTCCTCCTCATTTCTCTTTCACGGTTTGTAATTGTAAGCAAAGATCATAGTTACTGATTCAGTGGTTTGAGAAAGGGCATGATTTACGAAGTATTAAACTATGATCCGTGGTACTTGGAAACACTTCCTTGGAAATCCGTTCTGTAGACCGGTATGGTCATAACCGTCATAACGCAGATGATCGAGGAAATTGCACCTCATCGTCATGGATAATGCATTTATAAGGATTTTGTACAAAGTTGTCGTTGTTAAATTTATATGAAATCCGCTTGTTATGATATCGTAATTTATAAACAAAGTTAAAACTGATTTGCTAACCCTTTGCAAAGAAAGTTCAGGGAGGGGGTTGGGGGCTGTAGTTTGTGTGGGTCCACAGTCACCTTTCTTCACAGACCCTAATACTAGTGCAGTAAAATAAAGATACAAATACAGATACAGTAACACCTAAGAGAACAAATACAAACTGGATTGTCATAAAATTGTAATCATTATGACAAAATCTCCATCCACTGACATTTATACCAGCATAAGTTGTGCCAAACCTCCTACATATTTCTCTACCTCTCAAACGTGTCCATCTTGTACATGTACGCTCTCAAAATAATCATACTTTCATTTCTTTCTGATATCACCTAGTGCTCTCTCCCTGAATTCCCATTTTGCTGCTGAACCCTGTTTAAACTTGGTGTCCACCCTTTGTAACTTTACATGTCCCTCAGCATGTCTTGTGTTTGGGCTTCACTTAACACAATACACAATCAAAGTGTTTCATACTACATTACTAATTTGAATGACATGGAACTGGGTAAAATTTAGTTCTACAGTCTCACTACATCATCTCAAAGCCTTTTCCAACTGAGGTTAATATGTTGATCTATTCCTCCATAATGGCTTAATGCTTGATTAGGCACAGAGACTTTACCTTCAACTTCACTCATTTCTGTACAGTTCATGTAACTACAGTTTCAACCCAAATGGTTTTTAAATTCTCCTTTTCTAGATTTCATCTTCTAGTTATTTTTTAATACTGTCATCACTAGTTTGCCAGTTACAATTTGTCTTTCTCCCCTTTCTTTTGAGTGATCTTTACCTTCTGTTTACTGCACTGTTTCAATATCAGGAGAACAGGTACAATCCATGCAAACTAAAAAATTAAACAAACAGATCAGTAAATTTAATTTTTATTCAATACTCGAGGATACTTGTTTGCAGTACACTAACATCACACGTTGGAAGGCTATAAGTATTTCAAGTGGATGAACAATCAGATCACAAAATTAATTAATAAATACTTTGGCACACAATTTTTCTAAGCTAATTTTAAAAGTCAATCAGCAAAGTGAAGAGTAACAACGTATTTTAAACAGAATATACATTTAATATCTACATTGATCATTACTATATAAATATACTTTTAAAAATTCAGTAATAAGTTTTTGGCTGGCTGCAGCAGTTAATCATTAAAGCTACTTAATTCTGAATTACTCAAATAACTTCCCAACTTTGTACACAATGTGACTGCCAGAAAAAGCATCATTAACATAACTGAGCTCCATGATATTCACACTGAAATTAGAGCTACTGGACTTCATTTATATATTATAAGACTCAAGAGGAGTTCTACTCCACCAGGCGCATCAAACACACAGGTCCATGTATACAAAATACATCAGTTGGCTGCGTCTGCCAATATCTGTGTGGACACCAAAGCAATATTTCATTTCTGCACTTAAAAAATCCATTTCATTCAATTACTCATACAATTATTATTTTGGCATTATCCTTCATCCTTTTTTTTATGTAAATCAAATTTTTGAAGAGTGGATTCTGTCTCTGTCCTCAGGTAAAATCATACTCGGTTCAGCCCAATCAAAATACCTAGTCCACATTTCCGGTAGAGGACAAGGGATATTGAAAAAATCAACAACTGTACTAATATACCATTGTCATACTTTTTTGATCTTATTCAGTTACCTGCCTGGAAACTCCACTACAAGAGATTGGTGCCATTACAAATTAATGGAAATTATGCAATAGGAAATTCACTTGCATATATTGTGAAAGAAAGAAAATGGTTTTCCATTCACGCCCCTAAGGCAGCTTTCTTGCAAGTCCCAGATCATCTAATCAAACACAACAGACCCAAACAACATTATCTTCCATTCATGTGTGAAATTTGTGGTGCAAGCATGAAGTGCATTGTGGTGCAGTCAATATAAGCGAGACCTGTATATTGGATATGATGGTTGAACAGTCTCATATCATCTAGGCTAGATGCATTATGTTTGATCATGGCCATACAATAAAATGTGCAGTGTGTTAAGTATAAATGTACACAGCTTCCCATATCTACTCTGCACGATTATTGTGCATTAACAAGGGTGATACTACTGCAATTATCAGTATCCCCACAATAACTGGAAGAACATTCACTGGTAGGGAATCTGAGTTTTAAAATTAACTATACGCATCATGTTACAGTAATGGAAGCATTAGATAATGCACCTAGTCAGCCCACAGACTGTTCTATACACTGGAAGTCAACGCTGATGTTGTCGCTGAATATTCTGAGGCACAGGTTGCGCTTGGGCCTCCTCCTCCTCACTCTCTTCCTCAGCAGAGCCTATGTCTCCATTCCACACCTCCTCCTCATCTTCTAGTTCCTCCTGTTGCCACAACACAGCAATTCTGTTTATGTATGTCCTGCAGTTTTGATCAGTTTGCTACATCTTTCAGGATGCAAAGTCAGAGATACCACAGCCCCATTCTACAATCCAACTACAATTCCAGCCCATGTTATTGATTATGTAAACACTGTAGCATTATAATATTACACGATTTTAATTTCAAAATGTTTACCAGTTCAATCTTAAGCTACGACATCTTTGTCAGTAAAGTGTTTACACTGAATAAGGGTGGGACTACTGAAAACCAAGGTTTGATTCCCAGGAGTGAGGGGTGGGGAGGGTCTTCTCTTCTAGTCAACATCCAGACTGGCTCTAGGGCTTACCAAAGCAACCCATTCTGTGCAGGTAAATTGGCAGGGGCATAAAGCTAACTACTCATCCCCATCTACTGTAGAAGCTAATAATTCATGGAGCTACACCTCCACCCCCCAACTGTGTTCATGGTAGTAGTGATACATTAAGCAAAGGGACAGCTTTACTTTTACCCTTACCAGTTCAATTAAAGGTTTCTGGTTCTGTTAAAAATTCAGTACATCAGAACATACCATGCCAAAAAATAATCTGTTGGGTTGTGTGTGTATGATTACAGTATTGTTCAATACCAGTCTGCTAGTTAAACATATATTGCATTTTTGGCATTGTATACAGGTGGGGCAGACAAGATTAAGTTTATATAAAAAAGTGGGGGAAAAGAATAGGAAGAATATGATGTAATGAGTCAAACCAAAAGCCAAAAAGGAATAAAATAATTAGCATTTATGGATAAATACCTCAGAAAATAAATTAATAAATGACAGAATAAGAAGGTACGACTACATTTTAGGAAAGTTTAAACATGAAAATGAAAGGAAAATGCCCAAGAGGCAGACCAAGAACAAGATGGGGACAACAGATTAGGTAAGCAAACTGAGGAGGAGCTTTGGGAAGGCAGCAATCAGTGGAGAAGATCTGCTGCTACACAACCCACATGAAGTGTATATGTTTACAGAAGATACTTTTATTACCATATTTGTATTAATTATACGTAAAATTGTTTCAGATGGCTACTGTAAGATTTATGACATGTATATTAGATTGTTATACTTATTGTTTTATATTTATAATGACAGTTTCTATATCCTATAGGTCTTTGACCTTGTATGGATTAATGGAATGTAATTAAATAATAATAATAAAAGAAAAGACTGGATGGTTTATTCAAGCAAATACTAATGACTAGAATCAAACTATTAACATGCCTTGCTTGTATCAGTTTCAGCAGGGAAGCAGCACAACTGAGGTGGAACAGAAATATACATGCAGCTTGTTACCAAACATGAGGATGGCAATGCCCCAGGAAGCTGTAGTTAGGAAGATGTAAGTACATAACAACCCTGCAAAGAGAGGGAACAAGAAGCAAACCCACCCTCAGAAAAGAGGGCATGATAAAGTTCAGTGTCTTCTGGGATGCGACAGCATACAGTGAAGTAGATGGGTACCAATGTTTGTATCAACCTCATGCTTCGTTCCTCAGGTGACCCTTAAGGGTCACTACATTACCCGAAAATGTGGGTAAATATCTACCAGTAAGTACAGGTATACCTTAATCCAAGTGCTCAAGATGGTGAGTGATATGTTTAGTTAGGTACACAGGTACCACTCTTTTGGAAGAACATGATACTTCCAACTTCATGGTAAAATGAGTGGAGGCATCAAGATACTGCAAAATGTTGGTTATCAATGTACCAAATTAAATTATACCACATTCCAGAAGATTGTGACATTAAGAAATGCCCATTTTTCATACTGTTTGTGGTACCTGCTGGTCATCACTTGGGCCAAACGACTCCAAAGCAGAGTAATCAGCTGCTGTTTCTTCAGATCCCGTAGCCTCAGCAGGAGCACTCGCTACAATCAATGGTAAGAAAACAAAGGATCACGTGACACAGTTGCAACAGAACATGGGTACAAACAAGAACTGCTGCTATGAACAGCTTACCTGTCGTGTAGTTTGTTGCAGTGAGGGCATCATCTCCGTGACCTGCGTCATTCATGTGCTGGAAGCCTGTTCCCTCATCTCCTTGCTCTACAACAAGCGCATAAAACGAACTCTTCAGCTTCATGTGACCAAAATACTGAACTGTGCAAAAAGATAGGGTTAAAGTGGCTCATGATTGCTGTCACAAGAATGAAGGTCATCTAATAATGTGGTGAAGTTCAAATACCTGGGAACGATACAAACAAATCAACATTGTATTTATGAAGAAATTATGAGCAGGGTTTATCTGGGAAATGTTTGCTAACAACTTCTGTCTTCCTGCCTGGTATCTTAAAAAATGTAAAGATTAAAGTATACAAAACTATAATTTTACCGGTTCTTTGGCATGGGTGAGAAACATGGTCTCTCACAGTGAGGGACGAACAAAGGCTGAGAAAGTCTAACAGCAGTGTGCTGAAGAGAATATTTGGACCTAATAAAGATGAAATAACAGGAGGATGGAGAGAACTGAGTAATGGAGCATCTTAATTTATACGTTCAATAAATGTTATCAAAATGATAACGATGATGATAAGATGAATGGGGCGTGTAGCACACAGACAGAAGGAAGTGCACACAAATGTTTGGTAGGAAAACCTGAAAGGACACCTTTAGACCAATGTAGGCAGAGGCAGAATAGTAAAACAAACCTTAAAGAAAAGGGATGGGAGAAGGACTAAATCTGTTTCTCAGAATTGTGTCCAGTGACATGGTCTGGTAGTAGAAGTGTGGCCGCCTCGAGGTTCTTTCCCAAACAAGTTATTACATGAAATTCCATACTCTATGAAGTCACTTGCCTTCATCTTCCTCCTCTTTCTGTTCCCCTTCTTCTTCCTCTGCACTGGCTTGTGGATCAGGAGCTGTCTCATCCCTCAGAGCCTGTACACACATGTATGCATGTCATTACCTTCCACATTCAATATGATGCACTGCCTATGTAACCGAATGGTCCCAAAATCAGACTTGAGCTTTCTGATGGGAGATAAATTGAGGTAAACCTCAACATGTACTCGGCTATGAATCTATTCAGTCATTTACCCCCCTTCCCCCAAAAATACCTTTCAGAGTACATGGGGTATGATAGATTTATCTTGCGATGACAGCCTGAGAAGTAGAAAAACTCAGTACTCCTTGAATAGAAATATGGTCTCCTGAGCTGTGACGCCATGTAGTCTGGAATACAGGCACCAACATTTTGAAGAACGCTATGTACCATCTGCACATTCAGGGTAGGAGACCATTTCTTCTGAACAGAAAATGAAGGCAGCGTGTTCCTCTCAAACGCTGGTTCCTATTTACCCCACCATGTTGTATAACATCTTGGAAGACTATAACCTTAAGATTCAACCCTGATGAGAGCCTCAAATCTCATTTATTTTCTTGGATTTGGAGTTCTCGTGGCAGTTACTATGAACAGCACTGTCTTCTAAGATGTAACACTGTGCAGTCTGAGGGAAGCTTACTGAACTCTGCTTGGTTTCTGCCGACTGTCTGCTTCCCTTACTCTTCTTCACTGAATATGGAGGTAGTATGATCCTTCAAAACACTAGTAAACTTCTATCACACTTACATGGTGTAACATCTTAGAATCTAGTGCTCTTCTGTTTTTCATCAATTACTATAAGATCATCCTGCGCACATGCACACACACACACACACACACACAAATATATATAATGTACAGTCTACGTGCTCAAAAAACTACTAAATTTACTGTAACATGTCTGCATCTAAAATCATTCTGTTCTTATTTATCCCTGTAGAAACCATTCAGTGTGGGGTAGGGCGGCGCGCGCCAGTAAGGAGAAAGGCTAGTTACGGTGAATGGCTGGTGAAAAGGCTAGTCGTTGAGCGCGGTCGCAGGAGCCATGAGGCAGTGGCTACGCCAGATGCCCAGTCAGTTGGACCGTAACACGACCACCGGCGAGTCCAGGCGCGGTGCCCCAGTGAGTCGGGTGTGAGAGCGCCGGAGAGCCGAGGCAGTCGTGCCTGGCGCAGCCTGCCGATGTCTCCGAAGACCGAGCGCTGGCGACGAAGCCTGCTGGGTGAAGTTGCTTGATGTGTGGCTTGATCGTAGACTGCAGTCGAACTGAATGGAACTGAACTGAATAACTCGGCTTTGGAGTCGCTCCTTTTTATACGCTGGTCGGTGGGGCGGAGCCAAACTCGAAAGTGAGGAGGAAGGATTGATTGGCTAGCGCGCGTAATGACGTAGATGCGGGCCAGGAGCGATCCCAGTATAAATATGAACGTTTGAAGCAATCAGATTGGTTAGCGCGCGTGATGGTGGAAAGCGATGTGAAGAGCGAGCGTTGCAGAAATGCGTGATAATGTGGGATGTTCCCACAAGTGCGACAAGACAAACAGGTGTCAGTCCTTGCAACATTTCCTCAAATTGTGATAATATATCTGTTTCCTTTGGGGATACCAAACTGATGTCTGTTATCAGTATGCTATGCCCCCGGACCATAAATGTCAACCATGTTTTGCTTAGTGGCAGTTGAGTCCTACGCTGAGCACTTCCTACCACACAGTCCTTTTGTCATCCATTGCATCATCTATGTTCCAGTTCAGAGACCAATAGAAACTGGACAGTTATGCACTGACATGCTTGGTGATATCAAGAGAATAAGTAATAACCCAGAACCAGAGGTCTTCAGGTTCAACCCTGGAAGAATGCAATTCCAGCATGCAGAAGCAATTCTGCATTCAAGATATATACAGAACTATACAGATGAAGCACCAGAACTGCACACATGGCTACACTCATGGGTCTTTTATCTATAATTCCATACCTGATTATATGGCATTAACCTTGACAGGTCAGTACTAAAGCGAACCTTTAAATAGAGACAACAGAGACACTTTAACTTTCCAGTACTGTGTTCTACAATCACAGTGTTCAGGAGATTGTTAAAAAAAAGCTAACTTACAAATAAAAATGTGTTTTCTAATGAAGCACACACATCCCACAACTGCATTATTTATGATCTGCATATAACACTGGCTTTGGTGTTTACTTACTGCAGACATTAATTCAAAGGTAATAAAAAGCACACACACAACATACAGACCCAAATTATTTTTCCCCCACATTCAGTTAAAATCATTTGTACTTTCTCTTCCATCTATTCTGTTAAATGCTAAAACATTTATCACACCAAAGTTGCAGTTCCTAAGGAGCTCTAAATCTCACAGTATGTACCAGCTTTCTGCATGATGACCCATCTTCAAGAAAATTCACAGGAATTGGGTTAAGCTTCACAGAGAATTAGTTTCAAGCAAAAGCTTTTAGTATGGTCCCCAATAACAGACTGACCTCATCACAATGACAAGCTACAAGTTGTTAGTTAAGCTCCCATGCAGTCTTCGCCAGATTTGCTGTTACTGGGTTAGTCCTCTTCACATGCATGTTCCTTACGCTTTCAAGCTCTTGCAGCTTCTCTCTCTCGTCCAGTGTGGTGTCCAGCACCGGCTCTCTGCGGCTCAACTGCTCATCTTCTGTAGCTAGTGCAGCATCCAGGCTGATGAGAGATAGGGTCATCTTGCCACTGAGTATGACTGGGGCATCGGTATCAGATGCCAGATCCTCCGGGTCTACTGCAACAGCCTGCGTTTCTGACTCTGATACCAGAAGCTGGGACTGTGAAGGAAGAGCTCCCTCTAGATAGATAGACTGTGGTTCTGGTGTGGGAGGCGGTATGGGTGTGCCACTACGACTGTGTGAGGTGACAGCTAGTATAGGTGTGCCGGGCCTACTCCAGCGTTGTCCCCCTTCGCAACTGGCTGTCATTTCCATGCCCAAAACCTGCACTTTAGGCTTACCACTGTCACTAACATGATCGACTTTAGACAAGTCATCTACCTTCTGAGCAGCATCTGAAGATGGGGTGCTCTTCTGCAGGTTGCATAACTCCTCCTGAGTTACACTTGCAGTTTCCTTATTTTTCTTGCTATGCAATGCATCCTCAACCTGTAACTGGGAGACAGCTCACAAATTTCATCTCAAAACACAGAAACTTTAAACTTTCAATTACATCCCTTTGAAATTCACTATTTTTTTTTTTCACCACTGTCCCACTAAAACCATGCCTTCAGGAAAGAGACACTACTGTCAGTCTAAAATACCTTCTAGGGTGTCTCACCCTCAGACAGTGATGCTGATTGTTATATCTTCATCAACATATTACTGCATTCTATTTTCAACATACAATGTACACCAAAATGTAGACACAAGTCTTTTCTGTAATGTAAGAAGTGGATTTTTTTAAATATTTCAATAAATTTCAGATTTCAAAGCATTAATAGAAATGTGTTAACATCCCTCCCTTACCCAACACCACTGTGAATACTGTTTCCTCATAGGCAGGATGTTTCTTCTTAAGTCAACTGGAGGGAGGGGTCATATTTGAACATCAGCAGTATCCTCAATCAGCAAACAAAGATTCCATAATGAATGAGAGAACATTTACAACCAGCAGTGCAGCTGATGTGTAATCAATGTAATGCTCTACCTGCTGACAACTATTTTTTTAAAACACCCCATGAATATCCTAATTTTCTACTTCCATCAGCTACAAACACCATGCACTGGCCTCAATTTTTCCTCTGAAACAAATAATGTTGAAGTAATCCTACATGTTTCTGGTTATTCTCTTGAACTTTGTCCATCATCCTACTTCTGGATATGAAACCCATAGTGGTTCACAATTGAGTTCTATTCCTACCTTCACACAGAGAGGAATGGGGAAATTCCTACTCTGTGGGCACCCAAGAGAGAGTTACTCCCATACCCTGGCCCTGCATTTCTACGTAAAAAACCAGGACAATGGGACAAGTCCAACAGAATATCCTCAAATACTGTGACACACCATGGCCAAATAATTTTAATCCCAGATGAAATCCTACATTGGAAATACAGCTCACACCCAGCACTGTCTTATTCTGGCATTTCTCAAAGTTCTCTCTCAAGGGTTGCTAGTGAATACCTGGGCTGAACACAGAGATGCAGAATGGGCACAAAAGCAAACACTCAACAAAGCTGAAGGGACAAGTACTCAGTGCTACGACTCCCAATTCCAAAACAAAATGCTACTCATACAAAAACCTCTTTGAAATCAAATGCATGCCAAATGAGGACTACTGCTGCCTAAGACAGTTAGCAATTCTCCTGCATGTCAAACTGCATATAACTCATGAACAAATAATTAAAAGGTAGTGTCTCATATGAACATTCTGTCAGATCAAAGTTCTGATAACATGCTGACTAATCAGGCTTCACACACATCCCGGAACAAAGCATCAGTGGGTTAATGACCAGCAGGGGAAACTGAAAAACCTGTTTCAGACAATCTGTCCACTAAAAATCCTATATGGACTACTCTGGCATTGAAGCCACAAAAAGTCTCAGTTGGGATAGCTGGTCCCCTGGTTGAGAACTGAACCAAGCACCTCCTAACTACAAGTCTAGAGTATTACTGCTAGACCATCCTCCTTGGTACAGATCTGATATCGAATCACTTCAGAAAGAAAAGATGCTGAAAATTATAGCTTTCTGTTTTAATGTTTATTGTCAGGGATATGGAAATTTTAAATCTCCCCACACTACAGAGTTAGCAGCTGGATATGAACTCAGGGTAGTGGTACTAACAGTGCAACACTCAGCCAGTGAAGGGTAAATGGATATTAGCAGTCCTTGTAATTGGGAATGTACTATCTAAGCACTGTAACATGCAGGAAATGGTACAGAAAGGGTAAGTGAATGGACTGTAAAGAATCTGCAATAAGTCAGTTTTAAACAGCAATAACAATTATATTTAGTACGTAAATTAAAATAAGTATGAACTCACATATTTTAAAGGCACTAGCAATTACATTTGTTACTTTTAAAGTAATATTAGTTTATTGAAACATATACATATGAATTTACTGTACATACTGACTGTACTGAATTCTCAAATGCACAATTAACGAAAGCGAAATATCCGAGTTAGTTGTTCACAGTCAGATGTATCAGTTCATGAAGTTATTGCTATGTTTTAATGGATATAATTACGAGAAGCTCGGTTAAGACACTGGCATGTTTGTAGAGTGCAATCAGATGAGAAGCAAACAAGTGAAACTCGATCTTGAATTAAGACTGTAATGAATATTTCAGTGACAGCAGGGGCCAAAAGAACTGTTGCACAGTCACGAGTTACAGCCAGAAAGTTCTGACTGGTGACCGGTTTCCCTTTGACATTCAGATGTTGGGGTTTGCAGTTCTAGCAATCAGTGGCACAGAGGAAATGGCAAACCACAGATCTGAAGAAGGTAAGACCAACATAACTGGTATGTTACAACACTTAATCTCTCGTACAAATTCAATGTTTATGCCATTATCTTAAGTATGGTCTACATGTGTTAGGAGAGAGTGGGCTTTGCTTGTTGTAAGCTTCTTGCTTGGCTTTGACCCTGAAGATGGAGGTAACATCTTCCTCCAAAACATCAGTGAATTTCTACTGTACTACAAAGTCACATCACATATCACCTTGCTCTACAAGCGCAGAGGTGTGTTCAGCTGCTTGAGTGACAGGGTCACTACCATGTCAAGACACACAGCTCCTAGTTAAGAGCATTTGGTAACTACATTACAGCTCTATATTGTTAAAAGATGATTTTAAAGGTACAGCAGCTTCCCTAAATAGGCAAAGAGCAGCAGTCATAAGAAATCAAACATTACTGAAAACTGGGCTACCTCAGCTGATACATCAGCCATGAGACTCTTCAGTTTTACTGAAAACAAAGCACTTCAACCTTGCCTAAAACAGATACCTCAGTTCATTCAAAAGATAAACCCTGAAATGTCTGTCAACATGGCATAAGTTGACGTTCCCTGCTTCCGTAAATCACAACATGGCATTTCTAGGTTCCACAACGATCTTAATTGTTTGCTTCTCAGTATCCAATTTCATACCACAGTCAGTCAGTATGAAGCACTTTGCCATGCAGAAACACTGACACTGTGTGTTTGTGCACGGTACCTTTCTCTCTGAATGGTTTTGTTCCTCGGCACGCTTTGCTAGAATCTCTCTCTGAAGATCCACTTCGGCTAATAAGCCTGAGATTGCTGTCACAACTAGGAGAGAAGTAGGACAAAGACAGGGTGATGACGTAACAGAGCATTAGTACAATCCAGAGGGCTGCAGCTCCCAAGTGAAATCTACCTCAAGCCTGGATCAGACCACAACCAACATGTACACTCACCAAGCTGCACATTGTGTTGTATATTGTTTTACAAGAGTTGTTGACAGGTACTGTTTGGTTGTTTTAAACTGACTTGTCCAACTGTGGTTGTGAAACAGTTATGGAGGTTAAATAAATTATAAATTACCAAAAAAATACACTGAACATCAGCCTGAAGGAAACCTGCAGTCATGACTACTGCTTATAGTTTTCTTCAGTCTCTCCAGACAAAAACTGGGGCAGTGCCTTAAAGCAGGTCATGACCATTTCCATCCAATTTATCACTCAGTCATTTTTCTCTCTGACATTATTACTGTAGGCCAGTGGTTCTCAAACTTTTTACCTCTGAGCCCCCCTTGACAAGAGAAAATACTCTCAGGCCCTCAGCCTGTTTTTTTTAATCAAAATAGAAGTCATGGTATGTTTGACATTTTATTCAGTTTATTTTGTTTTTTCTATATACTACTTAGCAGTTTTTTTACTCAAAATTAAAGTATCACAATATTAGGCCTACAATAGAAATTAGTTTTAACACTTGCAATTAACCAAAATATGTATTGAAATGAAATATTTAACTAACAAGCATTTAATTTTTTCTGCAAAGAAAATCAAACATTTAAATGTCAAAGTTCAGTGTGATGGATGGGCCTGCTTTTAAGAACAAAGTTTATCAAAACGTGGTGTAATATCAGAAATGGCCACTCTAACTTCTTTAGCGATATTTAGCCTTGAATGATACTTTGACTTTATAGCTGCCAAAGCAGAAAAGCCTGTCTTGCATAACTAAGTTGTTGTGAAAGGAATCAGTATCTTCAATGCCTTTTGGTTCAAAGTTGGGAATTCTTTGCCAATATGTATCCAGAACTCCAACAAAGACAATTTCTTAAATTTACTTTTTAATTTTCAATAAAAAATCCTTGTTGCTGAAACTGTCTGCCAGTGAGTGATTTTCCCCATTTAAAAAACAGAACACCTCATGCCCCAGCTTAAACATTTTCTTTAATACCTTGCCTCTTGAAAGCCATCGAGCATCACTAAAAAACAACAGAGCAGTGTGTTCGGCACCCATTTCCTCACACAGCATTTTAAAAAGTCTAGACTTCAGAGGATACGGCTGCTGCCGAACTATCAACGCTGTCTCTGGCATACGCAGTTTATAATTGCCGGTAAAGAGAATAATTATTAGTTATTTTGAAATTCTTGATAATTAAAGCCTGTACTCATTAAAAGTTTTTCTATATGTATTTTTATTTTTTGTTACTTTTCTAATTGATTTAGGGCAGTTTTAATTTTCATCTGTAGGAAAGTATGCTGCGCCCCCCCTGGGGGTCGCGCTCCACAGTTTGAGAACCACTGCTGTTGGCAGTTGATGTCTAATATACCTATATACAAAAATTAAACTCTCCTGTATGTTTGCTGCCTCTGGCCACAGAGCTATCAGACAACACCCAAAGATATTCTGAAATTTCCTCTATACTCTTACTAATAGATATGGTAGCCACAGCAATAAGTAACTAGCGAGGTCAAATTTTTGATAGCAATCTGAATCCTCATTCCCAGTAACTTTTTTACTAACACAAGTAAACCTCCACATCTTATTTTTTTTTAAGTTGGTTATTTAATAACGCTGTCTGTATTGAGACTAACATAATGTTGGATGACAGGAACTGCAGCAATCAGTGGAATTAGAACTGGGTCACAGTGGTGGGAAGACAGCAACTAACTGCCTCAGATATGAGAGCCCCGTTTCTTAATTTGAGTGTAATTACTTTTTTAAAGATTTAGCTGGTATATGGTATGATACTGACATGGAAAGCAATGATATCCTTGATGAAGAACACATTATTTCTGTTTTTCACTAAATAAACCAAGAAATATGCAATTAATGAATTAAACTATGTGGACTATCTAGCCCCAAATTATATTATTAACATTCTAAAAATATTCAAGCAGTTTTAATTTTTTTGGAGGTTTGTGTCACATGAAGTGAGGCCTGGTGACAAGGCAACCACTTCAAGCCTGCCACCACATTATAAACTGGGACTGCAAACCCTTGCTCAGTAAACAACACATATTCTAAGAGACGAAGTGTACAGCAATTGGTTTTGGTCTGAAGATCCAAATCACAAGTGAGACGGAGCAGAGAGCCATGCAATAGTGAGGCAGGATAAACCCCTAACCTTAGCACCAAGGAACTGTATGCCTGAGGAAGAGTGTAACTTGTGTGGGACCGAGCCCATCTGAGCTACAATCCTCTCCATGGCAGCTTCTGTCTCTGCAAGACGCTTGCGAAGATGGTCAATCTCTATATCCCCTGCAAAAGAAACCAGTCAACCATGCTCCCAGCCCAAAGAATTAAGAGGGGGTGCAGATTTGTATTAAGAGAGAATTATTAGCACCTTAGCACAATTTGAACACTAATTTTTATAAAAATAAACCCTGACTGAGCAATGAAATGAGCACACTGCTGCTATCATGAAGCTCACGGATCTGCTCAAAATAAAACAAAAACTAACTCCGTGGTTTGGCCGCACCACAGCTCAAGCAGTTAGTTGCTGGCTTCCCACCACAGCAGCCCGGGCACGTTCCCGGGTCTGGTGAAGTGGGATCTGTGGTGGACAAAGTGGTGCTGGGGCAGGATTTCTCCAAGTACTTCAGTTTCCCCTGACAATCTTCATTCCACCAATTGCTTCACAATCACCCTCACCTATCATCTGGGGCTGGTACAATAGGCCAGAAGTGGCCTCAGTACAAGGGACTTAGTTCCATCCCACTAGCAATAAAAAAAAAAACCTCTGTGGTTTTAGTCCACAAGTGAACTATACTAAAATGTGTAACCTTAACGTACATTCCATTTTCAGTAAAGATGTCCTTGTGTTTAACTAACTGTTACACCATGAAGGCACACGGGGGAGTGGATGTACAGAGCCAAGTATTTTTGACCTTGGCAATAGTTGGAGTTGAGTGGTCAGCTTCTTGCTCCAGCCGTTTTACCAGCAGTAGCCACTGGATATGAGGCTAGGTGAGCCTCAGAACTGGTCTGGACATGGAGAAGAGCAAAATCTTGCCTCTATAACACCAATCTTTACAACCCGCCTTTGTTTGAATTTCAGCTCAGTCGGAACGGTGCTATCCCTGCTACACCTGTTTCTACCTTACGACAGTGTGTGATGATCACTGCAAGTTGTCCTCACAGATCAAACTAAGGAAGATCGGTATAGGTATGGGAAACTAGCTGGGTCGGTTTGCATGAGTCTCAGGGTAGCGATGCCAAAGAAAGCGGTATTCTGGGAGTTGATCCAATTGACGTTTATTCACCTTTTTATTCTCCGAACCACCGTTAATTTTATGTATCCTTATGCTTTAAGTTATAGCATTACACAATCTGCAAGCTAGGTCTCGGAGAGCGCAAGGGTCACGTCCGTTCACTTCGGAATATGGTGAAAGTCTCCCCTTTTGTGGAATGGCTTGCAAACCCCACGTCGGGAGTTCGAAAGAATTCAAATTCTCCATGATGTGGACATATACATTTCATTCCATCTTCCGTAAGGAAGTTTGAACGAGGCAACTCAATCATACTGGCCCTCATTCACAGACAACTGTAACAAGTTCTGACCTGTCCTTCTCATTGACCTTCCTTTTAGGCGCGTCTGTTTCCCTGTACCCGAGCTAAATTGATGACTGCTCGTAAATGTCAGAACTCCGGACTCCTTGGTCCTGCCAGAATCTATAAATTTCAACATAAACACCGTACTGCACGTCCCAGACAATGAAATACGATATTATAGATCACAATAAGTTCCAGTAATATCGAAACATAAGACTTTTGAAATTAAAATTACTGAGAATTAATTAGAAATAAAATTCATGGTCATCTATAATCATTCAAATAAATAAGGGCTCAGAATGATCAGCGTCATCTACCAGGACTCAAACTCCAACCCCTTGGTCGTCCACCTTGTAGCGAGTCATTATACTGACTGTGAAACTGAGGCTCTGTCTTACAACAGAATTCAGTAGAGATTCACACCACAACCTTCAACCTACATTTGTGCTCATCCATCTAACCTCTATGATCTCACAGATTCAATCGTGAATGTTGTTTAAACCGTTAATATACTGGGCTGCTGTGGTGGGAAGCCAGCGACTAAACACTTGAGCTATGGCGCAGCCAAAGCATGGAGTTAGTTTTTGTTTTATGCTGAGCAGATAAACGAGATTCATGATAGCAGCAGGGTGCTCATTTCATTGTTCAGACCCGTAACCTGAACCAACCAATACCACCATCCGCACAAAGCGTAACTCTTGACTACCACACCACCATCAACCATCACTTAGGCCAGGCCAAGCCGAGCTTCAGTGATGACCTGCATATGCTGATTTGACAAACAAGCTTTCTGTAACTGTACACCTGCCAACATCAGATACCAACTAATTACTTGTATTCTCCTTTATCTACATGCAGTCAACAATTGTGTGCAGATACAGAGAACCTGTCTGTTATTCCATCTACGTTGAAGTAATAAATACAAGTGCAACACCCCTCTGGATAAGCAGAAATGCATGATTTATAAAAGCCCTAAAAGCTCCTCTGAATGGACCCCCGAAGCACAAGTAACAAATACATTTTACAGAGATGGCAATGCAATGTACTTACTTGTATCGCGTTCCTTCCAACCTGAAGCACAACAAATGAAAAGCACAATTCTGTTACAATTTGTCACCACCATTTACACAGCTTTCTGCTGGCAAGAACTAACAATCTGAATGTTACCCACCAAGTTTTGTGCCATTCTCTTCTGCTGTCTTCCTAGTGGGAACCGTTTCATGCTTCACTCTCTGTTGAGACTGGTCGCCATAAGAGTTCGTAGTGTGATCATCAACATACTCTTCCGAGAACACCATCTTCCGGAACTCTGGATCTGAACTGAAGTCACCGTAGCTGACTGCAGACTGTCCAGGTTTCTTAAACATTACCTACAAACAAACACGTGACAACTGGTACTCTCTGCATCAATCAGAACACAAGTTACTTAAACTGAACTTCTTCAGGTATGCAACCATAGCACTACCATATGCATTTGTCCTCCCCACTGCCAAAACAAGAACTCATGCACCAGTATAATATCCGAACCTTAAACTTCATTTACATCTAAATTAATAATATAGGAAATTAATCAATACAAACAAAAATCAAACTACGTGGCCTGTAGTCCACAAGCAAACTATACTGACTGAGCGACGGCCACTTGTCGGCGAAATTAGTGCCAACTTTCGAGGATAGAAGGTGTCATGTGGTCAGCATGATGGATCCCCACGGCCATTAATCTCAGTTTTCTAGACCGGAGCCGCTATTTCCTCGAAATATCTTCTCACGAGGCTGAGTGGACCCTGTTCCAGACCCACTATTTCTCAGAAAACCTGGTAGTGTCGGGAATCAAAACTGGGACCTCTGGATCTGTAGGCAGGAACTCTGACCACTAGATCACAGAGGCTGTCAAAAATGGGATAAACTATTGTTCATCATCATCAATTTGGCTTTTTTTCTGAATTAAATGTAAAGTCTTATAAAAAACGAGAATAGAACATTTTTGGAATTATTTGCATAACTGTGAGCTGTCAAATGTAAAGAAATAAAACACAATAAAAAGCTAGAATTTTAGTGTTCTTTCTCTGTATGCTAGTGTGAATAAGGAAATTATTCAAATGTGATTTCTAGCATAAATCCTTGTATTTATAAGAATCAGCGCAAGTTGGCAATTCTAAAATAATTGGATTAATGGAACACTGACACCTACAGCTGTCTAATTTCTATGGAATTTAACTACTGATCGTATTTAATAGGATTTCACTGTACAAACACATAAAAGTGCTAAACAATATTCCCAAAGGCAAATGTCCTAGAGGAACTCCAAGATCTATATGAGAACAACAGGTTAGAAAAATCGTCACAGAGGAGAGAGGGAGGATGAAGCAAGCGAAACTGGGGGGGGGGTTGAAACAAGAGCTTTGGGAAGACAAGAGGTAAGTGGGAGAGATGCCGGGCTCCTAGACAATCAACAAAAAAGTATAAATGTTCAAGGAAACAGGCAATACAACAATATGTACCACAAACTAACACAACAAATTTTGTTTCTGGCTGTATTTCAACTTCTTTCCCGGTTACCCCCAATACTGTCAGAAAATTAACAAAAAGAATAGCAGTCACAAACAAATGCACATCACATATAAAATGAGACTCTTTGGTTTCCATTTTGCTAACTGTGACCCTAACAGTCAACACCCGATGACACTGCAACACTTACTGCCCACTCTTGCCAACATGCTGTGTAAGTTGTGTTACAATTATTGGATGTGATTCACTTCTTATTCCCAATCATTCCTTCCAATTACAAGAGCAGACTTCAACACCTCAATATGGGTGTTATGCTTCATTAAAGTTATATATATATATACTGCAACATTAACAAGAAAAGCAGCCATGTGCCAATACTTCTGTAGGCAGCAAGTTTACAAGGCACGTAATCTCAGGGAATGCTGATCTGTCCAATTTAGAGATCACAGGTTTCAATAGTGTCAAAACAAAAAAAGAAGTGAAATGGTTGGGCAAGAAGGGCACAGACTTTACTGACACAGACCAGAAAAACTCATCCCATACCTCACTCAGTATCTGTGGAGACATGATGCAAAGTACTGTGATGAAAAAGAATTACCCTGCACTTTTCACATCACTGATTGTGACTAAAAACCTCAAAGTAAACACATTGTGAACTTAACTTCCAACTGACGTTTCTATCAATGAGTGTTCAACAGTGCTCTGTTCGACAATGCTACATCACAATTCCTGCTGGATTTACCTTCATGACTGTGTACATGAAGAATACAACTATGCCAATTGTGTATATGGGCATCACGATACCCATTGTTCCACTACCTTTTGGCGCCGGCACTACATGACCTGCTCCGCCCATTGGGGGCCGCATCCCAGGTATGGGGCCAGGCTGTAACAAAATCACAATCACTTGCTATGTGTAAGGAATAGATCATATTCAGTCTTTCCTCTGATAACATACTCCTGGATAAGACTGCAGTTTTTCTGATGTGGCACTATGCAGCTCAACAGATTTCAGAGGAACATACAGTTTTACTCTTCAAGACAGATGAAGAACCTGTGGCTGTTCTGTTTATTGTTTTAAAGAATTAATTATACTGGATTTGTAAAGCGTGGTACATAAGTCTGAATTGCATTCAGAAGGCTGTCTTCGACTGCGTGATTTGAGATGTTTGCAAATTCTGGGGTTGAGAGAGACAGGAGATGTCTCATGACTACGAGTGTTGAGGAATTAAGCCGATGGTGGCGTTCACGCTTGAAGCCTTCTGGTAGGTTCTGCTGTTAGATGAGTGTGCATGTCTATGTAGGCCGCAACAAAAGAGTAATATACTTTGAGTCAGCAATAGTGGGACTAGTTCAGATTTCTGTATTCAAACTATAAATAAGTGAAGCTAGTAGTATTCATGTACAGAGTGCAAGTGTACCTATTACACTCTCCGGGACTTGTGAGGGATGGTGACCCATATACTGTCTTGTAATAACCAGCTGAATAAATAACCTTGTGTATAAAAGTACTGTAGTTTTAGATTGATTGTTATGCTCCAGTCTAAGCGAGGCCTGTAAAGACCCTGGGAAGGTTTTTCGTGCTATAACAAATAGAGTATATATGAAAAAGTGAAATCTAAAGGTTAACAAGGCACTAGCAGCCGAGTGCCCAGTTAATAAGTGTGGACGACGGAAGGTGACCCGGAGAACAGCGCAGTGTGGAATGAGTATAACTACAAGGGGCAATCAGCACTACGCAGCTCCGCGAAGGTCGAGGAGAAAGAGGGAGAGAGAGTATGGCTACAAGCCTTCATCGGTTGTGAAGACAGAGGCAGTAGGTTCATACAAAATGTAGGTAACCACCTACTAGACTATATGGTGCTACAAAGGACCACAGTTTTAATAGGCACTGGCATAAGCACATCTAATTTCATACAATCTTAGTTATTTGTTCCAAGATGCAAGAGTGCAGCAAAGGTTTCAGTAATTATCACAGCTGCCCTCTTCAGTTAGTGTCTGTAATTGTCAGCAATCACATATATATCCTAATATCTTGTGAGATCAACATCTGTGGCTGAGCAGTGTTATGAGATAGATGCAAGCCAAACACACCCCAACTCAGACACAGTGGAAAATGACTGCCCAGATTTTATCTCTGGGCATTAATATTCTGTTAAAAATCACCAAGAGATTAAAAAACAACCAATGAATCATTTTGTTTGGAAACAGTTTACAAATATATTTGAAGAACTTGCATGAAACAATTTTTTACATGTCAGAATTTAGAAACATGGCGACTGTACACACCCTTAAGACCACACACAATGACTTAGAAAACTGTTCAGTTCAGTATTCAGTATTAGAGGGGGTGGGTTTCCCCATGCACCACGACTAATAGTCTATTGTACATCCCCCTTTAATTTCTCCTGTCACCATATCCTACCGATACTGGTGCTCACTATCTCCCCTTTCTGCCAGCGAGGTCGGCCCTCTTCTGGCAGTAGTACCCGATAACTTCCCCATCTACCGGAGGCATTGGAAACTACTTGGGTGGGAAACTTTTGGCCTAATTTTGCTCAGAGGTCTCCTAGTGACATGAAGATCTTTTACATGCTGTAAATCTACGACACGGGACCCATGGCTTAAAGTCCCTCCTGGAGGACTTGTTCCCTGAATTTTTCTGCCCTTAAAAATTCCACGACCTCCGCTGGGTTTGAACCCAAGTATCTTGAGTCATGAGGTGGGAACGTTACCCCTAGACTATGGAGGCCGCTTTAGAAAACTGTTAGTCTTGACACATGAAAGTTTTCCACAGAGACAGATTAAGTTTCATCATTATCAATTTTTATGGTTCTTGATTGCTCCATTTACAAGAAACCAAGAATGATTTGTAGTCTGTAAGAAGCTTTCTGTCCATATCACAAAGACAGAGCACCAAGTTAACATCATTACAGTTTATGTGGCCTCTATATTCTCACAGATATAAACAGGAACAAAATTATATTCCCACTACATTTTGGTTCGTTCAAGAAGGAAGACTTCAAAATACATTTCTATAAAAAAGATATTTTACAAATGTTGAAAACAATTTATGAAAGCTAAACTGGGCCCACGAGACATCCGTTGTTTCCCACCAGCTTTGTTTATTTGGCTCTGGGCCAATATGGACAAGGGCCAGTCTAAGAATATCCATCACAATCATTTTCTTCACATGAATCCAGACAAACCCAGATTTCACACTATAATTCTTTAATTCTTATCAGACAGGATGCATCTTTCTTGTATTATGCTAAGAGAGAAAGAGAATGCATACAACAAATTGTTGCCCTGACGCTTTATCGGCATCACACACAATCAGCTCAGTCATCCTGTCACATCTCATTCATAACTCTGCAGTTATGACAGAGAACCCAATTATATGACCAAGAATTTCAATCCAGAAATTCGGTTCTAAACAAAACAAAAAATAGTAGCCACAGGCTCATTCAGTCCATTTCTTACAGTTTTCAGTCCAAACAACACATTTATACAAGTAACAAGAGATGGACTGTCACTGTCAAACAGATGGTGCCGGACAGCCTCAAGTTTCAGACGGAGGAGGGTGGGAGATCATGCAAGTCTGTAAGAGCCTTCTGGTTTGGTTTTCAGTCAGCCTCTTCCACTAGTGTTACTGACTGGGTAATTACCACACTGCATGTTCTCACCAAAGTTAAAAATCATTTTGTCAGATATTTATCAGCTTCTTAGTTCTGGGGTGAACTAAAATAATTGCAGTTTATTTTATACATGGCTTATTTAATGATACCGTGAGTAGCTGAGACTATCAAATGACAGTAAGACTATGAATGACTGGAAAGGATGTAGAATGAAGTGGCTATGACCTAGTTTGAGCTACTTCAGGACAGCCGATGTCTCATGCGAGATTCAGACTGGGTACCTTCCAAGCACAAGTTAGAGGTTTCACATCTGGAGCCAACGTGCTCAGTGAAACCATTTCAAATACACAACTTTACCTTCCAAACCCTGTTGTAACACATCATCTGAGTTCTTAGGCAATTTCTTGGTTTAGAAGTTTCACCAAATCTTGGAGGCTGGCGCCATAGTCATCTTATGGTCACCTACCCAGTGGAGGTCTGTTAGGCACAGCCAGTACTGTGTAGGATTTGAGGTTCTCACAGCAGCAGTTATGAAGACCATGTGACAAAAGAAGAGTCTGTTCCTAAATGTTGTACTTTCTTTCCTACTGAGACCATGCATAGAGAAGAACATTTCTCCCCGGCAATATTAAACAACTCCCAGAAACCTCGAAGGCCACCACAGATACCGAACATTTTAGACATAATCAGTGGTTTGGAGAACAAATTTCAGCATGCTTTTTCTGCATTCCACATGCATCTGATGCATGTTCGCATGGATTATCTGAACCCCTCCACTGTGCACCTCAAGACTTGCACAAAGATTTGGCAGGAGCTCTTACACTGTCCACTAACATCACACGGATTCATCTGCAACAGGACTTACCCGCCCATCTTTCTCCACTACTCTTGGTATGATGTGTGATTGTGGTATAGCCCGACCTCTCTCCCGCAGTGCTGGATGCAACATGTCTGGATGTAAGTGAGGTGGTCTTTCTTGACGAAGATGTCCTGCAAAAACATTTATTTCTTATCGCCACGAAATGACACGAAAAATTTACACTTGAAATTTTTGTTCAAACTTTCATTTGGAACACTTTAACATTAGAAGCAAGGTACTAGTATGTATGACAACTCTGTAACTTCAGCTTTTGGGCATTAGCTTCTCATGTGATTCAGCTTACACTGCAGCTGTTGCAATCATGCTGGAACAACTTCAACATGTGACACAGCTACATTCCAAAAGGAAAAGTTACAAATCAGATAAAGACTGTAAACAACAGAAGACAAAATGCTATGACACAGTTACAGTAAACATACATAATACTATTTCTGCCAACAATCTGTGAGCTTTGCCCTCAACATTCTCTTGTGTAACAGTCTACAAAAGCCTCGTCTGAGAATGCCGCAGTAGTACAAGGCATGGCACATGGCCACTGTCAATGACTAGCCATAAACTTGCAGGATGGTTACAAGAAAACCTACTTATTTCTGACCCTCTCTCATCCGTCCTCCTACAGTTACTGTGTGATGGCTAAACTCGGAGGTTGGTGGCAGCAACAATGAAATTTCTGTAACGGGATTACAGGGATGTTACAGTAAACCCTCGCTAATGTGGAGTGATTGAGGGGAAGAGGAGAGGTCATCCAGATTAGCAAAGCAAAATATAGCCCTAAAAGACAGAAAAACTTAGAACATAAACAAATAAATGGAAAATTTAATGACATACATAGTGATGACGAAAATAAATTAAAATTCTATAAAAAGACAAATACATTTGTTCATCGACAGAAGACTCAAAGTTGCCCTTGTTTTTGAATGTAACAATGCAGATTTGAAGAAACTGTAAAGTTTTGCTTCCACAGACAAGTGACTCTGCATTCCACATGCTTTATGGCTTCTAAAGTATGTACTCAACCGTGAACAAACACCACTGTCCATTTTCCACATTAACTGTAACCAGATTAGCAAGGGTTTACTCTATTACAGAGCCTTCAACTTATAAACATGAATCAGTAAATACAATTATTCAAGAAGTACAATTTAATGCAATAGTAAAAGCAAAAGAAAAAATGCTAAGACACTATGCCCTTCCACAGGTTTCAGGAACTCTGTACAGGATATAAAGTATCGTGTCCTCAGCACTGCATGAATTACTAATGTAGAGCTTTAAGCATATTTGACTTATTATTCATTTCTTTTGAAATGAAATTCAGTACAATGCTAGCAACCATCTCACCAGCCCAGTACCTTCTTGCAAAATAAATGGTAACAGCTTTAGTTTGTGCCAGTATACCAAACCAACTTCTATTCAGTCCCATACATATGCATCACCAAGAGCCATTCAATTTTGATACTACCACTTCATTTACCAAACCAAAACATTAAACAATACAGACGAGTTTAAGATGGCTTCATTCCACCATTTACTATTTACCTATTAGGCTGACAAATATGACAAATAACTTTTACCAGTTCTGTGTCAGAAAATCTGACTGTTTTAATGTTAGTCCATAATCAAAGCCACATAAACTAACAACTGTTAGCAGCATTAGTAAACAGTCCATTAAGCAGAAAAAGAATATATATCACATATTTATGCCTAAATTTAATTACTGTTAGTTCCATCCTCACAAAAATAAGAGTGAGTAAACCCCACCACCTCATCTTACGTTTGGTTAGTATAAAACAAAATATTCATCATCTTACTTGGCATATGGATAGTCCCAACTCTCATTCTACGGGGAGCTCCTAGTAATCCAGGAGCAACCCCAAAGTTCAATTTCAGACACACTGAACTGTTGAAAGAACGTACTTCATCCAGGATCTGCTTGTATGTTTTCCCCAAGCGAACGTTTTCATGCAAAAAGGCCGTGATATCAACACCACATTTATTGAAAACCTCATTTCTACATGCTTCAACTCCTGCTTTAGTGAGTTTGCCTTGCTTAAAGCCCTGGATAAGGTTTGGATCTATCTCATCATAGTGTTGCAAAATATTGCCACACATCTCTGTCATAATCATTATAGCATTCACATCTGTTTCGAAGATAACATCGCAGCATGGTGATACTGGAAGAGATCAAGTCATTTGGTACATTGTTCTGAAAACCATAATACTTAGATATAAATTAAAAACAATCTGGTGTGTGAAGTGAACTAGATTCATCACAGAGCAGGGGTTTTCAAGGAAAAAACATACCTTTGTTGTCCTGCAAAATTTCAGAAAACAAATTTTTACTGACACCAAAACATTGTTTGTAAAAAAGAGTACTGTCTTCTGCAATATGACACTTTTATCATCTGGTCTCAGCATATGGGGAAACATACTGCCTCCATTTTCAGGGTTAGCCAAGAATGAAATATGGAAAGCACTCGCTCTTTCTTGCTTGACTTACTCTTCATCTCTGATGATGGACACAGTATGTTCCTCCGAAGTGTCGATAAACTGACCACAATACGCGGTGTCACATTTCCAACGCAAGTACTCTTTACAACCACCGCCGTGACAGCCTCAAATCCAAACTGTTTGTACATTTCACGAACAAAACTGAACACTTTTCCCTGAAGCGCGCAGTCCACATCACCCTATGGCATTCGACTAACACCTCCTTATTCGGTGAGGTTCTTATATCGGTCTTTCTTCCCCGTCATTCGGGATCGGCAACTGAGATAAATATGAAAAGAATTTATGGCAACCAGCCATGACATTCCGCACAAATTTGATATGAACTTAAGCCACCACTCTGTCTCTCCATGCTCCTCAAATGATATCATATTCGCTTGTGACACCCTTCAAATACGGTAACGTCTTTTGTCATTTTGACTGTTTGTTGAGAGATTGCTCAATGCCCATTATCAGAATTTCCGGGCTACTGTGCATTTAAAAATAGACCTGACCCATCATCAGGCTTACCTTGCGAATTATCAGTTGGATTTCGTGTATTAACTGAAGCCTGTAGCATAGGGTAAAATAATTTCGGCCACAAAACTGCAAAACATCCAGCTACAATTGCCAAAATACATATCGTCTTTCCAGTTCCGAACTCGACAGCCATTTTCGTTTGAAGCAATGGTCACATACCGATCACACACTTCGTCATCAATCAGCCGTAGTCGTATCGCGTTCATGATAGTGTCCAGGTAACAATTGTTGGTGCTTCGTAGTGACCGTATACAACGTTCAGTTTTAACCTCGACTATCATGATCGATCAAGAATTAAGCCAGAGACGATTATGTGCATATAGGGATCCGTGCATGTGGGCATATATTTACTACGTAAAGAATTAATTGACAATTAAGTTTTAAAATTTGTATTTGTATTTTAATTTTATATTTTGTTAAATGTATTCCGAGAGAGCGGAAAACTTCATCAAATATATACGAAAATGGCACAGAATGAAGCTGGTCCTGAACGCTTTAAAATTGGCGTTTGTGGAAGTACGAGTATATCATCTGCGACAGGAAGCGTAGAAATTTTGAGGGAAAAGTCAGTAATAACATGAGCTTATTCCTTTTCTTTCGATCTCTCGAAAGTTTACTGCTGAATTTAAACGAGCTTGAATTTTGTAACAAGAAGTGTTTAAAGGATGTTGATAACGTGTAACTGGTTTTGGGGAAGTTTTTTTATTGCAGTAGTAACTGCTGACTTACAAAATACAGGAAAAGGTAAAATCAATAGTTCGGTCAGTTTTCAGAAGGAAGGAGACCACTGGGAAGACCTAGATATAGGTGGGAGGATAATATTAAAAAGGATCTTGGAGATATACCCTGGAGTTGTATATACAAAATTGATCTGGCTCAGTATAGGAAGCAGTGGAGGGATTTTGTGAACATGGTGATGAACCTTTGGTGTCCATGAAATGTTAGGAAATTCTTGAGCAGCTGAGCGACTGGCGGCTTGTCAAGTACGATTCGGTTCATAGAGTTCGATAGTTAGTTCAGTCAGTTTTATTTAATACCTTTCATTCATCTGAAAGGACTAAACACCAATAACCAGATCATTGCTGGGAGATTTAACCAGCTACTCCAAACATGAAGCAGAAATAGGAAAATCTTATTTAGAGCTATGCTTTCAAGCTGACATATTCGGACCTGATTGCCTCTTAAAGAAGAAAGCTTAATGTCACCTAATGAAATGTCACATTCAGTGCGATATGTTGGTCATGTATTTTAATAGTATGAATGTGTAGGTAAAATTGGGGTTTTGAAATGTGTGAACTAATATAATCTTGTACTTTGTACTTTCCTGCTTCCACTGTCAAATTCAGAGCAGGATTACTAAAATTTTAGTCTATGCATTTCAAACATAATTTTTATTATGTATACAAACTTTGTGGTTGTTTCAGTGCATGTATCTAAAATGAGGAAAGGTATAAATCATTTTGTGGTGGAACAGTTAATGTACATGTCTATACATTTCACTCAATTTTAACCATATCCTTTCAAGTATTTGTCATGATACTGTATATTTTATGAAGCATATGTTATGCAGGATGTTTGATTAGAGCAAATTATATCTATGTGTTACAGGTTTTGGGGAACAGTACAATTGGTTCAGCCTGGAGAAAGGTTTGGAAGAAGCAAAGAATAGCAACAAACCACTGATGCTTATCATTCACAAAACATGGTGTGGAGCTTGTAAAGGTAGTTTATAATTTATCAAGATAAAGTAAATATTAATACAGATTCTCATTGAAGATTTTGCAGTATTTATTTTGTGTCAGTCTTTTGTAAATATTTGGAATTAGGAGAGGTAACCAAGAAGAGAGAAAATATGTAAAATAATAGTAGTCAGCGGACTTCACTTGCTATTTATTATCAAAATATAAGCAGCATTAGAAATAAGAAAGAAAAACTAGATGTTTTCTAAATGATGTATGTAATTATCCTGATATTTTATGTATTAGTGAGCACCATTTGAGTGTAAGCGAGTTATCCATATTTTCTATAACAAAATATAAAATGGCAGCAGGATTCTCACGTAACATATGTAAGAATGGTGGAGTTTGTATTTTAGTTAAAGACGATATATCATATCAAGAGCTAGATCTCAAAAATTTAAGTATGGAAAGGATTTTCAAAGTTTGTGCTGTAAAGATAACTATAAATAATAGGAAATTATGTATTTTATGTATTTATAGAGCGCCTGATGGAGATACATGTCAATTTATTGAGCAGCTAGATTCCACACTTTCATATTTAGTAAGCCTTAAATTGGAACCAATAATCTGTGGTGATACAAATATAAATTACCTTAGTGAAAACTGTAAAAAAGTGCAAATACAAGTTTTATTAGATACTTATAATTTGACACAAATAACTGAGTTTCTAACTAGAATGATAGATCATTTTTTTTTATAGACAATGCTTATAACAAATTCCAAGTTTGTTCTGCTATAAATGGTCTCTCGGACCACGATGGGCAAATTTTGATACTTGGAGACATGCTGGTGATGAGGCAAAGTGATCATGTAAGAGCATATAGAGACATTAATGAGGAAAACATCGTATGTTTTCAACATGCCTAACAAAATGGAAATTGGATAGAAGTTTTTAACCAAGAGAATGTTAATATGAAATTAATATTTTTCACAATATCCTCTTATCGATCTTAGAAAAACAGCTTTCCCATAGCATATANTTGGATAGAAGTTTATAACCAAGAGAATGTTAATATGAAATTTAATGTCTTTCACAATATCCTTTTATCAGTCTTAGAAAATAGCTGAAAGAAAGACTCTAATAAATGGATAACGAAAGGCATAAGAATATCTTGTAAGCATAAGAGAGCATTATACACCTTAGTCAAAAAAATCAAGTGATGATAGTTTGAAGTTGTACTATAAAAGATATTGTATGATACTAGTGAGAGTAATAAGAGAAGCAGAGAGACTGTATTATCAAAAATTAATAAGTAACTCAGAAAATAAAATACAATTAACTTGGAAGATTATCAATAAAGAAACTGGAAAAAACCAGGTCTCGGATAAAGTAACAGAATTTCAAGTGGGGAAAAGTAAAGTAACTGATCCTTAGGAATTAGTGAGAACATTTAATAAATATTTTACAACTGTAACCGAGAATTTGGCAACAAAAAATGCTGATTAAATGAGGCAATTAAATTATTAAATACTCTTAAGTATGATAACTTGCCTGAATTGAAAGTA